AATCCATGCGTTGATCTTGCCTTTCCGTGGAGATCTCTTAATGACTGCTTTATACTGCCTCAGGGCCTTCTCTTCCATCTCGTCCTCCGTCGGCTCGTATTGCTCCTTCAGCACCTTCAGTATCTCGAATCGTCGCTTTTCCTCGATCAGGGGTTGTACGTGAATCGCGATAGAGCTCTTGATTGCCTCCTCCACCTTCGCAATATTATTTCGAGTATCCTTATAATCTTGAAGATCGAGTTGGTGTGCGCGGAAGTTGGTTTCCGTGAGTTCTGCGGGCCTCATTGGCTTCACGGGGGCTCCAGGGCGTTGTGGAGAGTCTTCTGGATTGAAGTGATCCCATACATCTAGCCGTTCGGCATATTCTTTGATGTTGAGGATCCAATTACGCCAATCATCTTGGCTCTTCAAGATGATTTTAACCTTCGTGGCGATCTCTGAATCGAATGAGGAGGTCATATTGGCTTCAGCAGCGGGTCAGCTTTCCTGAATCGCTTCCTTTTGCAGGATCCCGTTGGGGTGCCGTTTTTGTGTTTTGCTCGGAGCGGGGAGCTTGTATAGCTTCAATAATTGATTAAAGCGGTATGTATGTCCTCTAGAGCGGAACCGGGCTCATAACTGTGGCAGAAATGGTCTTGGCAAAGAGCTGATTAATACGCCGAGCTTATATGATCATATGAAACGATTGAAGGTCTTGATTCATTCTAATCTACTGCAAAAAGAAGCCATATTTATGCAATTTCAGGGGCTTCAGATATGCAATAAAAGAGCTTGATCATACGATTCAAGCTCTATAATCGTACGATCAATATTGATCGATTGCTTAATCGGTTAAGCAAGGTGATGAAGTAATTGCTTAGTCAGTTCCGCGGCCACAACTACATTGGGACCGGCAGAGACCAGCAACCGAAAGACAGCAGTCCAATCTATGTACACCTCTGGCCGAAGATAGTTCGAGAATGAAGAAAATTTGATAATAATCATCTGAGTCGCTCAAAAATTGAATCATATTGAATCCATGCCTCTTTCTGTTATAAGATTATCTTTTTTATCACCTCCTAACGTCCAAGTAATCGAAGCGAGTAAAAAAAGTATACTTATGGATATCCATAATGTTTCCTCCAATATATTTCTGGCATGACAAGTTTTTGGATGCTTAGTATCTTTCTAAGGAGAACGCAGCTTTTTCAATGGCTATTATGTTTGAAGTTTCTCGAAGCTTTTGAAAGAGAATTGGGTTCCGCAAGCCCGCAAATTTATAGGATCAGATAACCTGACGTTTTATGAGAGCTGCTAATTCGAAATTTTATAGAACCTGCACTGTAAACAATGTGTTCCTCCGCATTCAGGACTGCAGCTTCATTCTTTGACTGAATGTGGGGGGAATTGGGTGTTGGGTTGATTTGCTTGTCTATCTAGCTCTATAGTACCTGATGCGACGAGATATTGAGAATTCAGAGTGCCTGTGCCGCGGAAACCTGCAAAATAATAACGTAAGCTTGAATATTATGCTCAGAGTTATAATAGAATAGGTTTCATAAGGTGTCTAGGCCTAGTTGTTGACTCCTGTACGAATATTTACATCATAATCCCTATATGGTGCGAACTCTGTCCTGACACCTAAGAAAGCCCCATTGGAGCAATAGCCAGTCTATATGCAAGCTCCAACAGCCTTAACTGTATTCTAACAGCCAATTCAAGACCCTACTTACATGACGATCAAGTACAGAAATGTCCCAAATTCTTCGTCCCTTGCCCAAGTTAGTGTCTCAGTTCGTCTCCATATCAAGCACAGTGGAGCCAGGGATCGCCACCAGAAATATGGGTACTTTTCGGAGAACAAACCAAACGGAAGATAGCACGGCTGCAGGACGCACGCTTAACCGTTCTTTGCCTCGTGCCAGAATTAATGTATTATTAAGTCTTGCCGAACGTTACCTGCCATTATGCAAAATCACCTCGGTTAACGGTTGACCGAGGGGCAAATCAGAGAGGTGCAGCAATGGCCCTTTCCTGCTAATTATTCACGTAAATTAGGTATTCACTAAGGTCAATGCACTATCCCTGTTTAACTGGGTATATTATTGCATTAATAGTACACATATTTCCTTCACTATAGAGAATCTTCGACGAGGATTCGGCATAACCGCAACTGTAATCATTATAGGAATGCCGAATGCCGAGCGATGATGGAAGCTTTCCCCGCACTGTCCCCATACTGGTCTTCTTCTTAGTTCTGACTGTGCCACATAATTAAGATTCCCTTCCTCCGACCCCAATTTTCCTCTCCCCTATTTATTCTCCGCATCATCCTCTCCCCCTTGCATGCCTCGATTTACATTCTCCTGGTCCTCTGTATCCTGATTACATTAATACAATTAGGGCTTTGATTCAAGAAGTCGGGAACTAGCACCACGCGACAGACATCATGGTTTTCACTCCTGCCAGCTGGGCGGGCGATCTGCCCCCAATTCCTGATAACATCCCGATCAGCGAGTTCATGCTCACGGACCTGCATGGGCGCAACCCACTTGGGTATTCGAGGGATCCTTTCACCTGCGGATTTTCCGGAAAGTCGTATTCTTCTTTGGAGGTGGTAGACCGGGTGGACTATCTGTCGCGAGCGCTTGCGAAGGAATTCGGCTGGGCTCCCAACCAAGGCACGGAATGGGACAAGACCGTGGGGATCTTCAGTTTGAACACCGTACAGTACCCCGTTTCATACTCAAGCACGCAGGCCGTTTGCTAATCTCATTTTTTCGCCGATCAGATCGATACGCTCCCCTTGTGCTGGGCCACCCATCAGCTGGGTGGAATCGTGTCGCCTGCCAATGCTGCTTACTCGGCTGCTGAACTTAAACATCAATTGTTGGACTCGCAGGCAAAGGCCCTGTTCACATGTCTTCCCTTGCTCTCTACCGCGCTCGAGGCGGCCTCCTTGGCTGGATTCCCCAAAAACCGCATCTATTTGATCGATCTCCCTAGCCAACTCACCGGCGGCGCGAAGGCTCCAGCCGAGTACAAGTCTCTGGAGCAATTTCTCGAGGCTGGGAAATCGCTTCCCAAGTTGGAGAAACTCAACTGGTCGGCCGGCGAAGGCGCTCGACGAACCGCATTCTTGTGCTACTCCAGCGGAACATCCGGCTTGCCGGTAAGTAATCGACACATTAAAGAAGAAACAAAAATAAATGGAAATCAAACTCGCTGACCGAATTCTCTCCTCAGAAAGGTGTAATGATTTCTCATCGCAATGTCATCGCAAACGTTTTGCAAATTACCGCTTCCGAAAAGAAGTACCGTGCATCTCTCACTCCTCCCGGAAGTCAGACCCAACATACCGAGGTCGCATTGGGTCTGCTCCCTCAGAGCCACATCTACTCTCTGGTAGTCATCTGTCACTCGGCTCCCTACCGAGGTGATCAGGTTATTGTGTTGCCCAAGTTCGAGTTGAAGTCGTACCTGGCTGCCATTGAGAAGTTCAAGATTTCTGTGCTGTTGCTGGTTCGTGATGCACTTAATGTGTAATGAGGATGTCATGCTAATGAATCTATCAGGTCCCGCCAATCATCATCACTATGCTCCGAAACCCGGACGAGTGCTTGAAACGCAATTTGAGCTCGGTGACTTCGTTATTCACCGGAGCAGCACCTTTAGGAATGGAGACGGCGGCCGACTTTCAGAAGGTCTATCCCAATGTCATCATCCGCCAAGGATACGGTAAGCTTCCTGCGCTCTTCTGACCTTGAACAATTTGGATGGATACTAATTCCATGTGAAGGTCTCACCGAAACCTCAACCGTTGTCTGCTCGACATACCCAGATGATGTCTACCTGGGTTCCTCTGGCAGCTTGATCCCCGGAGCCGAAGTGCGTATTGTGACTCCCGAGAACGAGGAGATCACTGCCTACGACACTCCAGGTGAACTGTTAGTGCGCAGCCCCAGTGTCGTCCTTGGTTATCTCAACAACGAAAAGGCGAACAAGGAAACCTTTGAGGATGGTTGGATGCGCACGGGTGACGAGGCCGTCGTCCGTCTGAGCCCCAATGGCAAAGAGCACATCTTCATTGTTGACCGGATCAAGGAGCTCATCAAGGTCAAGGTATGTATTTCGTCTACCAAGCAACGCGTTCCACACCGGCTAACCAGGAAACTGTAGGGATTGCAAGTTGCCCCAGCCGAACTCGAGGCCCACCTTCTCACTCACCCTGCCGTCGCCGACTGTGCTGTTATTGCCATTCCCGATGAAGCCGCCGGAGAAGTCCCCAAGGCTATCGTGGCCAAATCGCCCTCCGCTGGTGCAGATGACGAGGCAACTGCCAAGTCTATCATCAAGTTTGTGGAGGAACACAAGGCCCGCCACAAGTGGCTCAAGGGCGGCGTTCGCTTCGTCGAGGTCGTTCCCAAGAGTCCCAGTGGTAAGATTCTCCGTCGCCTGCTCCGCGACCAAGAGAAGGAGGCTCGCCGCAAGGCTGGTTCCAAGCTGTAAATGTGGATGTATGGCATTGGAGGAATTGTGATGCCCGAGATTGATTTTTGTTTCTGTTCAGCGTGTAAATTTGATGGACATGATTTGATTTCATGAAGTGTGTGTTTATGAGGTACATAGGGATTGTTTAGATACTAGAATAGACTGAATTGTTTCTAGTTCAAAGGAGCTGCATGCAGAATCCCTACACTGTAGCTGCACTGTAGGCAAGACTGCGACCGGTCGCTGTTTGCACTGTTTGATCTTCGCGCGGGGAGAAAATCGAATTTCTAAGCGGAGGGGTCCTCCAGAAAAAAAGTATCGGAGGAGATTCTTGCTCAGCAAAACTCCATTCTGCAGCTTTACATTCTAGGCGCTGCTAGAATTTTCTCGTGTGAAATCCTTGGGCGATTCAAAAGTGCTCAAACCCTACTTCCAACCTACCACTTATCCTAGTAGCTGTGCTACATCATCTCATTCTATATTTTCCGCCTACCCCTCCGACCATCCCTCAGCGGTTCACTACCAACATCATGTCCTCGCAAGACCCTCATCGCGAGCACGAAGATGCTTTCGTCGATGCCGATGAAGCCGACGAAATCGTCAACCGCGATGAAGACCACCCAATGGACTCTGATCCCGAGGATGAAGACCAGTTGATGCAGGAGATCATTCTCCAGAACGATTCCGTCGCCCATTTCGATCACCACCAGGACTCAGTCTTCTGCATTGCTCAGCACCCTGTTCACAACTCGATTGTCATTACGGGCTCTGGCGACGACACCGCTTACCTTCTCGACTCGACACCCCAGACCGAGCGTCCCGTCCTCCCTCAGAGTTACGAGTCCAACCCGCAGCCCAAGAAGGAGCGCGAGTCTCTGCAGCCCATCCTCAAGCTTGACGGTCATACAGACACCGTTAACGCGGTCGCCTTCACTGAACCAAAGGGAGAATATGTTGTCACGGCTGGTCTGGATGGTAAACTGCGGGCTTGGCGCGACACTACTCCCCAGCTGACCGGGCTGTCGTGGGGATTTGTCGCGGAGTCTCAAGAAGTGGAAGAGATCAACTGGGTCGCTGTTTGCCCGTGTGAGAACGGCGACGAAGAGAAGCGCAACGTGATTGCCCTCGGTGCCAACGACGGCAGTGCCTGGGTTCTCCGCATCGACCACAACGATGCCGCGCAGCCCATTTCCATCTTGCAGACTTTCTTCCAACACACCGGTTCCTGTACCGCTGGTGCTTGGACTCCCGACGGAAACCTCCTCGCCACTGTCTCCGAGGACGGAAGCTTCTACGTGTACGATGTCTTCGGTGCTGCCGCCGCCGCGGGTGTCTCCTACTCTCCCGGAACGAGCGCCATCATCGGACTGACTGCCGAGGACCAGCGTTTCGCTGTTGAGGGCGGCCTGTACTCGGTCGCCATCTCCCCCGGCGGTGGTATTGCCGCCGTTGGTGGCGCGGAAGGCAACATCAAGGTGGTTGGTCTGCCGCGACTCACAGCTCCGGGAGGCAACACGTCGTCGAAGGCCAAGGGCAAGCCCTCGGTGCAGCCAGCCTCTGGCGCGTCTGCTGCAGGCACCCTTATTGCATCCCTTCAGGCCCAATCCGACGGCGTCGAGACCCTGTCCTTCTCCGCCCCGCCCCTGACTCTTCTTGCGGCTGGCTCGGTCGACGGCTCGATTGCTCTGTTCGACGCCGCCCACCGCTTCGCCCTCCGTCGTCACATCAGAGACGCGCACGAGGGTGCCGTGGTCAAGGTGGAATTCCTACACAAGCGCTCCGCAACCTCCATCTCTCGCCCGACGGCACCTGCTGCTGCGAACCAGGGCCGGCCTTGGCTTCTCACTTCCGTCGGTATGGACGGCGTCGTGCGACGCTGGGACGGTCGGGGTGGAACGGCGGCCACAGCACATGGTTTGCTGACTGAGTGGAAGGGTCACTTGGGTCTTACCGAGAACGACGAGGGAGAGCAATCGGGAGGTATCATGGCCTTTGTCCAGGGACTCGATGGAAAGCGCGTTGTCACTGCGGGTGATGACGGCATCAGCTTGGTGTTCGAGGAATAATTTAATCGCTATTGGATAGGTATATTTATCATTTCAACGAGTACATAGACGCGCATGACAAAACGAAGACCCAAAATTCCAAATTTACGAATTGATTGAACTTAATGATGGCAGATTTCCACTGTAATAGACTGCTATTGTGACAACGTAGAATGCAGTTCGGTACCTGATATATTTACGATTCGTATTTATTGAAAGTACAAGACAACGCATTTTAATATAACAACAAATAGATACTATGTACATCCAGCAAAAGCAAACAACCCAAGCGCCATTGTCGAGCTTGGCTCATTTCGACCATAACAACCAGACCCGACCGTCATGTATTCAGCGAGAGACCAGAGATCTCCCCAGTCTTCCGATCATAAATAACACAACCACTTCACGGAGAATGCCACCAACGTCCATCGAACCAGCCTAGGCAACTCGACTTCCGTTTTCTGCATGTCCCGATACATCAATTCAAGCCGCGGGGTGTTATGCGTCATGTCCCTGGGATCAGACTGGCCGATTGATTTTCTCAATGACATCCTATTCCATGACCTCCGTTCTTCGAATTCGATGGGTGGAATCGCTTAGTGGTGGCCGTCGCCGTGGTGGTGGTCGTCCTTCAGGAAGAAGTGCTCGTACGTGCAGTAGCCGGCGAACGCAACGGTCGCGATGCCCAAGCCCGGGAAGAGACGCTTGAAGCGGTTGATTCGGCTGAAGGGGCCGGTGTAGCGCCAGGCCTCACTGGGCATTGTTAGTATTAAATCTCAGATAAGCGGAGAGAGGGAGGGAATCGTACTATCGGGCCCAGGGGTCTCGCTTGGCGTAGACCGACTTAGGCGAGGCCGCGGCCTTGAATTCCTTGATGTCGAATCCGGTGGGGTTCTGGACGGCCATGGTGGATGGGTAGACGGAGGACGGGCGAAAGAGGGAGGGAGAAAAGGATGAGAAGAGATAATTTAGCGAATTGACACCCGAGTCCGCAAGGTCCGAGTGAACAATGGTGGTCGAGGGGGATAAAACAGCGAGTCCAGGGCGGAAGGGGAGGGAGAGAGCGAGCGAAGTTGAAGCTGTACAGGACCGAAGATGTGGTGCTTGGCGGCGCTAAACCGCATACGGCCGTGCTCGAAGCAAGCTGTCCGCCTCTTTTGCGCCGCCGAGCGAAACCCTCCGTCTCCCTCCTCCCTCTCTCTCTCCCCCTCGCTCCCAGCGGCCAGCGCGGAAAAAGAACCGAACCTCGAAACCACTACCACCCTTAAAATTTCCTACTTGCACCGTGGGAATCCTCAGATGCATGACCTCCACACGGCGCTGACATACACACCATGCCACCTCCTGTCGGCAGATACGGGCCTACTGGCCTGAGCGCTCCCTATACACACCTGCAACAGGCCCACCTCCAGCAGCAACAGCAACAGCAGCAGCAACAACCCCAACATCACCCGGTCCACGCCCAGTCGGCTAATACGGCTCTCCCGCCTCCCTCTCTCGGTGGCCATCCTGGCTTCGCGGCCGGAAACCCGAACACCAACATCAACCCGTTCACGCTATCTGGAACTGGAATCGCCAGCGGCATGTCGGTCGGTGGGTTTGGCGCCGACGGCGGCGGCACCGGGCTTGCCAGCCATGCGGCTCAGATGGGTTTCGCGAGAGGGGCACAGATGCAACAACAACAATTACACCAGGCCCACGATGGCCGATTGGCACTCGAGACGAAAGCAGGTGGGGTCAAGACGCGGATACGTGACGTATGGAAACACAACCTACCACAGGAAATGGCGATATTAAGACAACTGGTGGAGAAGTACCCTTATATCAGCATGGTAAGACCATCTCTGTCCGACCGTCTAGTGGCCTTGCAGATCCAGTGCTGTTCGAAATGCTTGGGCTGCCGTTCTTCTGTTCGGATCGAGGTAATATTAACTTAAGCTTGCTTTTTTCTTCCCCAGGACACCGAATTCCCCGGTATTGTTGCACGCCCTATCGGTTCATTTACGAACAAAGCCGACTACCACTACCAAACCCTCCGGTGTAACGTCGATCTCCTGAAGATGATCCAGCTCGGTATCACCCTGTTCTCGCCAGAAGGCGAGGTTCCGCCGCCTAATGCGACCGATGCAAATGGCCAGCCCATGGGCAATGGCCTCGTCCCGGCCCCTTGCACCTGGCAGTTCAACTTCCGCTTCTCGCTGGAAGATGATATGTATGCTCAGGAGTCGACGGCGATGCTCGCTAAAGCCGGCATCGATTTCACGATGCATGATAAGAACGGCATCGACCCGCACGATTTTGGCGCCCTCTTGATCAGCTCGGGTCTCGTCTTGTTGGATGACGTACACTGGGTTTCGTTCCACTCCGGCTACGACTTTGGCTACTTGATGAAGATCATGCTTTGCACGTCACTCCCCGAGAATGAGGAGCAGTTCCACACGCTCCTCAATATCTTCTTCCCGTCGCTATATGATATCAAATACTTGATGAAACATGCTGGCCGCAACCAGGCAGTCAACGACACCCCTCTGACACCCGCAGCTGCTCAGATTTTGGCCAATCTGGGTCAAAAATCAGGCCTTCAAGACATTGCCGACGAGCTTGGCGTCAAGCGGGTCGGTATTGCCCACCAGGCAGGTTCAGACTCCCTCGTCACTGGAGAGATCTACTGGAAGATGCGACAGCTTGTCTTTAATGGCACTATCGATAAGTCCAAGTACTCCGGTCAGATTTGGGGTTTGAACGGTCAAATGCCAGGCCCGTATCAAATCCATCCTCATCAGACCCCCAACCTCAACGGGGCCACCATCTATTCTAGCACGGGTACCCCAAGCACACCCAATGCTGCTCAATCGGTCGGCAACCAGACCCCTCAGCACCACGGCTTAGGCACTCTAACTCCTGGAGCTGTCGGCGGAGTACTCGGACAGTTTGCCCTCGGAAAGTCATGAACTTGGGTCTTACGAAAGCTTTCTTCCGTTTCTCAAAGGGTGTTTAGATTGGTTCGGCGGAGTCATTTTACTGCATCTTTTCTGCTTTTGCTCGACCTTTGTTCCGTTTATGCTCGATTTTGTATAGGCTCCCTGCTTCCTTGAAATCTCAAGAGCAGGCAGCCGCGAGGAGAACAGGCTTGTCGTATAGCTGTTCGCAATGTTTGCTCTCTTCCTTTTGTTTTGTTTCTTTCTTGTTCTTGCAGACCAGCGCTGGGTCTTTTTGTTTTCTATGTCGGGCCAAGGGATGAGGATTCGGTATGATGTGACGGATGTACATAGCATGTGGCACCATTGGGGTGTCTTGTTTTCTCCTTTGCTTTCTTGCAGCATTTCTTCCTAACTTCTTCACGTTATCTTCCGTTCTCAGTTCATCCATGGGGTTTTCATCGCCTGAGATCCTTCACATTTATTTTTGGAGGGGGGTGTTCGCGCGAGGTGTACGGTGTTTATTTATGGCTGGAATATGATTTTCAATTCTATTCAAGATCTCTTACGCTGCTTGGGGGTTTTTACGTATTAGATGCTGCTGTGGATTCAAAGAATATAGACACCTGCCTCAGGCATCCAAAGTACCACATCTTCAGTCATAGCTCCCTGTGCCGGCAGATTGACAACCACGATTGTATTACCCGAAACCTTGACCAACCCCGTCCGGTCCTCCCTCACGGAATAGTGCAGAAGCAGTGAAGAGGGCAGCCATATCCGATGCCACTCGATCCCCGTCCACCGATCAACCCGCAAGGGAGGTTCCGAATACCGCATTGGGCGCCAGCGTCACGGTCGATGGCGCTAGTCCCGAACAGGCAGGCGAATCCGGGCCTCTTATCGGCAGTATCGGACTCTCTATCGCTATCGGTTCGACGCATCAACAACCCTCCTTGCGCTGCCAGCAACGATGCGAGAGCTTAAAAGCCGGCCTAGCGCCTGCAGGACAGGGCAAATTATCTGTGTGACAAATTGCTCTTGTTGTGTTCTTTTCGCCTCTGTGTCACTGTTGCATCTCCTTCGACGGTGATTTACGCTCAAAGCTAAATCTACCGATCTTCCCGGCTTTATAAACGTCTTGCATTTCGGTTTTTGGGGTGTTGCTACGGTGAAATTGAATCGCAGATTGTCTGATCGTGATATCCTCGTTGCCTCATTATGGTCCTCGACCGTCTTCAGCAGTTGACCTTCCAGGTCAGCGCCACCGCGCCACCGCCTCATCCGTTGGATCCCTTGTCGACGGCGGAGATCGACACCGCTGTTTCTCTGATCCGCGAGGAACATGGCAAGGTCAACTTCAATGCCGTGACCTTGTACGAGCCGCGCAAGGCGGAGATGATGGCGTGGTTGGCGGATCCGCAGAAAGCTCCCCGTCCTGCCCGAGCTGCTGATATCGTTGCCATTGCCCCGGGAGGTAAGGTGTACGATGGAATTGTCAATCTGAATGAGAAGAAGATCGTGCAGTGGAAGCATACGCCTGGGGTGCAGCCTTTGATTACCATGGAGGATTTGCAGGAGGTGGAGCATATCGTGAGGAAGGACCCCAAGGTTATCGAGCAGTGTGGGATTGTTGGTATTCCGAAAGAGGATATGGATAAGGTGTATTGTGATCGTGAGTGTTTCGTCTTGCTGGTGGTTGAAATTGTCTTGATTTTGAAGCTAATGAGATACGTTAGCCTGGACGATTGGCTACGATGAGCGCTTCGGTACCGATGTTCGCTTGCAGCAGGCCCTCATGTACTACCGTCCTCATATCGACGACTCTCAGTACACCTATCCTTTGGATTTCTGCCCTATCTTTAACGCGGAAACGAAGGAGATCATTCACATCGATGTGCCGCCCGTGCGCAGGCCTCTCAGCAAGGCCCCTCCCAATAACTACCACCCTGCTGCAATCGAAGCGGAGGGAGGTTTCCGGACGGACTTGAAGCCCATTCACATCACGCAGCCCGAGGGTGTCTCCTTCACGGTCAAGGGACGGGAAATTGAATGGCAAAACTGGAACATTCACGTGGGCTTCAACTACCGGGAAGGCATCGTGCTGAACAACATTACCTTCAACGATAGGGGAAATGTACGACCTATCTTTTACCGTCTCTCCCTGGCGGAGATGGTGGTCCCATACGGAAACCCTGAGCATCCCCACCAGCGAAAGCATGCTTTTGACCTGGGTGAATATGGTGGTGGGTACATGACCAACAGCCTGTCTCTGGGCTGCGATTGCAAGGGCGCGATTCACTACATGGATGCAGCATTTGTCAACCGCGCAGGCGTTAGCACGATCGTGAAGAATGCCATCTGTATTCACGAAGAGGATAATGGCATCCTGTACAAGCACACGGATTTCCGTGACGAGTCCATGGTCGTTACTCGCGCTAGGAAATTGATCATTTCGCAGATCTTCACTGCCGCTAACTACGAGTACTGCGTGTACTGGATCTTCCATCAGGACGGAACCGTCCAGCTGGATATCAAGCTGACTGGTATTCTCAACACGTATGCCATGAACCCCGGCGAGGACACCCATGGCTGGGGCACCGAAGTCTACCCCGGGGTCAACGCCCACAACCACCAGCATTTGTTCTGCCTGCGAGTCGATCCCAATATCGACGGCCCCAACAACACAGTCTTCCAGGTGGATGCTGCTCGCGGTGATGGAGAGGTTGGAAGCGCCACGAACAAGTACGGCAATGCTTTCTATGCCAAAAAGACCAAATACAACACGCCGCTGGAAGCCATGTCGGACTACGACGGCAACACCGGCCGCACCTGGGAAATGGCTAATACCAGCAAACTGAACCCTTACAGCAAGAAGCCTGTCAGTTACAAGCTGGTCAGCCGTGAGGTGCCTCCGTTGCTTCCCAAAGAAGGCAGCCTGGTCTGGAAGCGGGCCGGCTTCGCTCGCCATGCTGTTCACGTCACCAAATGTAAGTACTCCTTTCCGTCTACAGAGCCAGTGAATACGTCTTTATTAACTTTCTGCCACAGATTCCGATGACCAGATACACCCTGCCGGCCGCCACGTTCCACAAACCTCGGGCGAGCCGTCTCAAGGCATTCCAGCCTGGATCGAAGCAGCCGGGCCCAACTGTTCCATTGACAATACCGATGTCGTGCTGTGGCACACCTTTGGTCTCACTCATTTCCCGTCCCCTGAGGATTTCCCTATTATGCCTGCCGAACCGATGACGTTGCTCCTTCGTCCGAGGAACTTCTTCACTCGGAACCCTGCTTTGGATGTTCCTCCTAGCTTTGCTCGAACTCCGTCTCAGATTGCGGCTGGTGGTGCGGCATGTGCGTGCAAGAAGAATGATGGGTCTAGCGTGCAGGTTTGAGCCTTCTTTCCTTGGTGATTTCATGAATCTTGATTTATGGTTTACGGCCTTCTTGTATATATATTTTGGAATTATCTTGCATTGGCTTGATGTCAGCATGAATCTAAATTATGGTATTATTATCACTCGACAGATATTCCCTTTATATTAGAGGCGGTCTAGATGCATGCACCGCCTTCTTCCCAGTGAAGCTCTAACCGTCGATCCGTGAATATAGCTGCCCCGGGCTATATCATCTCCGATGGCTGGATTCACCACGATCGCGCCAACAAGCAGTGACAGCGGTTGCCATTTTCATCGGGTATAAAATCCCCTCCTACCCCCCTTGCTTCATCTTTCTCTTCTTTCCTCCTATATCATCTCATCAGGAATCAGCCTTTCGCTTACTTGACAAAGCCTCTCGATTCCCCTTCATGTATGGATTTATCAGTGTCTAATTTACCACTCATCTCCCTTGCCGCTATGTATATGCTGCGCTTTCTACTATCCACTACATACCACATCTGAGCATTCCTGCGCATTTCACCCAGAATAGAAAGCCGTTGATTCAAGATGACAGATAAACAGTTGAATCCAGATCTTACTGTAAGAAGAAACACCTCCTACATGATAACAGAAACTAATATATATATAGTATTCAACGCGGGATTACTCAGTGCAAGCGGGTCAGTTCAAAGATATCATCTCTACACTCGCGCGAACCATCCGGCTCGCAGTGCATGCTCACCACCGCGATCGCCATAGCGATCTCGTGGTTCGTACTAGGTACGATGGATGCAATCTTTCCCGCAGCTGTATGGCATGGGCAAGCTGTTTTTTGGGCGGTATTGGGCAGAAATGCAATAGCTCTGCCTCTGTCTACCCTTCCTCGGCAATAATGGATGGTCCTTTACTGCGGAATTCGAAAAGGATTTTTCAACCGAAGCCAATAACTACGTAAAGTTGACCATGCCACTGTTGGCATTTACAGCGGGCTTCCAGAGACGCAGATCGCTTGTATTTCTTGACCATCCAAATGCAATTGCATGAATGGTATACGCACCACAATCGACTAGAGATCAGCAACCTTCACACATCTTCTCGAACTTCAGATAAACAGGAAGTCTTGTCAAAGATTGCGCGTGGCGTCAGCAGAAATCGCAGTTGCTGCCTCCAGGGTACCGAGGCTTTGTTGGCAGAGGTCCATTGAATCTTGACAAACCCACTATTGAACGGCAATATCGACATTGAGGATTGCGTGTTTCTTGTCCGACCACAAAAAACGAACTAATAACTTACCGTGACATTAGCGAAGAATATTCATCGTGGCTACGTCAAAGCTTCGTCTATCTACACCTGCCACTCCCCAAGACTGGTCCCCGAACACAGTTGCTGGAGCTGCCGTGCATCCAATCATCATACCCAGTGACGCGTGCGCTTCCGCATGAGCCAGAGCAGCTAGCTACACACATTTTTCGTGAGGAAGAGAACTCTGCTGTAGCTGGTCAGTCAGTTACACCCGCTCTTCTGAACAAGTCCTCTCCTGAAGTGCACATATCTCCAAAGGAGAGACTTCTGCTACTTCTGTACAACAGACGGAATAAAATTGAACAAATCTGGGAAAGTCAAGAGGCTCGTACACTGCTACTGTTGTAGGTAAGTGGTGGAGTCACTCGAATGCCGAACTGAACGCTATGAATCCCGTTGATAAAAGTAATGCCGGACACGTGGGCTGGAAAATGGAGACGGAGCTTGGTGCACAACTTTTGGGAAGCACACGGTGTACTGGGTGCGTGACCCATGATAGGGAATGTTGGATCTACTCTACAGCAGGCCGTGAACAAGTGTGTCATCCTGGAGATACCTGCGCATTGTGCCCTGTGAATCAGTATCCGGGCCAGCTTTTGCTGTCCCACCGCAGACACAAGCAAGGTAAAGCCCTAGTAGCCAACTTTCGCTATTAGGCGCTGCATCTCATAGTTTGCGATGCAGGGAAATTCTGATTACTCGCGCTGGTCGTCGCCTGCCTGTTGGTCAGGAGTGTGGAGCGTGCCGCGATTCGTCTGCTACGATGACGTTCGCTGTGTGCATCTCAGGGGGAACTTGGGCAGAAGCGCAATAACTGCCTCTACCATGGCCACGCAAGATATACAGTCCCCTTATTTTCCATTCTGGGCAGAACTGGACCCCTTCCGCGATGGTCGGGTCCCGTGCTTGAGGTGCGAACGACGGATTTATGGGCCTGTACCAAAAAAAAAATGTCTGCTGCCTCGTCCGCTTTGTCGGAGTTGACCGCGCCTTCGCCCCTCCCGGCTTTGTTTTGCCCTCCGCGGAGGAGGAGATGCCTCTCGCGTCCCGCCCCCCGCCGCTGCCGCTCCCTCGGGAACTCTTCGGGAGGCTTGGGACCAGCCGGCTCCGCCGGCAGTGACGCACGAGGAGTGTTTCCTTGCAACCCGAGTTCTCCCTCGAAGCGACTGTGAAGAACTACCGCATTGTGGGACGAACCGACTATACCATCTGGTGTAAAAAGGCCAAAGATACTATAAACAATATCGTTGTTGTCGAGGCGAAGGCCAGCAACCTCGCTAGTGGAAAAGATCAGATATTCGGCGCGATGGCTATCGTTGCCTGGTTTCGGAAAAAGAAGAAAAAACAGAATAACGTGATTTATGGCATTTTGTCCGATTCTCGGACCTTCTATTTCTACCGCCTCAAATATTTCGCTTATAGCGTCTTGCGTCTGAAATGAACAAGCTTGAACGAACAGCAAGAAATCGTTGGACTTCTGGGTTCCATTTTTAACCATGCCAGTGTCTTGTCTCCCACCGGTACTCGCGAGCCCGTCCTCTCCTTCTTTCTCAGTCAGGACCTGTTCGACCGGATAGACCTGGACGACCGTTTTCATTGAGGTGAATTCTCACGATTTCATGACCTGAAAATATCTATAAACTTCTCGCAAAACAAACCGCGTTATCAAACTCCGAAAGAATATGAGAAAACCGGGTAACAAAACACAGCCACTGACAACTCTTGGCCCACTGGACTTAACGCATGCCGGAGTTATAGACAGATCTATCAGTGAGACGATCTTCTTCCTGATAGAGGCTTACTCCGTCCATGGAGTTTGGAAGTCACCCTCTGTGGCCTGGTTTCGCCGGGCTACGCGGGTCTCCCATGTCACGGTCCCGGGACTGCCTCCATGGGCAGAGGACCAACCTTTGTCGACCAGTGAGCGCCGTTGGGTGCTCGCGCCGGTATTCCGCTCCAGCCCTTGGTGTGAATTCGCGGACCCGGGGCAGATGGTGGCGCGCGCTCAGATTTGCCGCCATACAACGGGACAGGTAACGGTGGATCACGACCGAGTCGTCGGACACCCAAGCTGTTGAACTCCCAATCTGGCGGAGGAATTGTCCAGTGTGGGGATGAGCACAGCCTCTGAGGCCGATTTCAGGAGAGAAATGGCCAAGTCCTCGGCGCCATCCTCCAGGCCAATGGCGTCAATCTCCATTTCGAAGACTTGAAATGCACACCTTTCAGCGCAAACCGGGCTTCAAACGCTATGAATCAGGCTCTTGTGCAAAGACACGTCAGAAGCTGGAGAAATCGTGCGCCGGAGCTCGCCTGATGGAGAACGAGAAATTGCCTTACGCCGACGAGAACTCGTTGGAAACAACGGAAAAGGAGTTGCCTCCGCCCGAAACCAAGCTGTGAGGCTTATGGGTCGCGATAATTATCGGAAATCAATTGCTTGACGTTAGGGAAAAAGGGAAAATCCATCCAGAGGACTTCAACGCTAGTCGCTCTCTCCGTATCTCTCGCACCCCACGCGGAAAAAGAATCGGGAAAATGCATGTCGTGGGAGAAATCTGGTGGGCGAATTGAAAGCTTCTTGGGTACTGGGGCCTGGTTGTACAAGGAAGACCGTGAATTCGAATGCGGGAGAGAAGAACACTTGCGAATGAAAGAGGACCCTACTACCTGGCCTTTAGCGGTGGCCAAAATGATCCTAAAACATAACTGCCCCCAGAGTACACCAAACGGCAGTAGATCTACAAGTGGCTCATATCAGGGACTTTGAAGTCATAATCAGTCTTTTATGCGAAGCCTACTCAGCCGGTCATCGTTTCCCTGGCGAAATACCTTCGAATTGTTGGAAGATCAATCATATTCGACCAAGACATCTGGCCTCGACATCTATAGACATTGGCCAGCGTTTATGCAGACTCCAATCGCGGATGTTGAAGCTATTTCATAGGCTCAGTGATGGTTCAGCTACATATCCAATACTCGGATTGTGAAACCCATGTATGTGGGCGGCTAAGTAGTGCTTCATTGTATGCATCTATGCGAATCCTGACGCAGGTTCGGGACGTTGGGTGAGCGGAGTATTTTACAAATAATCGGATGATTCGACGCAATCGACCAGGCTCACGTTTACCTCCACGGTCGAATTGAACGAGATGGATGATGTGGTTGTCATCTACGACATTTGGTCTTAATAACGAGGTCTGGACCCGTCGCGCCCGCCGCGGCCGTCAGACTGTCCCGCCTGTGAGTATTTGGGCTCCGCCCGTGGGCTCCTAGACAGTAGACTCTAATACATCATGATAATGGCATACCACCTGCCAGGCGATCGAGAAGAAGTTAACGGGGCCGTTCACTCCTAATCGGATGCTATTGGCTTTTAGCTGTATCAAATCCATTCAGTATTTTATGATGTCCGGCAGTCGACGGGCTTTCTCCAAAAAATTACAGGACCCAAGCCGCCTCAAGGCCTCGGTTTCATAACCCAAACTCAATGACGGTTCACATCATTCCATCGAAGATCATCTCGCGCAAGTCGATTGAGTCTATGCGTCAGACTATTTCCGGTTTTCCAGATGGAACAAGAAGAACTGGCTATTTCTGTGCTCGTTCTCGACCAAGAGAAACTGGAGATGAATCGTCCCAGAATCATCATCGGGTTTCCTATATCAAGGCCCGCTCCTTCCTTCGAAAAATAGTTATCAGCATCATGCCAGAATCCTTGGGTGGTAGGAGTCACAATGAAGCATCCATGAAGGCCATACAAGATGAAGTTGGTAATACGGAGGACTAGATGATCGGAATGTGGTGGACTGTTATGAAGACCAAAACACATGCTTGAGACCAATTCAAGATGCAGTACAGCAGCAATATCTTCAAACCTCTGCTTTCCCATGTTGAAAGGAAATGGCTAAACGAGGATATTCAAACGCGCATACTTTACTGGTTTACCCATAAGGCATTTCATTGTGATAAGCTCGGGCGGGTAGGCCCACGAGGCGGGACCCCAGGAAACGGCATAACTGGCATCCAAGTATACCACCCATACTTTTACGGCTTTCACGGTGGTAGGTGATGGTCTTCCTTGCTTCCTGGACCCGCCATCTAACCAACGTCCCCATGTATCAAATGCATGTCTGCCGAGAATGCACGCGAGGAGGCCGCCAGAGCCTTCACTACGGCCGATTCCGGGGTGGCGGTACTGGTGACGACCTTCAAGGTGGGAAGTTGCGGCCTGAACCTCCACCACCAACTGCGCCAGAGTGGTGGTAGTGGAGGCGACCCGCAACCTGAACACCGTCTGGCAGGCCGGGGGTAGAGCCCACCGTGTCGGCCAGAAGCTGCGGCAGAAGATGTGGATATTGTACCAGCAACAGACCCGCAAGACATACCTGGAATGGAATAATGGCGATGAGGACGGGTTGAGATCAGTGACATTCGACCGATCTCTCGCAAAACGAAAGGAGAACTGTTGGTTTTCTGTTTCCCATTCGGCAAGGGAACACTATTGACTGTTCTTTCACTTCGAATCTGTTCTGTTTCCGCGTTTCTCTCACCTCTCAACCATCTTCTTTCCGTGATTTTCTACTTCTCTTACCGAGCGTCATCTCTCAGGTCCATCACGACAATCATGCATGCATCTTACTCTACGGTCTCAAATCAATACAATTAGGCCGGTATCGAGAAGCAATAGCCTGCTTATGGAAACAAGCTATCAATTGCTCTAGAGGCCTTCATGGCCTAACTGGCTGCAAATCGCAATCTTAGTTCCCGTGACGTATAACAAGATGTAACGATAACAACATTATACATCACAGAATTTGGCCTGTCTACAAACACTTCAGTATGCTGGCCAAGGCATTTGGATAATCTTTCCTGGCCCAGCCATTTGGTGGCAAAATTCAATTTCGACACGTTCAACCATATGGACAGGAAAGAATGGATTATGCATAGAAATACCTGGTCCGTTCTCTAGGGGTAGGAATAATACGTCTTGCGCAACCAGGAAGCTAGCCATTGCCGCAGACTATGAACTTTCGAAGGTTGACACATAGCGCGAGGAATGAGGATGACGGATTATCTAGATGGCATCAACCCATTTGACCGCCTCTCCAACAACAGGTTCTAATATTCGCGGCTTCAGAGGGGCCGTCTGTCATATTGTCAAACCTGCAGGGCCCTTGAATTTGGTACTATGAGCCAAGCAGGTATAGCAAAGTTTATGAGAAGAGTGAACTGCCACCTGTACATGCGCTGTACTTGAACACTTTGAAGATTACGAACCGTTCTTCCGGCTCCCCGTTCAATTTTTGATGCAAACGGGCTTCCAAGGAGAACACGAATGCCTCGCGGAGATGCGGTAATCGTGCAATATGAAGGACGTTATTGGATTCCTGCAGTGCGGTACTCACGCCTATATGCTCGATACGACCAAGTAACCCGAGATACAAATAACAGCTGCTGTACTCACGACGCATTACAAGCTAATAGGCGTCCGAGACGGGGATGACGAGAAATTGATGCTGAAAGACAAGGAAGTGGTGCCAGGCCCTCATCGACTATGACATCGCTCATCGAATACTACCATGAATCTATATTTCTTCCAATACGCCACTACCACTGAGCCGAATGTGAGGAAATATTAAACCAATGAAATTTTGAACAGGTCGCTTGTGAAGCCTACAAAGCATGCTTTACGCGGGCGAGGCCACTCTTGCCCTGCGACACAATACCTAACCTGTCACGGAATTGACGCGCATTCGCCGTGCGGATGGGTTAAGCCACACGAGGTCAATAGCAAGTTGGCAGGCCTATAATCTTGCGGAGAACCTGTTCTTTGAGGCAATGTAGTTTGTTTGTTACTTGTTGTGTGGGGATAAACTGAGCGACATCTTTCCGTGGCGGATGAACGAAACACCACCCAACCCCAAGTTGAAAGCAAAGATCTACAGGGAATTCTTGTTGTCTCCCCTCTTCTGCACGGAGCATATCCGGATATCGAGGCCATACATCATGAATTGCGACATGCTGATCCTAGCATATTGTCTCAAGGCTATCAGCCAAAGACAGACATGCTCAAATAGGAACGAGGCTCCTACAGAGATATCTTGCCTTTCGTCAACTCCTCTACTCAGAACTGGTCTTCGGTCCTTTATTTCGTGAAATTATCAACATTCTATACAGCAATATAGACCCCGTGAATACAGAGCTATCTGAACAAGAGATCTCAATTGGGTCTTGATCGAAGATAACAAAGAAGAATGGCTGGAGGTCTCCCAGCGGCGGCAATTCCCCTCCTCCTCTGCCCAACGGTGGGACGGTGATCCAGTCCGACACCTAATCGATGGAAACATAATCGGTTTTTACCGGACTCCTTACCCAGACCGACCCGTGAGACAACAACCTAGAAGTGATCAGGCGCTGCAGGGAATCTCCTATCAAAAATGTTGTCCACGAACCAATCGGCCTCGACAAGTCGCGCATCCGGCATACTTTTTCCATAACGAATACACGCCTGTCGGAACGTACTTTCCAGACAGTGCATCTTTGGCAGAATGCTAACCTACCTCCTTCGTGTCCTCTAGGAAACGAGTCCCACCCGATCCAGTCTCACACAGTCGTTTTTTATCATAACATCCATCACGATGCAGAGTCAGGGAACAGTGGGTGGACGTAAACGGAAGGCGCGCGCGAGTGACAGTGATGACGATGAACGCGATCTTTCCATGCCGGGTTCCTCTAGCACTATGTCCGATCGACCGCAATGTCGGGGTTGTCCTCTTGAAGGCCGAGGACATTGGTGGAGGTTTGCAGGATAGCGGATCCGATGAGGATGAGGCTGGCACCAGGATAGCGAGGATAGCGGGCATGGGTTTCAATAAATATGCTCGGTCCTTCAGAGTCCTGCAGCCGGTAATGCTGGACAGGGTCAGGATTACACCCGCGAAAAGAATGGAATCGGGAGGGGATCGTTGGGTCACCGGGACTTCTTCTCATTTAACTCAAAATGGAAGACCAATTGGCAATACAAGTGTTTCGACAACTAACCGCATGGCCGGGCTTGCTGCGTGCGTACAACTGGAGAGATTTCGATACGATGCACGACAGGATGTTTCTCCGCGATGTTGCTCTCGATCGGAACGACATCCTGATGCACCGTACCTATCGAGCAAAAATTTACGAGCACCTCGACGCCTGCCCTTCTGGTTCTAGTAGGTGAGCAGTGCCGCCCTGATGTCGCGCGACGGGGTGAATGGAGCGGGTGATGGGGGTGAGGGTCACCCGATGGTCGCGCGACTAGCGGGCTAGTGCTTACCTTCGGCCCTTGGCTGCTTCGTGGACCCTGGTCTCACTATACTGATTGGACACCCCGAAAGAAAACCATCTAAATCGTTCTCTTGTATTCCCTTGCCGTTTTAAGAGCCCGTCATATCAGTTGAGGTCGCCATGGGATCCTCCAATTACCAGGTGCTCTAAAGATACTTCCAAGGGCATAAGATATTTCCTATTTCTTTTCGCGGCCTTTCCTCCATTTTTCATGTCTTCGCAGGAATTCTTCAGAGAGTGGCCTGACCCGACTGTGAATAGGAGTACAGAGAAAACGGTCTTCTATGATGTTGAGGATAGGAAAGAAGACATACCAGCACTGTTACAGGAGTATGAGAGAAAATATCGTCTAACGTAGAAGCCAGATCGAAGATGGGTCGCAAATGCTTCACAAAATAATCACTGAATTCTATGACTTGAAAGGTGGTAGCGCCACGTTGAACTCCTTGGAAGCAAATTGGCAAAGAAAATCCTGTATATGCTCATACCTCACACACAAAAGCTGCTGGTTTCAAAGGCCGCTACCCTGGGATAAGCTTGCAACTCATCCGTGTTGTCCCCTCGGAAGCGAAGTCTGACCCTAGGCAGACTGGCCCGTGATGACTCCTCCAACATTTCTAAGCATCTCGGCCTCCTAACACCAATCTTTCTTCAAATATATCGCATATGTTTCTGTTACAATACTGACAATGAAGACTTCGCACTGCCAAAAGCCTAGAGAGACAATACGGTACAATATGACTGTCAAATACTTTAGGCGAGAGCGAGTACCCGCTGGCATGTCAGGCGTATAAAGTTAAATGGGAGACAACTTTCATATATGGGGAGTTGGCACAAACACCACGCTGACCTGACAGAGTGGAGGCCCCGAGAATGAGATGGTTGTGGAGAGGGAGAGGTAGGCTGATTGACTTGGATAATTAATTTGATCATAATTAAAGTGAGACGTTACTTAGCCATCGTCTCCCCATATTTCAGCGGCCTTCCATGGCTCAAGAAGCTACAGAATCGCAACCGTCAGTTCGTATATGCTTATGCTTACAATTAGGATGTTGCGTACCTGTACCTAAGCTACAAATCTGTGCTATAGGTAATATTATCTGTCTCTGGGTTTAACTACTCCCGGAAAGCTCAAAAAAAGAAAATAAGTATCTCCTAGGCCTAGAAAGAGAACCTAACCGTGTACCCGTTTAGTACCACTGCTTAAACGATCCTGACATCTCTTCTGGGGTTCGTTTGACAGACAAACTGCCACTCCGCCCCAGGAATCCATCGTCCTTGCACGACACCCACACGGTGGTATAGACCATTCAGAAGCCGAGCGACGACCAAACCCCAGAGGTCAATGAATGTTCCCGAGCGACATGCAAGCAGGGGACAGCACCAAAGAGGTTCTGTGTCCCGCATGACCCCATAGTTTGATTCGATAACGTCGTTCTTCGAGTTCCAAGCCGTCGATTTCTCCGCGGCTATATCATAGTACACGTTCCCCAAAATAACTCGACGAGGCGGTTTTAATGGCGAGTCTCGCAGCTCACTCTCTGTGTGAAACTGAGTTATGCCCTCTGCTTTGACGGGCCTTCCGGGTAGGAGAAAGGCATGGAGACGGATGTCCGCCGACTCGACTTGTCCATATGGGGCCTGCGCAGATATTGGGATGACAGTACAGTCAATTAGTTCAGCCACTTTGTCGGAGTATGAGCGAAAAATTCTGAACCTGATATGCCCTTCGACAGACACGAACGACCAGGACGGTGCGCGCCATGACCGGGGCCTGGTCAGACGGGAAGGGGGCCTCGTCGAGGGTTTGTTCTTGCTAGCAATGGGACCGAGTATGACTCCGGTCCACAGGAGATCTGAAATTATATTACCGCGCCAGAGGCCTGCGAGATATTGTTCCGACAAAGACCGCGCAAAGACCTCCGCGATGCTGGACAGAGCGGGAAGCTTGTCCTCATGACAGGTCAAGAGCTTGGTTGAATACTCTTGCACAATTGCATGCCATTTTGCATAAGTCGCCTCGATCCCCGAGTACGCCAACAGGTCTGATTGCCCGTAGCGTTCGGGGACGGCTGGCTCCGCGTGACGGAAGTATGATTGTTCTGTGAGCCGGCCTCCGTGATGGCCGAAGGATTCAGGGCATACCCAGAGCATGTGTTCCTGGAAGATAAGTAGTCGTCGGGACATGAAGCGCTCCTGCATAGTCCACGCTCGCTCTCGGACCGTCTCCACCCGGACAGGCGGCCAGTTGGTGTGAAACAGGCCAGACGGTTTATACAAGCAAATCTTTCCAGTCTGCCCGTCGGGGAGTCTGAACGGCAGCAAGAATGGACGGGAAGCATAAACTGGTGGAGGTGTATTCAAGAATCCGGTATCGTATGAACGGGATAGGGCAGCTGAAAGCGTGATATCCGCGTTAGCATAAATGGCGGCCATCCTCCCCAGCTCGTTCGCTCGGTCCTCATCGGAATCCTGAATAATGCATAGAGAGTCTACCCACAGGAAATGATACCCGAGTCGGAGACAAGCGGTCACTGCATCTTGGATGGTCCTCCCTAGGCAGTGCATAGAGATCTTTCGATGGTACGCATCCACGTTATAGGTGGAAAGGCCGTAATTCTGCGGTCCTCCCCAGCAATAAGACAAGGCCACGTAGCGGGGGTAGGGACTCTTTATCTTGGTTAGACGTATATAGCCCTGTTGCGTGGAGGAAAGATCTAAGATTCTGCACGGGTGTCCTTCCGGAATGTTGACGTTGTTCGAGTTGCAGCGTGCGTGGTTCTGGCGACATTCCTCGATCCACCGAGAGGCCTCCCTCCACAAGGACGTGGACTCGAAATCGTTGCAAGGAGTTAGCTTTTCGGTAAGCGCTGTCGCCGGGTCCCCTACCACATTCACGGTCACTTCACGTATAGCGCCATTATAAAAGCGGACTCTGTACTTACCTGATAAGACGCTGACTTCGAGGATCACTCCCATGCCTTGCGGTTCCCAGAACATACCTCTTTCCAGAGTGTAGCGTTGCAAATTGAGAGAAGACCCACTCAACGATAGGGTAATCCTGTAGTTTGACCTGGCTTCACCTAGGCCTTTAGAAGCTTCTCCTAGGAGATGTTTGGCTGTTGTACCTCGGTTGGAAGCCCATCGTAACCGAAACACCAAGTCTCGCGCAGTGGAGAGGGCAGTGCTCGACATCTGAGACCATAGGGAGGTTCGTGAGATCGTTACCTTTTGGCCTGGCCTATGTCTGGCTTCATTCAGTGCAAACTCTACCAACAGGTCGTCAAGTGGCTTCCACTGGATGGCAGGGTCATCTATACCCAGCAAGTGCCGGCACATTAAGCAGCCTTCCAGCGCCGTCTTGTCCATCAAGGACTGGTCTCGGAAGATCACGACAGTCTGCTTTAGCATGGAAAGAGCGTTGTCGTGCACGAACATGGACCAGCATTGGGCGCAGGTACTCATTGGAGTGTTACGCAGAGGACTGAAGATCACAAGTTCAAGAGTTCGTCTTATGCCAGGTTGCTGGTTGTCCCTCTCTCTTTGACCAATGGGGTAAGGGTGTGGCTAATTGCTGAGTGGCTCATTGAGGTGGCACGTCCAACATGCCCACATGCCACCTATTCCACCGTCGATTCATACTTGGTTAAAGAATGTGTCACGAGAGAATGGCATATATACAGAATATCAATGCACAGCAATCGGCATCGTCAGTCACCCAGTCGTGCGTACACTCACACCACACGCAATCTTTTCGATTCGAGTTCTTCAGGGCCACATCGCAGCCGTTTAAGAGAACCTGGCCGCTTGTGTACCGACCAATGGTCCAATGTGCACCGATGGAAATCGATGATCAGTGCTCGCTGGAGTTCGGCATTCCACAAGATATTTTCCGGACGAAGATCCTGGTGGAAAATTCCCAAAGAACGGATTTCCTTGCTAAGAGTTATACCGTACTTGATCACCTGACGCACGCCCCCACCTGACGCACGAATTTTACCTCAGCATCTATATAGAAATGAAGCTCTACAACCACACACATTCAGTATTATACAGAGATTTTTAGAAGGTTGAATAAATGCATTATATTGAAGCCATTTACAACATTTTTTACTGCCGAAAGTGCTCAGACAGGCGGATCTGCCTACCGCGGCGATTGAGCATTGAGGGGACTTCATCAACAATCTCAGGTTCTGCAGCAGCTCTACCACTCGATTTCTTTGCCTTTGGAGTTACAGAGACCTTATTTTCATTTGTTTGAGCGATATTGAAGTCATTTTGAAGCTATATATCAGCTTGTTTAGCGAGTTGATTATTCTGTTTTTTCTGTTTTTTTATTTCTGTCTCACGAACCCGCGTTTCTTAATTTGAAGCGCGGATTCGTTTATGTTCTTCAATTAAAAGTCTTTAATCTTGCTTTTTTCGCTATTTACAAAGTCTTTCCTCTTTTTTTGAAATCTTAACAATCTGTATAGCCTCATCTCTTTCTGTTTGAAGATCACGAACTTGCTAAATCTTCTTAAAAAAATAAAACACTGTGTAGCCGTTCTCAGGGACTCGTAATTCAGATAAAAGAGGTTTGTCTTGCTAACGCTTCTTTTTCTTTTGAAAAAGGGCCTCTTTAAGGTCTTGACAGCGTAATTTTAAGATAACATTTTTTGTAGAGAGATGATGTATTATAAAACTCAATTTTTTTGTTTTTTAATTATATAAATCAACAACTGCATATTTAAGAAGTTTTTCAATCTTTTTTCAATCTTCTGCATCAAACATTAAATGAGATAACTCACTAAAAAATGATCAATTATCATCATTCCGATTGAATCACGATAGGACAATATCAAGATTTAACAGTCAAATATCTATTGATTTCTATAAAAAAGCAATATTTTCACTAGATAAAGCGCTCTTTCATGATAGTCAAAAAAGGCGAAAGAAATCTCTTTTCGTAATATAACAAAGATCTTGAAATTCATAAAAAAATTGTTTCAATCTCTCGCTATATATTGTAAAAAAAGGCCCAAAATTCCAACGTCAAATAACTAAAGCAAATGCGTAAAATGAAACAAATAGATTATTAAAAAGATTTCATTTATCTCACAATATTCGAAAAACTTCATATTAACATAAGATCCGTGACTGTCAAGAATAAAAAATCTTCAACGCCGCTTCGTTTTCGCTTTTGTCTTTCAATCGAATACATCTCGTAGTCATGTGTATTTTAATTCATTATTTGTCCATCCTGAAGGCGAGAATATAAAAAAACAAAGATAAAAAAAAGGATCGAAATCCTACAATCAAGAATTTTGAAGCTTTGAAGAAACTGCTTAATATATAAGACTCAGACATAGCAAAATCCCATCTGCGCAGATATAGACGAACATTATAATCTATTTTCGATTTTTATTCTGAAGCCGTTGTTTCATTTCATTCTTTTTGTATAATGATTTAGAAAAGATTCTCTTCGCTTTACTAAACATTCCGATTAAAAAGTTTTTCTCATTCATATTGTAGATATCTTCCTGCTGTATATCGTATTCCGAACTTTTGCAAATCAAAAGTTCAAAATATAATGCGTAATTCAACACAAAATCAATCTTTTTTCGAAAAAAATCGATTCTAATTGTATAACGAGAAATAAGATTATCACTATATCGTTTTATAAAACAGTTCAACCACTGTTTTTCAAGACGATTACCAGAGATCTCATGAACTAGATTTCGCAGCATTTCAAATGATATATAAAAGCCTTTCTCGCTCAATCAATTGATATTAGAAATAAACACTTTCGCTTGTTGATCATTAAGCAATCGTTGGTCCTGATATTGCTTATCTTTGGAATGCTGAACGCCGCGGAATCTTCTTAATAGCGTTGATCTATGAATTCTATATTTTTTTGCAATAAAAGTAAGAGTAGGTCTATCTTCAAACTTCAGGGAATTTAATTCTGCAATCGCCTCGTCAATAGGAGCCATATTGATGAAGATATTGAGGTTTAAAGATATTCAAAATATCGGTGTAGAATGGATTTTCGTGCGTCAGGTGGGGGCGTGCGTCAGGTGATCAAGTACGGTATGGCTATGGCAGTTTGGAGGGCTTGGCAGGGATGACTAAAGCACTGAATTACGTGATCTCCACGGATTCGATTGAAGGTCTTGATTTTCTAACTATGCGATATAGCTCGTACTTATGCAATCCCTGGAGCTTCAAAATGATGATCAATCAACTCAACAGGAAGAAGCAATTATGTTGAATAATTGACTGGTCGATTATTTCGGCTGAGCAAGGCGATGAAATGCCGGCTTAGTCAACTCCCGCGGCCACAATGGCTTACGCACTCGCCACCCCAGCCCATCAGGAGCATATGACAGATTTTACCGGCGCCATGAAGAAATTAAATTTGGGCCAAATCAATCGTCCCAAGAAAGACAGGAACAGCGGATCCTTGAGCGCGCTGAATGACACGATAAACGTCGGCTTCGCGCGACACCTCCGTCCAGAGCCGTGACGTGGTCCCTTTTCCGACAACGGTATATCCGAAGGTGGCACATGTAATCTTAAATGGCGCGCCGTAGGACCCACAAGAGCCGACAGGAGTGCAGTTGCGATCCAAATCTTGATCGACCTGTGCTTTGAGCTTCTTCACTAAGTCAGGTGCGCTGATCGGATAGCGACCCTAACTTCCGCCAATATACAGCTCCGTGTTGGGGCACTCGGGTCAAGTGTGCCGCCTTGCTGTAGCTCGAGGAGGCACTTTTGTGTGCAATATGAAGGATCATGGGAGCGAGATTGCCCGGTTTAGTTCACTTGGCGATCTGCTCGCGGCGCAGACCGTTGGGTTGGAGGAGACGATGTGACATCGCTAAACCCTCGCTTCCGTCCAGCAAATGCAGTAGGACCGGCTTCAGAATCAGAAGAGTCCTCTTGGGGGTGTCTGTTGGATGATGGAGCGCAACCAGAGGCCGCTCCTGTGGGCGCTCGACGACCTTCGACGACGGGAGACCCCACAGGAGACGATGAAGGTATGTACTCAGAAGTAGTCTGCTCGAGACTAGTGTATTCGGAGCTAGTGTCCAGGTTCGAGTTCTGCGGTAATTCCGCCCTTGGGATCTGAGAGCGCTCGCTATCGAAACTCGTGTGCCATTTCGGCAGCTTGTTTGCGGCAGCATTGCGCCAGGCTTGATCACGAAGAGGATTGCGAAAGCTCATCAAACAAGCGCATAAAGCTCTCTCGACTCTGGTGCGCGGTCCCTGAGCATTGATACCGGGTCCTCCTACATCGTAGCATAACGTAGCTGGATCGTCGAAAGGCACCCATAGTTGCACGTCTACAAGGCCGTTCGTAATGGACGAGCATCCGACTCCATATTCTATCATCCCGTGGAATTGTTGAACGGCCACCGACCCAGCTAACCGCGCAGCATTGTATCTCTGCTTCTCCGGCCCATCTGTTGGTATAGTGTCTGGTTCGACAATTTCCTGCCAAAATTCTATCGGTCGAAATCCGTCGCGTATAGTCTGTACCGGAAGTCTATGAGGAGGTTTATATTCGACGGTATAATTGGCGTCAGGCCCGCGCGCAAGCGACCGATCACGGGGACCTCGCGAAACAAGGTGGTATGAGGTTGACTAGCAATTTCGGCCAGAAGAGGTCCTCCAGTTGTACAGATCAATACTTACCGCCGACCAAGAGAAGCTGCTCGAGCTCGCCGGTCCGTCGCAATGATATGTCGCTCCAGAATCGCGTCCACCGCCGCGTTTGTGTACTTGATTATGGCAAGTCAATATACAAGGCCAGTTCTCGTGCGGCGCTTTTGAATGCTCTGGAAGCGTGCATCGAAGGTGAGACATCAGTGCTGAATGACTCTTATGCTGGATACACGTTTGACTTTTATTTTTCAAGGTTATGAGTCGCTTCACACTAAAGCCGGGGTGCTCCAGGCAGATATATCAACCGGGAATCTGATGATCAATGAGGACGAGGACAATGACTCCTGGCCTGCATTTCTCATCGACTCGGATCTTGCCATCAAAGAAGATAGGGAACGAGCTTCCGGCGCAAGAGGTAAGACAGGTACTAGAGCATTCATGGCCATAGGACTCCTGCTGGGAGAGAAGCACTCATTTTGGCATGATCTGGAGTCATTCTTCTGGGTTTTGTTTTGGATTTGCATCCATTACGATGGCCCCGGCAAATCTATCGGACCCACAGACTTTGACTGCTGGAACTATGACGAGGACCAGAAATTAGCCAATTCAAAACGAGGAATAGTTGCAGATGAGGTGGACTTCGATAACATCATGGACCGATATTTTACGCCCTACTATCAGCCTTTGGCTTCGTATGTGAAAAAGCTATGAAGGGTCGTCTTTCCTAGAGGCGCGAGAAGAAAGAGTGGAGACAGGGGGTTATACGGTCAGATGAGAGATATTCTTTATATTGCATCCAAGGACCCAGCTGTACTTGAGACACATGATTGAATTCGAGTGAAACAATGTTGGCAGCTCTCCAATACTCATATTCGGGCCACTCTGTATCCACTACTCCGAGAAACAACCGCCAGAGATTGTGGCATCACTCTTATCGAATATAACGGGTAGTAAAATTATTGCAAGCACAGATTCATTGCCATGCCTGGGAGCACGCCAGTGAAGTGGTGCATGTGCATTTTTTACTATGAGCGAAAAACAGTGTTGGGCATCAATGATGACCTTAAAATGGTAGGCGGTGTCAGATGGCAGATCGAGTAATTCGCAAGCCCCACCCCGTCCTACCCCTCCGAGCTTCTGCTAACATCAAACTACTGTTGGACCCTTAATGGTAGCTCATTCTCAACAGAGAAAGGAGAAAGAGATCCAAACGGGTCTATAGGGAACCGCTCACATACTCCGAACTTATCTGAACGTCCTTCGCAGGCCAGACACCGCACACCTGATGGCTGCGGGAATCGTGCCGTTCTCATCTACCAACGTTAAGGCACAGGCTGCAACGGCGTGGGCAGAAGCGAGACCTGTTGCTGAATCTCTTCCAAAGCCAAAAGACCTTTCAGTTGCAAGGTTTTTCACAACTGATGAGTGCAACGCTCTGATTAAAGAGGTCCTGAACGAGGCGACGCCAGGGGTAATGTGTCTGTTCCAAACATTATCGGAGAAAACTAACGAGTTTGTAACCTCCAGATACCGTCAAGGCAACCATTACGGATAAGAACTGGAGGATACGTCGTCTTCCCCGGGAAAACTACCACCGGACAAACCGTCACGACTCTGATACCACTACAAGTTACTGGCCATGTTAAACTTGGCGAGATGTTGGTTGATACGGATCACTATTATAAGATTCTGACTGAGTGTGAGGTAGAGGTCTCACAAGGAGGGAAACTGGTTGCATTAATTGTGTCCGACATAGGATGAGAAGGGGGGCTTGTGTTTTAGTTCCATTCACTGTACAAAGTTTCATATATATGATATGTTCCCAGGCACCGTTTGTTAAGAGCTGTCCGAGATCGGCTATAAATAGACGTCTTGGAATCCTTGTATATCCCAGTCAACCAATCCCCAGTCAGAGAACCCGAATAAGGTAGCGTTGTCGAAGGGCACTGGCGGATATGTATTATCATAGTACCCTGCGTTGTTGAATCCAAGGTTCATTTGCTCTGGCAAAAGGCCGGAATCCTGATATTGCCCAAAGGTTGAAATGTCTTGCGGCGTTAACCCCGTTCCCTGTTGGCCCGCTTCGCTCTCTTCGTTCGTCAGAACTCTTTGCTCAGTAGACGTCCGGGAAGGTGCGCTATTGTTGGACACAAAAGCGGGACCACGTGTGCCTGTGACTGTCTGAGTATGAGTGACTTCAGCACAGTTAAACGAATTTTGATGTGGTCCGACCGTTGGCGACAGAAGTCGATGAACTGTAGAATAGCCGGGAAGTTGGGAATTTGCAGCTCGGGACTTCTTCTGGATGGGTCTGAAAGACTGGTTCGGATTAAGGCCCCGCGAGGGACCACTTATACTGGAAGTATCCTCATCTTGCCATCGGCGTTTGGCTGATCTTTCGTTGGATAGAGCCCTCCCTGTGTTATTATCATATAATGTTCTCATGTCAGACGGCAACAGAGCCGTGCGACCGCTTTTATGATCTTTTCGACGTCAGACACATGTCTACAGAAGACACTGAGCTCCATCTTACCGTTATATACGGCCTGGCATTCGCTGATCCAACGAGATTGTTCCAGCAAGAAGTTGAGGATGTGAGCTGCCGAACCTTCACTCGCAAGAAGCTCCGCAAACTCCTCTTGTTGATCAAATGTCATGCTGAAAAAGTCAGGGTAAGCAAAGGCGATCCCCAATTCTATACCTCCGCACGCTGTGCCATCGGAAAGTTTATCTGACAACAGTTTCTCCTGAAGGTGTTGTTTGATGCCATAACGGATTGACCTGACCGCATCGTCTTCGCTTTTAAACCTGCGGCACTCCCTCACATATTGCGCAACGTGCCCACTCTGAGGATTCGCATTTGAGAGCCGTTCAGCCAGCTCCTGCACCCTCGTTTTCTTCAGCCCACGTACTTTTAGTTCCCACTGTGTGTATTCCTCCGCTAAAGCTCGCTGTGCCAGACAGAGGACGAGTCTTTCTTCGTCCCCAGCGTTCTTCTTCCCGATAATGCGAGTCACATCGCTAAGTCGACCGTCTTCATCAACGAAAGAGATCAAGATTCTCTCGACAACCTTTCTTGCTTCTGTGCCCGAAAGTTTTTTCATCTCGGATATTCTCTTTTCCATGGTGGTGAGCAGTCGTTGCGGTCGCAAGTCTCTTGGCTGAGTTCTTCTGACTGGACGAAGTCGACGGTTTAATGACGGCACAGTGCCTGCTGATGAGACCGATGAAGCAACACTAGACCCAGCAACCTCTGTAGAAACGGTCTCGTCTTCGCTACTATGCGGCGAAGACAGCCCTGAGGTAATCGCGTCGGTGCTGGGGGCTCTCAGTGAGCGCCATATTGTTTCCGCAAGGGTCAGTGCCTGGCTTCGATAAGACTCCAGTGAGCCTTCAGGTGCCGATAAGAGCGTTTGCAATGCAAGTGGAATATCCATAGTAAAGTCGTTGTGCTGGTTCTTGAATGAAGCTGTCTTGGGCCTCCTGCTGGCTGTTGAGTATCACATATGCGGGGGCCAGAGGCGCAGGTGATACACGTGACCTAAGTTCAACACCCAATGGGAAAGCTGAAGATGGTCTGATGGTGGCTTACGCAGGTGTCTTTTCACTTTTCGAAGATAAGTCTTGGGATTTTCAGAAAAAATTATGCGGTGGTTGATAAAAGTATGCGGGCCTTCTGCGAGACTAAATTCCAATGATAACAGACTACAAGTAGACTTAAGTACAATAAAACAAGTACGCTTCATCTAAATGTCCCTTGCGGCTGTCAGCGAGCTATGTATAAATCAGCATTTCCGTTCATGTCGTAGTGTACACAAACTTACCAGGCATTCAGCAAATCCGACGACAATCTCTTCTTCCTCGAGTAGTGACCGCCTTTGATCGTCCGAGATTCCCTCTTCGTCATACGTCTCCGCCCTGTCAAAATCCATCCAAACGACTCTTTCAGGATCATTTCTCACTATCATCATGTTCCTGGGCTTCGGGTCCCTGTGTCTCACCAGAGCACGATGTATCTCTTGGACGCCAGTGATCAGGTTATTGAGGCGTTTTCCCGTGCAGTTATGGATGTTGATCATCTCCAGATCTGGAATATAGTCGAGAAAGATAGCGCTCGGGAGGTACTCGTCATAGAGAAATGAATTTAAGTGAGGTTGGCAAACGTGCGGATCAAACTTCGGCATGGATCCCAGAAAGTTTGGAACAAGTCCGCTATCGCATAATCCGTGCTCTTTCAGGCGGCGGTAGGCGGAGCATTCGAGGACATGAATGTCAAGTTCACGGCCTTCAGGTTCATAGTAGCGTCTGGGTCCCCTTCCATGATGCTGTAGGTATGTCAATAGACTTGTCATTGGGACGCTCGATGGGACTCACCACTTTCATGACACATTTGTGTCCACGAACCACGACGAGGAAGATGGCCGCATACTCAGAGGCATGTAGTTTGCTTTGAAAGAGTATCTCAGTTGGTACCACATTTTCAAAATCCATTCTGCACTTCAGGGCGCGAAAATAGTTGGGAGGATGAAGCAAGTTAGTGTAAGGAGGAAGAAGGGGGCACTCACCGAGCTGGTTGGTTTATAACATCACGTGACCTATGGGATACCACAAATCTACTCTCCCCCCTTGGGTTGCCAGCATATAGAGAATCGATATTCGTGGAACAGTGAAAGAAGGTGTGCGTAGGCGTACATGTGTTCGTGTCTTACTGGAGGATTTACATTTCACCTACAACCATTTCTCCTCGACAAGCTGCGGCATCGATGTATATAATGGCCATACTTCCTGCGGACTATCTGATTTTGTAGCTCACGAAATCACCCACAATACTAGCACCAAAACTATTTCAACTCTTTCAAATGGCTACCCAAGTATCACTGTTTTCGTACTTGCAAGCTGCACCACCTGTTGTTCCTTCCTCTCCTCCCTCCAACCCAGGCCGTAACACCACCAACGCGGCTTATGGAGCAGATGACATTCGCAGCACAACGGCCTGGCGCGGATTTGACCTCCAGACTATCCTCCAAAGATATCAATCCTCCAAAGATAGATGCAAGTGCATCTCCCGGCGGACCCTACGCCAATCTCCCCGTCGCGAGCAGTCCCAACCGAGAACGCTCTCAGAGAGAAGCTTGCAGAATATGTGTATCCAAGAGTCCGACGGGCCCTTCGGGCCGGATTTCAGCATCTCGCAAGCGTTGGGCAGATGAATGGGTCAACGGCCCTTGATTTTGGATCAGGAGATTTCGCAAAGGTTATCGATGGCTTCCGGCCCGACACTGCCTACTTTGTGTCTAGGCTTCCATCTGCTACTAGTCCGAATCGTGCTCCTGGGGACATCAAACCGTCTTGGAAATGGAGTACTGCTATGGCAAACCATCGCATTGCAGGGTATCGCACTGAATATTGCCAAGCGCTCAGCCAGGTGAATTTTTACATGAACCAGCATCGGTCCAGATATGGGTTTATCCTCACTGATCGTGAGCTGGTCGTGTTTCGACGGAGAGATAACAATGGGAATCTGGAGCTTGCTTCTCCAATCCCATTCACCGCAGGAGGAACGGCTCACCAACCGCGACTTACTGTTTTTATGGCTTTGTGGTATCTCGGCATGCTTGCTGCGCAAGATCAGGGAGTCGATCGTTGGTATCTCTGAGAATAGTGGGAATTGGACGCAAAGGAAGTGAGGCAGGCTGTCAGGGGGCGTATCGGTGACATGTCTTCTTTCAACAAGAGACGCTAGCAGTCGTTCGGATGTTTTCTTTCAACAACAAGTGCTAGAAGTCGTTTGAACCAAGTTATGCTTTAATCTCCACAGCCCCATATTCCCGAATTTAAGATCGTAGCTAACCTGCACGTATCCCAAACGGATTGAGTTTGGCCGCCGCCATGTCTGCAGACTAGTGTCGCCCGTCAAAACTTTGTCCAATAAGGCTGGGAATTATGGGCGTACGTGCCCGCTAGTAGTGCTTCCTGCAGTTTTCTGGCATAAGACACGGGCTCTCGGCCACCATGGCGTGGGTACTGCATATTGGTATCCACTCTATCCGTCCACGATCGCCTCATCGCAAGTTCAGAGTTGCCGACTTCGACGATCTGACTCAAAGGATCACAACTGACGGTGCTAGCCATATCAAGTATGCCTCGCCAAACAAGTGTCTTTCCAGGGGAATACGTTGGTTTGGCGTCCTCAAAAGTAAATCGAGTCTTGCTGAACTTAGGCCGCTTTGTAGATGCTCCGCAGCCCTAAAGACCTTGGCGTCTTCTTCACATGAACATAGATAGCTTATTCATTATGTGATTTTCCTTGTATATAATGATCACTTGGCTTGAAGCGTTTACGATAATGGGAGATATCTCTGTGGAAGTTACCGTTGGGTATACGACAGTCTCTTCGATGGACCAGGAATGGTTGATGGAGACCAAAATCAATGATGTTCTAGGTCTGTCCGAGGGACGTATTCCATGGCCAGCGTAGCCAACCGGGACGATCCATCAGTTCACGATGAGGCGCTAAAACTGACAAGGGCTTCAGCTCTCACTGGATAAAAGACAATCACTGGAGAATGTGGTTTTTGCTGACCTGGAGGCTCGCGATGAGGTTGAAGCCGCCAGACTCGTCTCAATTTCTTGCTAGGCAAGGATCTTCAATTAGCCAGCCTCTGTTAACAAGGTACCTCGTACGCCTGAGCATGTTGCAATAATCATAGTCAGTACGTGGCCTCTGCTGTAGCTTTTCAATCTGGATCAACAAAAGAGTTTTTGATTGGCCTCCCGTCGCTTAGGAGCTAGGATCGGAAGTAGGATCGTGATTATCCCTGCAAATATCCCCAACCAATTGAGTTTAGCCGCCGCCGTGCCTGCAAACTAGCGTCGCTCGTCAAACCATTGTCCAATAAGGCTAAGAGATATTGGCGTACATGCCGGCTAGTAGGGATTCTTGCAGTTTTCTGGCATGATATCTCAGATTCCCTCAATCCATCCGACTTGAATACTGCAGTATGGCATACACTGTGCCAATTGTCGAAAGCCTTATTGCAAGTTTAGGGTGGACGATGTCGACGACCTGTCTCAAAGGGTCACGGCCGATGGCGCAAGCCACATCAAGTATGCCTCGCCAAACAAACAGATTTTCCTATGGGACAAGGGCAGCGGATGTAAGCCTACCCTGCCGGTTGACTTGACTAAGCCACTTTCCGCATAGGTTTTCTGTACAGAAAGCCCCAGGCAGGGATACAGATTGACTTCGGCCCATGAGGAAGCAGAGTAGTGCACATGGCCAGAGAAGGAAATAAGCCGAGGTGCCTACTTTGACCGAACTGCCATGTACAACATGTCTTTTCTTTTTCAATATGTTCCGGGGCCACTACTAATTGAGACTGACATTGGGATGTTGGAAAGGTGTTGTAGGCCCTGCTACAGCTGGGTACCTTGCCCATGTTAAGGTGATTGTACTGGCTGGAACGTTTAAGGACATGGTTGGTCGGAAAGATCTGGCTCAACGTGTGGCCGACCAGGTGATGGCGGCTTAACATCACAATCCGATACGTTTCGCGTGTTTTCCCACAGTTCCCATGAAATGTCGTATGGCATGATGCCCTTGGCCTGAGACCCCATTTCAGGCGGCACCAGCAGTAACTGGTCATTGCTGCGGTAAGTTGACATGGCGTTTCCAAGAACCGTATTTCCCTGGCAGTGTAAATATTCTTGGCGAGAAGTCATCGTTGTCGGGAAATTGGTGGGTGGTCGTCTATACCTCTCGCCGAGGCACCATAATTGATGAGAGTTTCAACCATTTCAGTGTTACCTCGGTCTGCTGCCAGGTGGATCGGTGTTGTAGCGTAGATATCACCTACCACAGTGTCCATAGGGAACCCATGGCGGTGCAGCAGCTTTATTGCTGGGAGACTTTTGCGGGCCACTGCATCAAGTGTACGAGTACGGGCACTGTCCTCGATCCGGTGCGGATTGGCCTCGAAACGAAAGACCACGGGGTCCCCTGGTCAATTAAAAGGCCTTGTAGGCGCATTCCTCTCAGCATAATGGATTCTTGCGACGGGGATAGACTTCGGCTCGTTCGACATTCCGACGGGCTTTCGTTGGCTTGGAACTGGTGACCTCGCTCCCACGCTCCCCGTCGTCGCTGCTGTCATTGCTGGCATCACGACCATTGAGTGAGCTCAATGAGAAGAAAGGCGGTTATTTGGTCTTTCGTATGTTTGAGTTCTGTTGGCATGCCGATCACTCTTGTCAGGGGGTAAACAGCCGCATGCTGAGATAGTATGCAGCCTATCGCTTTGTTGCAAGGGTTGCACACTAAAGAAGAACTGCATTGCTGAGGAGATGTTTCAACGTGATGGTCTGGTCACGGAATAAATTGCTGGGGGTAAAGATAGTTGATATTCTGCGTGGCTATGGGAGTACTGTGCTTCAGGAAATTGGTGCGCCAGAAGGACCCTTCTCATGTCATTGGCGATATCTGCGCAGATTGAGGTATTTCTGCGCCTCCATCCAGTGATCTCTGTCTTCTTCCTCCTCTGAAGATGGATTTGAAGTCTCTCCGGGCGCGATGGATTCCTGTTGATTTTTTTGGGTTGGGAATATTGATCTGCCATCCGCGCATTCTGGATTCGGAATTTTTCCAAATCCTCGAGCAATTTATCCTTCATTTCCATCTGCACTTCTGGCTGGATCAGCACGATTGGCTTGACTCGGTTTTCCACTCGTGTTCGGAATAGGTCGCGCCGTTTGATCTCCTCGTTTGTTAGCTGAAAGGCAAGGTGCCGACTAGATCCAAGTCGCGAGTGGGAAAGCACAGTCGTAAGTTCGCACTTTCTCTGAGGAAAACTTCATGATGGTCCGAACTGAGGCACAGCCTTGTCATGTTCTGGCGTTGTTGTTAAGGCCTCATAGCCTGGACATTCAGCTGGGCATACCGAACAGATAATCCTCACTGCCGGGGAACGTTGTTCGCGGCCACTAGTTTCCAGAAAAAGGCCAGCAGCTTTGAGGGGCTTGGTTCTGTCTCCAGGTTATCTTGTCTGAAACAGTTTGTTAGCTCCAGCAACGATGTAGAGAACTGTAGGCTTCATACGAGCGTTCCCTCATTAGAGACAGGCCTTGCGAGTGGAATCATCAAGGAAGTTGATGACATGGTTTGTTTTATCATATCCTTTCACCCCATATGGTCCCCAGATATCAATATGAATACTCTCCCCAGAGAGCCTGCACTTCGCTCCGCACGACTCCCAGAGGGGGGGGGGGGGGATTTACACTGATAACTGTCGTGAATCACACAACCCCAGCCAACATGCACTAGATCATATTTCGCGGCAGTGAATTGAATTGAGGGAATGTCGGCTCAATCTGATGAATGCCAGAACGTTCAATCCTGAGCCCGTAGTTTGGTATGGCGATATGCATATGCACAGGAAGGATGGACGCCCCACACTCACGGTGGGCGGTTCTCTCCAAAGAGGTTGTAGGCCAGGTTGGCGCGAGGATCCCAATATCTCCCACGATCTTTCTGGGGCACATTGTTAGTAATTTCTCCGTTCAGATACAGGCCTGTGACACAACCCTGTCGACATGGGAAGGGATTCATGTCTACTTACGGATATCGAAGACCCGGTTTTAAAATCGCGATAGTGTTGTCTTCAAGCATGGATACCGTGTGCCAATGTCAGATGGCAGCGACATCTGTGTCAGGAGTTCCGGGCTCATAACCTCTCGGACGACGAGAGGATTTTGAATCTGGCAGACACGACCAATCTTTGGCTGAATGGGTGGTTTTTTAACAATGCATGCAGGCGATTTCTTCTGCGGCTGTGGTTCAACATACCATCCGCTCAAACCCAACTTTGTAACGCTCCTGCAACCGGGACGGAAAGATTAGGTCCACAGTCACCATAGTCATCTGCGGAATATCATCACCAATCACGCCCTTCGTAGGGTCAGAGACGTCGACCGATGTGCCCAGGTTCCTACCGAGCGCGATTAGGCCCATAATAATGGGTAGTGCATAGTAGCCAGCCTGAGCTGTGAGATGCCCACCCTTGGCAATCTCAAGATAATAGTCGGGATAAAGAAGATGATACGATCCAGTATCATCGTTATCCCCCTGCTCCTAATTTGAGCTACTATCGTTACTGTGCCCAGCTGCGCGTGTGATCCGTTAGTACTCATCTACCGCCTTCTCACACACATCCTCTGGTGGCGCAGGAAAGGGACTAGCATGGTGCAGCAGGGCCAAATACCCGGCAAGATCCCGTGCATTATTCATCATTGGTGTTCTGTTCATGAAATCATGGAGACTAACACTCCGAAGCTGTCTATGGAGCGCACCAAGCGACAAATGGCTCGCTGGTTAAAAACACTCAGTCCATTCTTCACAACTTGGCGGAACTCTCCCAGGATTTAAAGAACCTGCTCGACACCCACTTCCAAGGCTCAGTGAGCAAGGCGTCTCGAATGGCCATTAGGTTAATATTGTCTTACCATCGGGTACGTAATGGGATCTCGATTGCGATCTAATCACTATGCTTGGCTATCCTGACCTTATCAATTAGTGTGTGGTAATCACGACTCGGCCATTAGTTATGTGCGCTTTACACATGCACATTAGTCAAGCTGGTCCCAACAGCTATCGTAAAATCTGTCTTTCGCCAGCTGTGGCATCTCTGATACAGAGTGGCGTTGACTCCGCCCGAACCATCCTTCGTATTCTCCGAGTTCTCGGCGACGAGGATCTAATGGGTAAGCTCTCCCGGAACATCCATCCGGACGTACAGCTCATGCCATGTGACAACGATAGAAACCTTTCTCCCCTTCCAGCTAGAAGACGCGTTTTCCTCCGCATTTGTCCTCCAACTCATCCGGGCCGTAGCTCCGTGGCTACTTCCCGATGAGACCTGGTCCGAAGACGTAGAATCCATCTTCGGCAGAATGATCGCAAAGGGTAATGTGGTAGCACCTCTACGCCAAGTAGAACTGGGCCAGCTCGCCCAGGTCATGACGCCCCTCACACCGAATGAACTGCATTTCCAGTCTCCCTCGCCGCGGGGGGAGCCATCCGGTAACGAACCCTCGGTCGTTTTCGGTGAAGAAGAACCCAGTTGGGAGCTGTTTATTGGCAATGCTATTGTTGACCTGAATTCAGGGGAGATCTTAGATCTGGCAGCACAGCTTGATGTCGACCCAAGAATGTACTCGATGGATATCTAGACACTTGTATATTTACTTGCCTTGATGTTGCATGTGCGGTCACAAACGCAAGGATCAACACCTGCAGGTACCATGCTCGGTTTCTGTATATGCCTCTGTCGGAGTACTCTATGTGTTATCGACTCGGGGACTTGTATCCGGACCAGCCGAGTAAGCAGTCGGAAGATGGCTCCGAAGGGTAGATCATTTGCAGCCCATCAAGGACCTGGATACCCTTTGCTCTGCATTCGTAATAGTACTGGCTATTTTCAAATTTCCAATGACTAATAATGATCAGCGCTATACTGTAGGGGCTAGAGCTCAGAGTCTGCGCTAATCATCTTGTTCACTAGTCGGGATGAGCTTCCGTGCTGGCGGGAAGACCGGACGGTCCTTTTTCACGCTCCAGTAATCTTTTCTTACAATACTCACTAGTGGAAGTGCCCAGCTTCTATACCAACTCTTATCAAGATTTTTCTTAAGAGGTAGACTTTATTTCTCATCTTCCTCTTGTTTTTTTCCCCTTTGCATCATGGAACGCATTCGGCACAACATGAAATTGGCGTCGATTACCTCTCGTGCCCTCTGTTCGAGTCCCAGAGTCAGAATCACCATCGAGTTCAACAACCCCAAGCAGAGCTACACCACCGGGGACCAGATCGGGGGCACGATAACCGTGGCTGTGGTTGATGAGATCACGTTCGATGATATTAGTATCACGCTTGAAGGTCTACTCAACGGCCTAAAGTACTACGCTCGCTTGCTAATCCCCCCCCCCCCCCCCCCAGGTTCGTCACGGGTCGCTCTACTGCGGCCAGTTACTGAAAACCGAGAAATAAAGGCCTCCCACACGTTCCTCAGGCTGCAGCAGCCTATGGATAAAGCCGAGTATCCTCCCTTACGAACCTTTATCCCCGGAAGATCCTACACGTACCCCTTCACTTTTGTGATCCCCAGCGAACTACCTCTGGGGTCCTGCATCCACAACGGAGAGTGGGGGTCTGGCCCTCAGCGACATGCTGGACTTCCCCCCAGCATGCACCTGGAGAATCTGTTCCAGGAACTGTGTCGCATCTCTTATCTCATTCGTGCAACCGTCCCCCGGCAAGGGAGAACCATTGCTATCTCCACGAGGACTGTGCGCTTCACTCCGACTCTCCCTCCTGGTATCCAGGCCTCCCGCTCATACCGGTATCCTACGGAGATGATCGTTGGCAAGATATCACTGGCGCGGGGCCAACTTGCTGTGCTGGCTGCGACACCCCAGCTGATCCAGTGTTGTTCACTCACGCGCGCCTCGGCAAGTGATGTGGATAAGTATGTCTGCATGCAAGTTCGCTTCGACCCGGTGGGGGATGCACCGCCTCCACGGCTACGGGCGGTTTACCCTACACTCAACGCATTGACAACTTTCAGCGCAGCGCTCGGCGCAGGCCAGAGCGAGACAGGGCCCGATCCGCGGTATCAAGGAGCCCACGTCGGGACGACTGCCCTTCCCTCCGTTGACCTTTCATCCGCACGATGGGCACGACATACGTTCGCCCCAGGTCCAGGGCCTCTCAACTACCATGGCCCGGTTGAGGCAAATTCCCATGTGAGAAAGGCGTTGTCCGGAGCGAATGAACTCTATTACACCGTATCGATAGCCATCCCAGTCGCCCAACTGGGACACAGGGACCATGTGCCAACGTTCCATTCGTGCCTCGCCTCTCGCATCTACCTTCTGTCACTTACCCTGTCATATAATGTGGTTGAGTCAAGAGGACGTCGCGCTATGAAGCTTCAAGTACCCCTGGAGCTATGTACGGCCTCCGATCATGGGAGCGAGCTGCCTCTACAGGATAGGATGGGGATGTCGAAGCCCTCTCAGTTCGGCGCACCCCCGCCGCCCTATTCTGGTCAGAGTCCCTCGCTGCGTGTGATACCCTTTACACATGCGGAGGCGCAGGCGCATGATTTACCTGGGTATTCTGATACTGTCACCTGAGATATATGACTGATACCAAAGCCCGTGTGCATGCCATAATTCCCTTCCCTACAAAAGGAAGGCTCATCTGTTTCCACGTTCAGACAGCATAGGAGGCGATGGGTTGGAATCAAACTATACATTGATACCAGGCAAGAGCATAAACCGCGGTAGGACTCCTACGTGGGCAGTGCACAGTATATGTTGTTTAGGAGGCAAATTTATACAAATACACCACATTCCAACCGTATCGTACAAAGCTCTCAACAATACTATTAGATAGAGCACATGTCCCAATGGCAACTCTAAGTGACCTACCACATGAGGTGCTGACGATTATTGTTCACGCTCTACCTCCCTCAATAGTTCTATCTACGTGTCGTGTTTCTAAACGCTTCTATGAAGCCTGTCGTCCTGTCCTCTATGCTTCATTTAATGGGAGTGCCGAACCAAAGAAAACTTGGAGAAGATTCCAATCGTTCCTGAACATGATCCTAAGAGACGATACACTTGGCCCACGGGTCCAGCCAGTTCTTATCGATAACATCAACGATGATGATGGCATTGCAGCCTTACAGCATTCAATGGTTCCATTGCTATCTCAGACATCCAACAAGTACCTGGACACCCGAGTCTGCCCGCACTGAAGCGACCTTTTTTTTCAGGCGATCTTCTCCTCCAACGCCTACAGAGGCTGGGTGTGGAGTGTAACACCAAGACTTGATGAGGCCATAGCGTATGGCTGACGGTTATCCTGTACAATTCTCTAATTGTGAATTAGTAAGTGTCCATTTTCTAATGATGATAAGACTGCCCACTCTGTGTTCCCAGGGACCTTTTTTTTCTCTTTCTCCTTTGTGGATTTTGTACATGCTCATTGAGGACGCGTTAGACCGCGTCGCCGTACGAATGGCCATTCAGACCCAAAGAACCATGAAACCCATACACGAATATCAAGGGAACTGTAGTTGAACGGCATTTTTTCAGTGTGAATTACGTAGTATAGAAATAGAAGGCCCGTTAGGGCAGCATTAGACCGTCTAAACACTTTATCCGTCAGAGAATTGGGGCACGCATGCGGTATGCTATACACTCACGAAAGAGTCTGGTTCGATTATATATAATTAGACGGGGTATTCTCCAAATAACATAAAGCTGGTAAACCGACAGATTTTTAGTACTAAAATACACCGACTAATCAAAATTATGCTAAAATTATACACACTTTGGGTGGCTTGGGTAGCCTGTGGGTACCCGCTAAGAACCCATGGGCAGGTCGTGTTGAGTTAACACGGTGGTTGAACCTTGCAGCAGGGACTGGAAACGGACATATATGAGGCATCCGCCCTGCAAAGATAACTCTTTAAGCTAGCCAACAATAATTAATCTGTTCTCACTTGAATAGACCTTCCCATGCGTTCCCCAGGCTGGGTTTCGGGGGTTCCGACCTGTTGAAGTGAACCACCCCCTTTCTCGATCTCGATGGGGGCTACGCAAGTGACAGGACGGCCCACGCTGTGCCACAGCCCCATCTAATCCTGCGCCGAAGCATCTGGCTGACGCTCTACCAGCCAATGAGATTCACAGGTTATACATCCTCTTCAACCTTGCCAGCGAAGGTGCCTTTGAAGGTCCTCCTCTTTTTAGGTCTCCGTCCGAATAAAATAAAACAACCCCCTACAAAGCCGCTTGTCCTGGAGATTTTTTTTTTTTCTTTAACACGAACACAAAAGAGAACAAAACATGGTGTCTATCACGGCCGTACGGGACAACAACTGCGCCATCCCTCGTCTCTACGGGTCTAATCTGGTGGCGGTTTTTGGTGAGTGCCATGTTTCGTTTTCAGACATCCCCTGCACGGTAGCATACTGAATCAAGCTACGTAGTCGGTGGAACGAGCGGGATAGGCGAATCGACAGCGCGCGCATTCATACGCAATACAACCGCCTCCCGTGCCTATTTGATTGGGCGCGACCAGACAAGAGCAAGCCGCATCATCGACGAACTACGGCAGATCAAACCAGACTCGCGGATTGAGTTTATCAAGGCGGATGTGTCTCTTCTACGGGAGGTCGATGAGGTTTGCAAAAATATTAAGAAGGAAGAGGATCGATTGAATCTGTTGTTTTTGAGCCCGGGGACTGGGGCGTTGAGCGGGCGTGATGGTATAAACACCCGCAATTACTAAATCCTGATGCTTTGTGCTGATTGTTGTCCTTTTTCTAAAGATACTAGCGAAGGACTGGACAAAAAGCTAACCCTCCACTATTATGCCCGGATGCGGTTCGTGGCGAATCTCCTCCCGCAGCTTGTAAAGGCTGGCGAAGAACAACAGCCGCACCGGCTCTCGCGTGTGGTATCGGTACTTGAAGCTGGAGGCGAAGCAGCACTTCATCTAGACGATCTTTCTCTCGAAACCCATTATTCGCTCCGCAACTGCGCAAAACATGCCATTACCATGAACTCCGTTGCAATGGAGCATCTGGCTGCATTGTACCCCCAGACTTCATTTGTTCACTCTTTCCCCGGAGTTGTGCGGACACGTCTAGACCGGGACCTGAGTGGTATTGCCAGGAGTGCAATGAGCACCTTGATATTTCTCGCCCGGCCTTGGGAGATTTCATTTGAGGAAAGCGGGGAGAGACATCTGTATGCAGCGACAAGTCTGCGGTTCGCATCGCAGATGTGCGGAGACAAGGTGGATGCTGCCGAAGGTTCGAATGGGATGATTGGGAGTGGCTTCTATCGGCTTGATTCCACCGGATCGACCTATAAACCCAGTCGAATCATGCAGGTTTATCGTGAGCAAGGGGTGAGAGGGCTCATCTGGGACCACACACTCTGTGTCTTTGAGAGAGTTCGCGGGGGTTTTGAGACTTGGGTCATGACGAAGTAGAACAGCGGTCGCTGCACCAAGCATATCTGATCAAGCACCACCCGTAGAACCTCAAATGCATATGGTTATAGAGCGCTCACATTGAGCTCGTCCAGTCCTCGTCTGGCTCTCCAGTAATTACTAGATATCAAAACTTCCTCGCATCCTTTAATAACCCACGCCCACTTCTGAACAAACAACTCGGACACTTCCCAGCTTTGCGGAAACCAAGGATCATCCCACACCATAATGCCAATGTCCCCATTAGCAGGATCCATCATATCCATGCAGAGCTCGCAGTCATTGAATCCCTCCGGCGCAGTGATTAGATTATCACGCATCTGCGGGAACGGGAAACAGTCAAGCCAGGGATGATGAGGGATGGAGCATTGAGTAGTGGTGGGCAAAAGACTTGGCGGAACATTTGTCCCTCCATCCTGCTGCAGCAGATTCTGGTTAGTATACAGAGAGACAGCCTCATCGTCCTCCATTGCCTGCATACTCAACCCCAGCACGCCCATAATATCCACAAACGCACGCAGAACATTCAACTTGGACAAGGTTAATAAATGATCCAGACACGGATCCGCCGCGTAGTGCCGTTTGTAGGCTGCGGCGTGGAAACTCGTCATCATGGCTATACCCTCCGACAGCGATACTGGCTGCGGAAGCAGCCGTTTCCGCGGACCTTGGTATGCTGGATCTGGATCTGGCCGTGGGAGAATCAATGCATAGTGTCGTTTTTCATCATTTTTGGCCTGCTGCTGTGCGATGAGAGCCCTTTTCTTATCGCGTTTTCGGGCTCCTAATGGTGATACGATTAGGTTTGTTTGGAATAAGAGCCGCTGTAGCCGAATTATACCCCGCAGAGTGATAAGGTAGTGGAGTAGATAGACTTACGCAAAGCACGTTGATTTATTCTGTTCTGCAGCTTCTTGCGAAGGGCGGGATCGGTGATGCCCGTCCAATCGTCGCTGAGGCGAAGGGCCCGTTCCTGTGGGAACATCAGAGGAAGCATGACTACGATAAACGACGCGAGCTGGGGGAGGGTCTGCAGGAAGAGACGGAAATAGAGAGACGAAATTTCAGGCAAGAGTGGCAAATTATATTACATAAGCAGCGAAACCGGGCACTGGGTCGTCTGCTGGGTCATTCACACCTATCTGCTTGTTAGCAGTCTTAGTAAGTCACAACTATAGACCCGGTTTCGCTGGTAAAATATTGTAGGTGTGAATAGCGCAGCCCAGGCCTTAAATGAGTATCTACCAGATCATCCACGTCCTTGTTGCAATAGGCAGACCTTTCTCGTGCCGCTTTTAGTATCGCACAGAAGGCAGTCAGCCGGCTTAATCCTGCGACCCCACATCAGGAAGCTAGGCTACAGCTAGAAAGACGGGAAGAAGCTGTGATAAAGAGGACCACTGCATCAGCAACACATCGCCACACATCGCCACACATCGGACTTTGACCATCATTGACGACTTCTTCAGAACTTCCAAGCGGTTTGGTATGATTTGAACGTGTTGAAGGGATTCGGCAACCATCTCTCTCAAATAAAAACTACCTATAGAAATGGCATCAAAGTAATTATTCTCCAAGACCTCTACCTTCTCAAGAAGATATAAATCGTAGGGGGTCAGAAAAATAAATGATTACCAACGCGTCCACAGCACCATGGCCATCATATGTGGATCAATCCACGATACGCCCGCCGTCTTGCACCTCCTCGACAAAGCAGTCGCATGGCTCGCATCACAAGACAGAACCGGGCAGATGGGGCGAAACTCATCCTCACCATCGACATCCTGATAAACAACGCAGGCGTAATGGCCATCCCCACCCGACTCCTCACCAAGAACGGACATGAAACAACCTTTGCAACAAACCACATCGCCCACTTCCTCTTTACCAACCTTCTCCTGCCTAAGATGATCAAGGCCAGTTCTGCCTCCACTACCATTGACTCTGACTCTGGTCTTGCCCCCCCCAACAAGAATAATAAACCTCACCTCCTTCGACCCACCTTTCACAAAGCTCCTCGGCGAACTACCCTAGTCCGAGGGTCCTTGGCTTCAGAAATAATTTACCTCACCGGCAGCACTCACACAGATGAGGCATGCTACAGCTTCTTCTCATATGGGCAGTCCAAGACCGCTAGCATCCTATACGTGGTGTCCCTCAGCCAGGAACTAGCTAAATTCAACATCGCAGCGCTCGCGGTGCCCCTCGCGCCGTGGACACGGGGATCAACCGGCATGCGACACCTAGATGGTCTAATACGACTATTCTAGCGGCGGTAGATCTGCGCTTGGAGGTGGTGGGTATTGACAGTGGGGATAGACAGGTCACAGGTGTCTATCTGGCTGATTACAAGGTCGATGAAGGAGTGTTGCTATCCTTATGGTATGCTAAGAGCGAAACTAGACAGCAGCTCAAATCGAACATTAAGATCAGAGATTAAGTCGATATAAGAGCCATAAAACTATGAAATGATCAAACTAGCAACTGCATCAACCAACTAACAAGAGCTCCTACTCCGTCACCGCAACATGCCCCCTAAGCTCCCCCTGCACCCATCTAAACAACCGCTCCTGCAGCTCCCGATCCTGACTGAGTTTGGAGCCCGCCTCCTCTTTCCCAATGGGCCCATAATACTGCCCACTCTTTGCATCAGGACTAACAGCCGCAAAAATCTGCGACAGCGCCCCCTTCTCAACCGGCGTCGCAGCCAAGCAAACCGCAACATTCAAAAACGGCTTCAGAAACGTCCCTGTCGACGCATGGTGGAGATTAGTCGCCACCATCCCCGGATGCACGGGGATTATCTTCACGCTCTTCTCACGCTCAGCCAGCGCACGCGCGTAGTGCAAATTTGCCAGCTTGGAGGTCGTATATCGCTCCGTCGTATGCCGATTCGGCGCGGTGGTGCGGAGCTCGTCGAAGTTGTAGACGTCGCTGGGGGCACGGGCATGCGCAGCGGAGGAGAGCATGACCATGCGGGTCTGCGGATTTAGTTCTGCGGTTGCGCGAAGGGTGGGGAGGAGGAGTTGAGTGAAGAGGGCGGGGCCGAGGACGTTGGTGCCGAATTGGATCTCGTAGCCGTCCGCTGTGAGGCCTTCGGGGGTCATCATGATTCCGGCATTATTGATTAGGATGTCGAGGCGGGGTTCGCGGGATAGGAAGGTGGAGGCCGCGGACTTGATGCTGGTGAAGGAGGCGAGGTCCAGTTCCAGGATGCTGATGTTTGTGTAGGCTGGGTTTGACTGCTTGAGGTCTGCGATAGCCTTTTCGGCTTTAGCACTGGACCGCGCGGCAAGGTAGATTCGGGCTGGGTTGTGCTGGCTCAGTTGGCGGATTGTCTCGTAACCTAGGCCTACGTTGCCGCCGGTTACGATGATGACCTGGCCTTGGAGGTCCGGTATATCTTCACTGCGGAATGTCGGCATGATTAGAAGATGTACTTCGAATGGATGAGGAGAAGACGGACTAGGACTACAGACTGACTGAGGCCACTTTATACTTTTTTCCCTCCCGAGCTGTTATGAGCTGATTCTACACAGTCCATAACCTGAAGTGGGACCGGCAATACTCAGGTAGAACTAGGGTCTGTGATTGGTCGAGAAAGCGTCATCCAGATGCATGGGCGCCACTTTCAGCCACCTTTTCCAGCCCGAGGTTTTGGTACGGACACTTTCGAATTGCATGTCCTACATCCACACCCACTGAAGTGTTGTGGAGCTCGTCGACGAGGGACTGGAGTAGATTCCTCCGATTGCTTATTAAGCTGCTTCTCGAGCTGCTGAACGCGATTTTGACCTTTCTGTGCGCGAATATGGCGGTCATTACCTATTATAGCATGTTTTCCTGCCTTTTCCTGACGTTTCCGCTCATTTTCCGCCTGTAAAAGTCTTTATTTCTTGCTCTAAAGTCAACTTAGATTGCATTGCTATTTGCGCTACTTTTTTAAATATGCGCAATAGGACTGCTAGAAAGCAACCGTTTTTTTAACAGGGCTGTTGTGCAGGCTTCGGGCCTTTTGATCTGGTCGGCAAGTATTCTTTATCTGCAAGGAGAGGAGCGCGCCTGCGTTCCAGTTAAACAAAACTACATCAGGTTCTTTTCCGCAAGAAACTTGGCACAAGTATGGATACGTAAGCACGAGGGTCTTGGCAAATATGTCACATGTCCCGCTTGGTCTCAAGACCACCGTCTCAGGAAAGAACCAGGCTTGTGAATACGGTTTTATGTCCCTGCCTCCAGGTCCACACTCACAGCTCATCGAACACATGCAACGAGGCATATGCATTAAGTCCCAGGTCTTATATTGTCTTGTGCCTTGCTTATTATGACAATGTTGGTTCTATTATGGCTATACCGTGTCTGACACGGACTCAAGACCACTCCAGTCCCAAGAATCGATTCTCATGCCCTGCAAGGTATTGAGACCATCACTGCCCACGCACAACATTAGGGGGCTCGATTCGCCGTCGCCTCCCCATTCGCTGCTTCGTCTTTCGTGGGATTAGCAGGAGGACATTAGCACCATCGGCTGTAGCGGCCGTGAAGCTGGACGATATGCTGACTGTACGCATCTTCATATCATGCAGAATCATACCGTGTCGTTTATATTCCCGCACCGTCCTGACCAGCTCCGAGGGTTGGGATGGGTTGACACGAACCACGTTAACGATCGTCCATTGCTCGTTTTCGTAGAGGTAGAAAGTGATGTTTACTCGGCCATCCCCTGGCGGCTGTCCAGCCTCTGCCTCTACCCCCCTTTGTGGATTGCCCGCCAGCCTTTTGAAGTTGTATTGAGTGACTCGCTGAGGACGGACGACGCCAGAGGAGGGGGTCGCTTCAGGCTCATTGAGTGCACGCTCGTCATTGGAGACATCAAACCGAACTTGCCGGCGTGCTACTGAAGTCTCCGGGGCTTCCGGTCTCTCGCGTCCAGTTGCATCATCGCGAGAGGTTCTAGGGACAGTTACTGTGTCGTTCTCCGCCAGATCCCATTCCAGATGGTCTGCTATCGCTGCATCCCGGGTACCAGCCCGGTTGACATCTCGAGTATTTGGCTTAGGATTCTTCCGCATCTTCCCAACGCCTGCAGGCTTGGATGGCTGCTGGTGAGGTCTAGTGCTCCTCTCCTGTGGGCTTCTGCGATCAAATGCCGTGTTGCTTTCCGAATGAGCTGACCCCTCCCGCGTCTGCACTAGCAATTCGGTGATATCCATTTGAGTATGGGGCCGGGGATTATGTCCAGAATCAGAGTCAATATCCATCCCGGTGGGGCTATTCTGCCCTGCCTGAAGCCGTGCAAGAGCGTCAGCTCTCTCACTTTCTACATGGCTATCTTCTTCTAGCCGCCCGCGCTCTGGGCTGTCGCTCGTAGCTGGTTGTAGCTGAGCTATGGGCTGCCCTTGCTCGCCCATCTCCCTCTGTTCAGCATCCATGAGGATTATATCCCCTGCCATGTCATCAGTTCCTGCTTCTGTATCAGTACGGGCCTGATAGGCCTGATTGATACCTGTGTCATGGGTCTGATGGAGCCGCCTAGAATGGGACGTGGGAGTTTCCGCCGCCTCGTTCCGCTCCTGCGAGGCAGAGTTTGGATAGACTTGAAGGCCGTCCTCGCCCTCCCTTTCTCCCGGGTTATCTTTCTCTGCAGTCGGCCGGATCGTGTTTTGCTGGGTTCCGGGAATAGGCCCCTTGGCGGCCTGCTGCTCGCTGGCAGGGATATTCCGCGCCAATCGTGCAGTTGAGCGTTCGGTTGTTGCTTGGTTGGTGCTCCCATCAACTCTTGCCTCTCGCAAACCGTTGCTTCTGTGCGGACTTTGGTGACTAGCGTCTGGAGACTCCTCGTTTTCGGGGGCCTCTGGTTGGGTCTCTGGCAACTCCGGAACGTTTCTTTCTGAATGTGCTTTATTCCGAGCCGTCAATACTCCGGCCATGTCGAATTGCGTGACCGGCCGTGAAATTTGCAGATGGCGTTCTAACGGCTGCGAACTGGCTTCATTGCCTGGTGAGCGAGGTTCTCGCTCTGTGGATTGTAACACAACAGCGTGTCGTGTGCTACCAGTGTCCTCTTGACCAGTTGAGTCACCATCGTTTGCAGGCTGTGGCTGAGCTGTGGCTTCGAACGGTTGATTTGAACTTGCGGTGCCTCCTTCTCTGGTGGAAAAATGATCAGTACTGACCGCGTCGCCATAGGCGGGCGTGATCAAAGGTGACATGTCCACGCTAGGCGGGGAGCGAGGCACGAAGAGGTCGGAACGGCTTGTATCTCCGCCAAATGTGGGTGGTGGACCAAAAAAGACAAGATAGACATGTCGCCAGATGTAGAACGTGGTAACCCGATCTGGTATTTCCGCTGTGTGCATGTATGGGAGGAACAGGGATGGGCTGTTCCGCGACAGATCCTGGATAGTAGGGTGTCCGCAACGGGCTTTCTGTTTCACAGCAGGACCTAGAAGAGAGGGAGGTGCGGCGCCACTACCTATTGGCCTCGCCATCCGAAAGCACGACGTTATCTGATCGATGAGCGATTCCAATGTAGACGCGTCATAGGTGAATCGGTCCGGCTTCCGGGCCTGGAGCAATGCATTCATGGCAATTGCTCGGTCCGCTGAGCGTTGCCGGAGGGCGGCAATCGCAGAGGATCGAAATCCAAGCTGGCCGGCAAGGGAGGCCATGTCGACTACGGCGCACTCATCGGCCGTGACGGTCGCCGGTTTCGCTAGCCTGGTCTGGCGTTTGGGCTCCCGGGGCATCTGTGGATAGTGACGCATCGCGTACATCCACATCTGACGATACGAAATGTCAAATGGTGTGGTGACCGGCTCGGTCCAACGGGAGAACTCGGAGGGAGAATGCTGGACAAGGCAAGTATTGGCGTCATCGTTGGGAGGCTCCCACTGCCTCTCCATTGTGGCACGTAAGGTGGCCTCCGTCACAGGAAAAATCCGCTTCAAACAATGCGTCCAGTTTTCGAAACATTTGAAATCCTCGAAGAAAGCGTAGAGGGATGGAATTAAGCCATTTAACGACCGGAGTTTGTTCCAAATGGCCTCGCGTTCGGGCAGCTCGAACTTCGAAAACGCCTGGCCGCTGACCACGAGTCCATGAACTTCAGCGGACTCGACCGAGGGGGCCATGAGCTGCAGCACTTCCACCGTCTGCTGGTCAATTCTGGCCAGAGATGGCAGATCGTTGTCTACCAATGAGGACCAAAAGTCCGCCACATAATTGAGGTAATGGGCAATCTCCTGCGGCCATCAGTCCTGCCCGCAAAGACCAGCTGGGGACGCAGACCTCGTCACATTTTGGTCTGATATGTGTAAATTATCTGCCGCCACACCCGGCAAATGCTGGAAAATCATCTGGTCGCACTCTGACAATGTCCTCGACATTGGCAGTCTGATTGGAAACAAAAATCCTTCTGGTACCCTCCGGCGTGTTGATACAGCAATCACTGTTGTCGATGTACCAGCTGAACTGTTTCTTGAAGCTTAACTCAAGCAAAACTTTGTATAGTGATCTCACAAGAGGGTCTTCGAGAAGGCCGCAGTAGAACTCTTTCTGCTCTCGCAGTAAGGCTTCAGCGGCAGCGTGTCGAACGCCCGAATCCTCATCATTAAGCCGTGCAGCCAAGGCATTTAACAACCCTTCAGGTAAGTCCGGTCGTTTAGCTAAGGCTCTAACGGCAGCGTCTCGAACGCCCGAATCCTTGTCATTAATCCGTGTAGCCAAGGCATTTAACAACCCTTCAGGTAAGTCCGGTCGTTTAGCTAAGGCTCCAACGGCAGCGTCTCGAACGCCCGATTTTTCATCATCAAGCCACGAGGTCACCGGTTTAAGCATGAGATTTGGAAGTGTGGCGCGTTTAGAAACTGCTCGTAGAACTGCTCTCTTCATCTTATCAGTCCCTTCATCGAAGGCAGCATCCAAGGCGTGCTCTGGGAATTCCATTTCCCTAGCTAAATTAACCTCTCCTGTATATCGATACTCAAAGAGCAGCCACTCCTTCAGGCCGTCTTCTAGCTTTTTCCGATATGGAAAATTGATGTCCCCATTTTCCATGTCCCTCGGAATTTCGCTTAGGCAGTGCATGACCAGTCGTTGATGGGCTGGGCCTAAAAGGTCCAGTGGCTTTTTATGTATCTCATCGAAGAAGTCGGCTATCATGGAGTCATCGCCTTCAGTAGCCAATAGGCCAGCAACGAAGCGCCAGAAGATATCATATCTTGCCGAATATTTCTCTTTCTGTAGAAAGACGACAGGTTCCACGTGGTCCACCTTCAGCTTCGCCGTGCTGAGACTGAGGCACTTGAGTTTCTCCTTTTTGACCCATTTCTCGAAGAAGTAGCGGGCCGAAAAATATTCCTGGAGGGTTAAATGCAGGAAATGGTAGGTTCGGTAGATTTCATTTTCTGAATTGTCGGATGATCGCAGGTACGAAACCCGTTGAAGAATCTCATCGATTGCGACTTGATCTGGGGCAATATGCGTTGACACCAGGTTCTGACATTTAGGATCGAAGTATATAACATCGTTGTACATCCCGGTAAATGCAAGGCCTATAATGGTATCGGTCTCACTCTTAGTGAGATGCTTGACTTCGCCTGGCCTCAGGACCACTTTCTCATGCAGAGGCTTATCCTGCAATTTTTTGTTCAGGCGCACAGCATCCTTCGTCCCCAGTCCTCTCTGGATAGCCTGATACAGTCCAGTCATAGTTTCTGGCGCATTATCATAGACATTGTCCCAAGCGCAGCAAACCGCGTCTAGCTGGATAGGGATCCGCACAAGGCCTCGGATAAGGGGGCGGCTGTCAACAAAAGTTTGGATGTCTCGGGCCATCTTTTCTGATTCTGCGTTCCGAATATACTCAGAGACCTGATGAGGGTAAAAACCGATCGTTTCGAGGTCGAGGTGAAAATCCACTGGAGGTGTAACGGATGGACGAGCAGTAACGATGATGTTTGGCTGTTCGAGAAGGGTTTTTATGATGAAATTCTGCATATCGTTTTCAGGCGATAAATCGTGCCAAATTTCATCCATGCCATCGAGAATGAACAGACTTCTATTGCTGGGGAGATTGCAAGCGTCGTATAAGGCCTCAGCCAGCCGCTCTGTATCCTTATGCTGAGAAAAGAACTCATCAATAAAAAGGTCTTTGAGGCTATATCTCCCTCTATCCATACGCTGTTTCAATTTTCGCAATGGGATCCAGAGGACGCGGTCAAATAACTCGTTCCACATTGTGCCATTCTTGAAATCATGGACCATTTTCTTACAGAGAGTAGTCTTCCCTACCCCTGCGCGTCCTCGTATCCAGATCTTTCTTGGTCGTGCAGTTTGGCCGTCCACTCCCTTCCGCGGGTTGAACATTGCAGACAGCGCAATCTGGGTCTCTTCTTCCGGCGTCTCAATCTTTAGCCGAGCGGACAGTGAGAAAGCAGACGTCTTACTAGGACCTCGATCCTGCCGGTCTGCACGGTTTCTGGTTTGCTCCACAATGGCAAGATTGATGTAGCACTGCTCCATAGACAGCGTCCTTCCGGAAAGTCCCTCTATTCTGAGCTTCTCTTCCGTGTAGCAATTGTTTTTTATCACCGTGTCAGCTGTTTCAAGCGGTGAAGGTGCTCTCAGACTGTGTATTGACCTCTTCAGTACCGCATAAAGATCGTCGTTGGGCCCGGCACACTTGTTTAGTCCCGAATGGTCGGTGTCAAAACCGTGGCGTTGATCTTCGTCCGAGTGCTCCACGGCTGAATCCCGCGGCACAACCTTCACAAAGATAAGCAACCGGGGGGTTAATGGCGTACGGCACTTACCACACCAAGACTTAAGCATCTTAATACATACGTCTTCTTCTTCTCAAAGAATGCTATAATCCTATCCCTGGGTATAAGTTTGCCGAATCCTTCACTAATATCACTCAGTTGGTCCGAATGCCTCCTAAGAGACAGAAGCAAGGCCGGCTCTGACCCTAGGAACCTAGTTATGAATGCAAGGATGGCGCCGCCTTTGGACACGGAAGAGCCTTGATGGGGGGTACCGAGAAAAATAATACCAGAGACGTCCTTTATAATCTCCTTGGAGACATCTTTGTATAGAGCCTGAAAAGATTAGAGAGAAGACACGAAATTGTGAGCTATCGTACCTCCTTAATTATAATACCGCCAAGGCTATGCCCAATGAAGATGATAGGAAGCTTGTTGAACTGTCAATAAGGGCGTGAAAGGCGGCTTATACACCTTACATGCGAAGAATGTTTGCTTTTGAGCTCCCTTAGCAAATTCTGCCCGATTGCTGCCGTGGTCTGGACTGGGGTATCTAGGAGCCACTGGGAATTATGTTCAAAACTCAAGATCCGGGCCTCTGAAAAGTCATTTCGCATCAGGTCTCGAAGTAGATGGATCCGGTCTGGAGATGCTGGAGGCCCTTGTGGCTCACTGGTGTCGAATGCTTGCGTTCTATTGTCCGAGCCAAGGGCCGCGGGGTGCGACCATGTGTATTTCGGGTCGGCACCTAGGCCATGGACAGCAATGATCCTGTAAGAGTTAGCGAACTCAGTAAATCGAATCCGCTATCATACTCACTCAAACTTGGGGTTTTCTGGACTGGAGATAGTCTCAAGTTTTCCAGAGCGTGGTTTGTTGTTCTGTCGAAGAATCCTGATCAGGAGGCGTCGGAGTATGATAGTCAGCGACACCACCACGAGTGCCACGAGTGCATTCGCCTTCCACCCTGTCATTATTCGTCATGACACTTCCAGTGGATCTAAGTAGACTTGGAGAAATATACGGGAAACAAAGCGAAAGAGCACAACTGAGATACGGACGAGAGAGTCCCTAGGAAGAGGGGTGGCTGTGTGGACGGTCAGGAGTCCCTCAGCTGAACGTAGCACGGAAACAGATTTCTGAGCCATTAGCCAATAGCGCCAGTCCATACCCCTGATGATCTGCCTGGTGCTTATGACAAGGCCGCAGAAAAGCGGGGGTGCTGCTCCGTGCTAGTCAGCAAGATAAGCGAGGATGGAGATGCGTTGACTCGTCGTGTTCGCTTCCGAGCATCAAGAATACATAAGATAGAGTCACGGCTCACCTTGTCGGCTGTTCACTGGAATAGCGCATATCGATAACGCCCATCGCAAATACGCACATTGACGAAACGAATATGGTAGCAGAATACCGCGAATCGTTTTTCTTATTGGCTAACTTCACTAACAGACTGAGCACCAGCCACCGCCATTCTCCATCCAGCTCCTGAAGGTCGAGTCTGACAGTCCGCTAGAAGAGCAATTCCCATGGGTCTTGCCATTCCTGCCTGCATCCTATCGGACCGAATCCGACAACCTGGCCATAGCAAGCCGTGATGTGATAAGGTGCATCGAGAAAGAGCTCGATCTACAGAGGTTGACCAAGGTTTTTGGATGGCTATGGCTGGCGGGTCGGCCCATGCCGCGCCCTCTACATTACCAGCTTCTCCTCAATCGTGACATTATGGTTACCGAGCAGATGGACATGCATCTTGTCTGGACAACTGGCAGGATTTTTCTTAAGCCGATGCCACGATACCTACTGGTGCCTATCTTCTGGGACCAGTATTTATGTTGCGAACAAGCTTGTTGCTCCTCTGCAGTCGTCAGAGAAAGAGCGGTATTGGAGTGCCCACATAAAAGGGCAAGACAATCCGCGATCGGATTCCTGTTTACCTACGTGGCGCTGATTCGTCATGAGAGTGATTTCCTGATTGCAAAAGAGAAGCATCTGCTTCCAGATGAGATAGAATGGACGAAATGGCGGGTCTTTGTAGAGCAGCTCAACGTAGAGCATGGCATTTATCGGGTGATAGATCCACGCTTTATCTATGGGGAGCTTCGGTTGAGCCGTCTAAACAAAATCTATCTTCTATCGCAGCGTCCGTTCCTCCGTGGCTATATGGCTAGTTGGCATCAGTACGGGTCCTTCTTCTACGACAGTTTTACCTGGCTGGCGTCTGCCACGGTGTTTATTGCCATAGTCCTTACGGCGATGCAAGTTGGGCTAGCGACAGAGTCTCTTGGGAACAATGACACTTTCCAGTCTGTGTCGTATGGGTTTACTGTTTTCTCAATTCTGGGTCCTCTCATCGCGATTGGGCTTACTCTGTTGACATTTTTCTACATGTTTCTGGATAACTGGATCGCGGCGGTAGCCTATAAGAGGAAGAGATTCGACGCCATTAAGCGAGAGGAATCGGAATGATACTAAGAATGCAGTGTATCACGTATTTGTTTAAAACGTAAGCCTCATGGTATTGGCCCTATTATAAACCAAGAGTCTCCTTGATCGTAGCAGACGGCCGTCTGGATTTTCTTCAACGTCCATCCAAGCACTGGGCTGGAGGGAGCGATGCAAGATGGCTTGCTACATCTGTAATCATCTGCCATATCAGTAGGCGGCGGTCATATCTTTGACCACTCCAGCCTCGCGAGCTCAGTGGTAGGCTAACCCTCTCACAGCTGACGTCGGAATAGAGGTAGGGTTAGTAGGAGAATGTGGGTGACTGCTGCCCCTACTTGCGTTTGACGATGGGCGTTGTCTCAGGACTCCAGCTGATACTTCACTGTCTCCGATACCATCTATAGAACCTTCTACGCAGTCAGCCAAATGATATAACTGGTCAACCGAATATATCACCATATTCAATCCCTAGAAGAAACCTTTTATTAATAGTGTTGCCTCTACCTACATCCCTGGTTCGCCACAGCGCTGCGGAAATCTTTCCCTTACTATATACAGCCTAGCACATCCAGCCCCAATGGCCCTCACGCCCTCCAGGGCCCATCAACATGCCTGACAAGGTGAAGATCATCATCATTGGAGACGAAGGGGTCGGCAAATCCGCCCTCACTCTGCAGGTTCGTGCCCCGTATAGTGAAAGTTCCCTCTGGTCCCAAACATAGCAATTGAACCCGCGGCTGCCTCTCGTGTTTCCGTCAATCGTATGAGCCCACCGCCGACGACTCCATTCGCAAGCCAATCGTCGTCGACGACGAAGAGAGCTGGATTGCGAGTATGTCGAGACGTTGGCAAACGGACACCAACGTCGAGGAACTCTTCGTCCGGCTCGTGCGGAAAATTCGCCGTTAGCGGCCGACGGGCCAGCAGTTGCTTCTAGAAAAGAAAGGTACCAAAACGCCTTCCAGACTATGGAAGGATGGAGCATGTGCAAATGCACGATGATGTGAGGTATCTTCTAGGCCAACTGAGCAGCTGAAGCAGGTCATCAGAAACTGAGGACGGACAATCCACGAACAGAATTCATATTTAGAGACCTGAGGCTTATAATTAGTCCATGAACTTCTCAGTTAAGTCATCGCAGATCCGGGAGAAATGTCCGTCGATAGTCGTCCCATTAATACACGCTTTGTTGGCAAAAACTGTGACTTGTGTCGGAGAGAAGGATACGATTCCCACTGCTTCTAAGCCCTTGAGTGTTGCGGCAATGAGAGAATTCTTCATAGGATCCCTTGGTCATTCAGATCGATAGATCACGATGAATGCTCGGTCTGCGATACAAAATCGCTGACCATGTTTGACCGACGCATGCATATCCTAGAAGTTGAGCGAGTAATCCGCGCAGATGGCTGCATCATGTTCCACCGTCTCCGAATTGACGCCTTAGACCTATTCGGAAAATGGTTATGGAATTTTTGTATTGTCTCCTGAAGACTTAATCCTCCCTTTGCCATATCCGTCAAAAGGCTATCTTCTTCCTTAGGAAGATGGTTCGCCGATTTACTGCGCCTGGGGCACGAGACGTTGCGGCGTTGCGCATCAGTGGCTTGCCTTCGCGCCATGGCCCTGGTTAATCGATCTGTTGCAGGGACTGCATCATTAACCAGGCTACGACGCTTGGGATTTCCAGGAGTCCTCTCGTGGGATGCGGTAGTTATCGATGGGGTCTCCCAGTCGACACTAGCAAGTGATGTTGTCGTGTCTGTGCCTAATGGCACCTCTCGGGGGGATGAGCTCGCACAATGCAAAATGGAAGACGTTGGAGAAGTGGTGGGAGCAGGGCTATTCAAGTCCCGGTCCTCCGGAGTCTCCGACTTGTGCCCACTTGAGGTCGATGAGCTACAATCTTGCATCAGCCGTGGGTCGATCGGTAGAACCACAGGGCTTGTATGAGTTGTCGTGGGCCCAGATTCATTGCTTGTATGGAGCGTAGAGAGATCAGAAGCGTCCGAAGTGGTTGATGTTGAATCACGCTGCGGCGACGGTAGGAAAGCTGAGCATTTAATACCAAGTGCGTTAGAGCCTGGTTCGTTTTCTGACATGTCCCCCGGATTTTTGTGCACTGATGAGAACGGCGTCGGGCCAAATTGACGGGAAGGCGTTGCCAGGTGGTCTGAAGGGACGGGTTGGCTATGCTGAGCCGGCTGAAGAGGAATCGATCCTCTACGGTTGTCCTCGACGGGCGGAGAGCCATCGGACTGTCTCTCGAAGCTGGCATAGCTGCCACAGGCTGTTGCGGCAGCAATACTCGAGTCTGGGGCCCATTGGATAACATGGATATTTACCGTTTCATTGGAACTGATTTTCTGCCGTTTCTTAGTCCCTGTCCACTCTTGAGGTCTCTTCTTGCCTCGAGAGACACTCTCAGCTCCAGCACTCGACTTTTTCTGGTTGCCTGACTCATCGCAAGACACATTCCAGATCGCCTTCTGCAGACCATGTGTATCACTCAAGTGGTACCGTAGCTGGAGTTCTGAATCAAAGTTGGCTTGGCACATCGGGTGAGAACAAATGTAGGTCCCCCACATCGTCTTTATATGGCTGACAACATGGTTTCTCAGTTCATTGCTCCTTTTCCAGGCTCTCATGCGGTCTGAGGAGGAGAGAGTCTCAGAACCAAGACAAAAAGGACAGTACCCTGGCCGGACGAGAGTATAACCGTACGTGATTATTTCGCACCGTCTGGACATGCCCTGCTTAAGGTGCCAGCTGCAATGATCCTCCCACCCTTCTGCACCCCAGAAGGCAAAGCACTCGTAGCAGTACTTTACTTGCGTTTCTTCACACCCAAGCACCTTGCAGCGTTCCTTGCGTTGGCAGTCTTGGATATGATTAGAACGCATAGGGCGGGTCAAACTGAGGAATGTTAGAGATGTGGACAATGCTGTAGGGCGTAGAGCGATTCCCGCCACCTCACTCACCTAGTCAGATCACAGTTCCCAACCGGACATCTCCCGCTGACAGGCTCCTCTCCAGGGCGGTAAAACACATCATAGTCTTTGGCGCAGTAGGCCAACAGACTCTCCACGACAGAGAGCATATTTTGGTAGGATAGATGATCATCAACTGGCATCATCTTGGCGATACGCTGACGATCGGGCTGGGCCTTGAACAGGCATTGTGCGACATCATTGTAAACAATCGTCTCTGGGGCCTTCCCTCCTGCCCTGACCTGCGCTTCGACGCGCCTTTGAACCCATTCGTCTCTGTACTTTGCCAATTCAGAGTTATAGAGACGAGTCTTCAGGACTTGGATTTGCTTGGCGGTGAGCTTTATAGCAAAGCTAGCATCGTCGTCAACCCTGTTGGCATCACACCCTTCAACCGTGCTCTGATGGCTGGATTCATCAGAAGCGTCCTGGATGCGTAACTCCTTGAGCCGCCTTTCGAGTTCGCGCAAGTTTTCGTTCTTTCCAATAAGATGTTGCCGTTCAGCTGGTAGATGCCTCGGGTAGCCAATTGCACGGTATTTGCCGACCCCTCTGAGGTATTCGATATGATCGAGGCGCATCTTCTCTCCTAGGAATGCATCCATGGTACTCAGGGCTGAGGTGCTATCTATGTAGCTTCTTCCAAAGACATTGGGATCTTTTTGTGTAAGGATCTGACTCCTCTCGGAATCCGTTGCTACCTCTGTAGGTGATGATGGTCAGATCATTCTACTCTGAAGCGACGAGAGGACCAACTTACTATCTAGTCTGTTAGCGAGACCTCGTCTCAGGGTATGGATGATAATTATTTCGGGATATCCAGCATTGGTAACAACTGCCCGGAATATGCGGCAGAAACTCTCGCGCGTCCATGCACGCTTTGAGACGCCACCAGATCTGGTAACTTGGCGTAACACAGGTTCTTCGGCCACAGATGGTTTCCATAAAAGTGGAACAGGCTCGTTATCATCTGGATTCCAGGTTTTCAAAGTCTGCAAGGAGTCGAGGTGCAGAAAAGCTCCATCCTGCACCGCCATCTCCAAAAGCCAAGGTACGGGATTGAATCGCAACTTGCCGTGCTCTCTCATCGCGATACGAAACCTGTATGCACCTCATTAGCATCGGAGGATTCATGTAAACGCTTGCGACATACATAGTATTTTTTGGATTATCGTTGTTCTTGACCCATTTCTCACAGAGACGGAAGAAGAGTTCGATCTCGCCATCTACCCTGCGATATATATATAGCTCGATATCCTGCCGCATGTTAACTCAAAAATATGCCTAGCTTAGCAGGCCGCCTGACGTACTTCATATCGGAGCCCACGTTCATCTTTCTTCGAGGTATCAGGTATAAATGTGCCAATCCGTGCTCCAGTGTAACAGTAAATAAGGATTGCGAATGTTAACTGAACTCTGTACCTCGGGTGGATGAAAATCGGATCGTCGTCGGTCCACAGGGACACGAGAATGTTGGTAAGATCACAGTGCGTGAACATGTGTTTTGCCCTTCTTTTATCCTCGATCACTTCTTCTTGAACAAGCCCTTTCGAGATCCACTTTTCGCGCTTAGTATCTGCAGGAAGGTAATCGGACAATAGATCTCCAAACCTTGTAGACATCCTTGGTAACCCTCGTATCGAAGGTAGACTTGGTAAGACGGGTGAAGCCGCCAAAGAACCGTTCGGCAAAATTCAATACGGACGACTTTGTAGGGCGCAGAGAGATCATTCCGTTCGAAGAGAGGATGTAAAATCGTATAAAGTCCTTGATCGTGGCCAGGTCCGGCACGGGCTGACCCTCACGAAGTCCCTCCTTTCGGAGATTCTCATCCTCTTGGGACGCCCAGCTATGTCCAAGAGACAAAAGATTCAGTAAGATGAACGCAGTGGACGCTAAAGAGGTATGGACGGTACTAACGTGATATAATCCGATAGGACTCGGTCCTGCATGCCCTTTGTCTCATCTGTATAATATATCTCACAGTAATGCTGGTCTCTGTCTCGATTCGCTCCTCGAACATAACCGTTGGCTTGGGCGTTGGCCAGTCTATCGACCTTTTGTCTTCCTTTGGGCATTTTTGCGGCAAAGATAGGGTGCAACGCAAAAAAAAAAAAAAAAAGAGAGGACTTCAGCAGGACTGAGAGCGAAGTAGACAGCAGATTCCACAATCGTGCAAGGTGTCAGGATGCAGGAGTGAAAGAGAAGTCAAGGAGGGCAGGACGACTTCGCGCCTTTTGTCGGGGGGCCCGTGGGGGCCTATTCTCCTCAGCGCCATCTCCCCTGTCTCCTAGTCGACCCATTATTAATGCGTAAGTGAAGCAGCTAGCAAACCGGCGTGGACACGAAGGGAGGATAAGGCTCAAGGGTGAGTGTTGGTGTTGAAGAGGTGAGCGAATCACCACGGATGGGTGAGTAAATCACCTCGAATGGGTGAGCAAATCACCTGACTCACCCGGCTCACCCTCTTAAAGCGGCCATGGCCAAAAGAGGAAAGAAAAGTGTCCCCGTAGATTTTTGAACGATAGAAATACCTATCTAGTTAGCGCCGTCAACAGCCAGAACCGAGGATCGGCGCTGCGCGAGGCACTAGGAGGCGGCTCGGGTACGGAACCATCAACATAGAGCTCAGAGAACAACGGAGGGAGACCAGAAGGTGCCCATAGCGTTGTATTCCTTTCCTATTTGTATCTCTTAAAATGGCCTCCTTTGAATCCAAAAGATGCTTAGTCAAGAGTATCAGAATCTCGATTGTGTTTATTAACTTATCTTGTTTACCCTCGATCCGATTCGTAACTGCCACCTTGGGGTTGTAGGATAGAGAAGATGCAGGAGGTTGATCGTTTCGTGTTAGAGCAATATTACTTGGTGGACTTTCTCTGCTTTATTTATACCTGTTAGCAGGAAAGTTTCTGAGGTTATCAGTAAGGTGATATGCGACCTTGAAATGGGGCTTCTTATATGCTTAGCACGAAGAAACATACTTCTCTTCTGGTTTTATCAAACTGTAGCTACAATCTTGTTCCAGTTTTATTTCTATCATTGACTAGAAGGTAAAACATATATACCGACATCGGATCTTTCGGTCAAGGTCTTGAAGTGGCTGTTCTCGGTAACCTATGTCTAATACAGCGTGATATATATTCAATATGTTCATTTATCTACAAAATCTCGCCACATGATTAGTGCTTACAACCAAAGCAGTCTTGTCAGCACCTCCCTTGTTATTTCAACATAGAATCTCCACAGAAACCACACCATCGACAATCCATACTTCTAACCGGAACCAAATCCCACGGCCTCCCATGCATGCATGCAGCATCCCATCTGAACGGACCGACCCACCCGCGGACACCCGCAGCCCTACATTCCCACATCCAACCAATAGAACACACGGCATTGCTTACCGCCCCACATCCCGACCCTCCCAGCCCTCGGCAAAAGAGCTTTGCTCTATAGAGCACAACCTTGGCGCAAGTTTCAACAACTATCCGATATGGTGTAATGGTTAACATCGCCGTCTCTCACACGGCAGCTCGGGGTTCGATTCCCCGTATCGGAATACCTACCTGAACATTTCTTCTTTGCTTAGTTCTGGCGTACATCTTTTTTGTATGGCTTTGCTGAGCAATGATTTGGTGACGTTGATATCTATGTTCCTTGGATTTATTGGCTTGAACAGTATCTGTTTTTCATTATTTTCCTCAATTCGAGAATGGAAAATCAGGCTGTTCTTTGTTTTGTCTTTGTTTGCTTTTCTTTCCTTCCTACAAGGACAATCAATCTTGATCGTTTGCCATCAAATGAGGTGCCCTGTCTCTCTACCTTGGCGGTATATAGGTAAAATCAACTACCTTGAGATAACCGCGCGTACTCGGCATCTAACTGCCAAAAACAACTCTCCAACGAAATAGACACTTCTTTGTCAACTCCAGATAAACTGAAAATGTTGTAGGAAACCAGCCTACTTGATCCTATAACGAACTAGATATTTTGATAGAACAATTCCTGAATGATGCTCCAAGTTTTTTTTTTTTTTTTTTTTTTTTTTTTTTTTTTTTTTTTTCAGGGGCTAAGATGGGCTAATCGGAACAGATACTGTCTTGTATCGAATTCCATAAATGACACTCACCCCGATACACGTCCCAAGACATTCTTGTTGCTTCTCAACGTTGAGCAACTTGCCCGATACTCCCGAGAAGCCACATCACTTTGTTTCTCAGGTACATCACCAATTGATCGTTTTCCACCTAGATCCTATCATCTTTTCAGCGCAAATAGAACCGTGGGTCTGGAACCACGATCGGATATCGATGCCGTTCAAATCGACTTGCGGGTAGTAGACATACTGGAAAGGTTCTCGGGCCATACTTATTCTTGTTACCGGCTAAATATTCTTTGCAAAGCTGCGCCATGGACAGTGTCCGAGAGAATGGGCAATCCGTCAAGAGAGAGATGCTAGAATGCGCGAGTCTAACGAGAATAAGAGGGACCGAACCCGGCCTTAATGGCCATCAAGAAGTTGTTGCTCCAATCCCGTGATTGGATCCCAGATTCGGATGGTTCTGTCGTAGCAGCCAGATGCCAGTGATTTACCATCAGGGAAGACCAAAACTGCTGTGATTGCCACCAAATGTCCATGGAGAGCTCGCTCGATCAATCTATCGACTTCTGTTCGTTCGGTTGGCCGTTCCAAGGCTCGTATGCCAAATTTTCTCATGGCTGCATTATGCCCTGGGTTAATCTTCGTCTCCAGGGCGTCGAGTTCGGTAATACAACCGTTGATATTATCGGACATGGCCGAAGAGGCGGGCTTCCCATCCCCATTTCCCATTCTTGTGGCAAAAGGAATGCAAAGCCACTAATAGGCCCTCAGTATGCAGTTTATGATCGGCCTTGTGAGCCATTTTGCGTCATGTCAAAGGCGACACCCGGGTGGCAGACTCTTTGAGCCTCTAGTCGCTCTGCCCATTCAAGCTTCCGAGACATTAGATCCATCCTTCCTATTGATGGTAAACCAAATTGTAAGCATAGATGATCACTATGTATTGACCAAGCATTCCTGCAATCTCTCCCCGAGTCTTCCCCGAAGTCTCACTGTCGAAATCATTCAAGCCGTAAACCTTTGCCAGTGTCCTTATAAGACTCGGGGAGGATTCGCCTTGAGGATTGTCTATGTCTGAGGCTTGGTCATTGTCCGAATAGCTCCCTTCAAGCTTGTTTCGGCCAAAAAAAAGGGCCCGCGAATACGTTGATTTTCGACTTTGAGTACCAATTTCAAACACCTTAGGGGAACGCGCGAGTTTGAAATTGGTACTCAAAGTTGAAAATCAACGTATTCGCGGGCCTTTATTGATTTTCTTTTTTTATGATTTTTTGTTTTAACTTTTTTTGGTTTGCTTTTTAGATTTTTTTTTTTTTTCCAAGGCTCCATTGCTCGATCGACTGCTTCTGATGGAATAAAGGAGATATCGTCAAAAATCCACTTGCAGGAACCACTCGGGTGTAGTTTTGGATCCAATACTTTGGAATTTTTGACAATCCTCCTCAACTTTGACTTGAAGCTCTCGAACTTGTTGAATTTTATGCCCATTGTTTGACGATAGTGTACTGTTCCACTGCGCTTGATAAGATGTTCCCTCAGGCTTTCCGGGGTTGGTCGAACTTTGGTGCAGAGAGGACATCTCACTTGAGGAAATTGGAGGTGCGACATCCGGAACAGTACAGATATTGGCAATCAGCACGATGAGTGTCTCGTTGGGCTATTGGCATGGTTCTTTGGCACGTGTGGCATAGGTATCTGCTCTTTTTGCACTCGATTCGATGTTCGGGTAGCAATATCTTCGCCATTCTCTTGTGACAATAGTGGCATTGTGGTTTTGCCTCAAGACAGTCGAGACGGTGTCTGGGGAAGTCCGTCTTGGAATATCTGCCTCACAGCCACGAAAATGAGTAGTGCCTTGTCGGAAAGAGCTACTAGCCAAAGCATGAGACGGGATCGAGCTTTTGCAAGAGGAGCACAACAGCAAATGAGAGGGACCAAAACGTGCCGAATGTCGCAAGTATTTTGAGCTTTTCCTATCTGATAGGGATACGGTTCGAGCAAGATGTATCCAGTGCGGGCAGTCGGTTGAGTGTGAAAAGTTCAGAATGGAGCTCCATCTCGATCAGTCAGGGCCCTAACAAAGCAAAAGACAAGTCAGCATATACGCATGCGATAGCAGGTAGAGATAAGATAGTATAGGGCTGGAAAACTTACGTTTCAGGACTGTGTAGAAGAGCAGCACTGCCCAGACAGCCACGACGACCGCAGGATCGCCATGACAAGAGTGTCGAGCAAAGCGGACAGCGGGGTTAGACCTTTTTGCAGCTAGTATGATGCTCCTTCATGTTCCCTTGTTTGTTTCTCAGTGCACGAGCGGCATTTAGGAAAAGCCTCAGGGCAGACAGAACAGTGTTTCCTGAGCTCGAGCTTTGGGAAGGGCAATTTCGAGTGGCTTCCAGAAGACGGCCACGATCCAGCGACCCAGACGAATCTGAGCACTTTTCCAAATGTAGATTCATAGAATAGAGAGCTTCAGGCACATGTGCTTCGTAATGCATTTGGCTCGAGGAGTTGCATACTTCAATCTTCAATGCAACTCCTCGAGCACGTCTTGATGAAATTCCAAAGAACAAACGGAGTTTAGGGTGAGTATGAATGCTCCAGTTTCAAAGTAACAAGAGGAAAGAGACAGCAGGTACGTATACTGAAGAAGAGTTCGATATTGATAAGGTAAAAGTGGTGAGGTTTCTGTAGGAATTTGGATGTCAGGGGAAGGCTGCCGAAGTGGTCAAGAATAATTGAATTGAAGGAGTTGCTTGTTCAACTGTCGAGGGGTCAAAGTAGGTTCTTTTATCTTCATATCCACGTGATCGCCATAGCCAACTTAATGGAGTTTTCCGTTTCATTCTCAGGGAATCCTTCGCTTCGTATGAAGGCCTTCACTTGCCTTTAGCGAAGGTTAGGTGAATTGCCTGGGGCATCTAGATCTTCGGGAATTCTTGCGAGAATTCAACTTCGGAAAAGAAGGGGCGGGGGAGGAGCATTATCTTCACTTAGATACTTCTGAAAATGGAGCTTTTGTATAGAGTGAATACTAACAAGGTATACTCCGTAGAGTGTAAACGACCTAGGGACGGGCACTAAGTTACGGGGCCCTACGGGGCCCGACCCGCCGGCTGCCTGAACGTGAGGTCACGTGGGTGCCCCAGCGAGGGGTGCATCACGTGACCATGACTCACCCTCGTCTGACCGCCCCACCTAACACCTTTGGAGGTATTTTTCTGCAGATCTTATAGCGGGGTTACTGAGACTCTTTCTTTGTGATATTTCCTCTCAATCATTGCCCGTCCTTCACTCGGTCCAACATGGCTTCATCGGCGGAGTCAAGATTTGCTCTCATCCGTGACAATCTCGGCGAGATTCTCAACCCGGAGTTGATTGAGAGCATCCTCGCGGAGGGGCGCAATCCCCGTGTCTACTGGGGTAAATGACTTCCTACTTTCTAGCATCTAATACAGTGAACTGATATTGATTTGTTATTCTTTTCTAGGCACTGCTACCACTGGCCGGCCCCATTCCGGTTACTTCGTCGCCGCAATCAAGATCGCCCAGCTCCTCGCGGCAGGATGTGAGGTGGTCATTCTCCTTGCCGACGTCCACGCCTTTCTGGATTCACTGAAGGCGCCTCTCGAACTGGTTGAGAACCGTGTCAAATACTACGAAAGGGTCATCAGGGCTATTCTGGAAGCCGTGGGCGTGTCGACTGAGAAGCTCGAGTTCGTGCTCGGAAGTTCCTACCAGCGGAGTACCGACTATGTTATGGACGTCTACCGGCTTGCTGCTCTAACCTCTGAGCATGATTGTCGGAAGGCAGGTGCGGAGATTGTGAAGCAATCTGCCAATGCCCCAATGAGCGGTCTTCTTTACCCGATCCTTCAGGTCCTCGATGAGGAATATCTCAAGGTCGATGCTGAATTAGGAGGTATGTCTAACTCTATCTAAACATCTATACTATCTCTAACATAGCTATATAGGGCTGGACCAGCGGAAGCTCTTCACCGGGACGTAATGGACTGCATAGACTACGAATGAATGGCTAACGGAGTGATTATAGCGGCCACGGAATGGCTACCCAAACTCGGATACCGAAAGGTAAAAAAACACGTTTTTTCAAGAAATACTGAACATTACTAATGGATTTAAACTTCTAGCGTGCTCATCTTATCACACCAATGGTTGCAGGCCTAAGCGGAGGCAAAATGAGCTCTAGTGTTGAAGGTATACGAAAAAATCTCTCTCTCAAAAATTCGACACTAACCCCTATTTAGATAGCAAGATTGATCTCCTCGACCCGCCCGAGGCAGTCTCCAAGAAGATCCGTAAATCGGAAGCGTTACCTCGAGTCGTTGAGAACAACGGCATCATTGCTATGGTAGAGTTCGTCTTACTACCGGCAGCCGACCTCGCCGGCAAGAAGGAGTTCCGCGTGGAACGCCGAGATGACGAACCCCTTATTTACACCGATATCCAAAAACTGAAAGACGACTACACGAACGACATTGTATGTTTTATACTCTTTGTTTTGCTCCCATAAAATCTTACTAACAATCATCCGCAACAGTTAACTCCCCAGCTTCTAAAGCCTGCAGCAGCAGAAGCCTTGACCCGTCTCATGGCACCTATTCACAAAGCCTACGTCGAGTCGGCGGAATGGCAGGAAATCACCCTCAAGGCTTACCCGCCTCCGGTTGTGAAGAAGAAGGAAAAGAAGGTCAAGGACAAGGGTACCCGCCATCCTGGAGCTAACAAGGAGCAGGACCTCCCAGAGCGTCCCAAGGCTTAAGAAATGTATCGACGAATAGAGAGAAACGGGTATTTTGGACATGGCGGGCGAGTCGGGATCTTACATAGGTAGAAGTCATTTAGACTTTTTCTTATCACAATAGAAGTGACATCATTCAATTTTGTGTTATTAAGAAGATCTACCGCTTAAAAGCAAGTACTGTGGCTCACAGAGTACATCAAAGCATTTCCAGGAAGGGTGTATGATCTTGGGAAACTAGTATGGCGGACATTTATATGTATATTAGTATATTTACCCCGGGTTCGGGCATTTAACCACGCCATTGGTTACTCCGCTGCAGCCAAATCTACCCTTCTATTGTGAATTGGGATCGGAATTGGAATTCGAGGAGAAAGGGATTGAAAGCACGTATAAAAAGTGTTGCCGATATTGAATAACTTGTAAAGAGTCACAATATTGGGTATATATGAACTATCTGATATGCGCTGTTTGACACGTGATGATAACTATGGCGGGCGGGAATCGCTTGTGACCGCCTTTAGGCATTAGATGCAACAGATCTATGTAGCATAACTTTATGCAGTTTCTTCAACAACATCCGATATGGTGTAATGGTTAACATCGCCGTCTCTCACACGGCAGCTCGGGGTTCGATTCCCCGTATCGGAATAACCATCTGAACATTTCTTTTTGGTTCTTGTTTTTTCTTGTCTGTTTTTGTGTCTTCTTTCGTTCGGGCTTTCTTTTTCTATTGTTCATGTTGGTTTGATTTGAATTGACTGGCTCGAAACTACATGTACAACTCAAAGGGAGTTGTTACTAGGCCGAGTAAAGATTAACCAAATAAGGATGGATATAAATGTAAAAGTACTTGCTCCTGCATGATCAATGCTGAAGAAGCCAGCAGCACAAATCCTGCCAAGTTCAGAGCCAGAACAGATCCCAACCATGTACCCGTGTTTCATCCAGCATACTTCCATTTGAAACAGAAGTAACAAGTAACTATTCCCCCTACCTATACAAAACCAACAATCCTGTTAGACAGAAAAAAGAATGCAATCATAATTGATGAATTGAATCAGGTATCCGGTATCAAACGCCCAAGAACAATATCAAAAACGTAAGCCCATACATGACTGCAAGAGAACATAACATGCAAGAAATTAAAAACCCGCAATAGCACAGCAGAAAAAAGAACAATCATAACATAAACCCATAAGATATCCCAGCTCAGTCAATCCCATCCATCCATCCGTTCATCCATAAGTTTTAGCCTGCCAGGCAGACGAACAGACGGACAAGCCAACGCAGTATGCACAAATGCAGAATGCATATCAGACATCAACCCTGGAACCCACAATCCAGATCTAGACCTCGATCAAGATCAAGACGACGAAGCAGCCTGTCTCTTCAAGCCCTGCTCAACCTCCTCCAACAGCGCCAACAACTCCTTCCCGCCCTCCGTCTCGCGGGCCTCAATATCCAACCCCTTCTCGATAACCGTCTTCGCCTCCTCCCACCTCGTCATCTCCGCCAAACACTTCGCGGCGCGCCACCACGCCTTGACATTCCCCATCGGCTTACTCTCAACAGCAGTCTTCGCATCCAGCATCCCCTCGGGCCAATTCTGCTGCGCCATGTGCGTCTGCGCACGGTTCGAATACAACCCGGCCAGCTCGTCGCGGGTCAGCGCCACAGGCTCCCAGCCGGGTCGGGCCAGCGCCATGTCGATGGCGTAGGTGTACAGACGGGCGGCCTCGTCGTGGTTGTTCTTGCGGTAGGCGGTGTTGGCGGAGTCGCGGAGTTTGGTGATCTGGGCGCTGCGCTTGGGGTTGATGGGGAGCGGGGGAGGGGGGATGTTGGGAGGGTCGACGCTGAGGAGGGCGCGGTGCAGGGCGTTCAGCTCTTGGAGTTCTTCGTTGAGGGTGGTGGTTTGTTGGGCGGAGTAGGAGGATGACGAGGATGCGCCGAGGGAGATCGCCTTCGAGGAAGGGACTAGGTGCAGGGGATAGTGGTTGAAGAGGTCGACGCTGCTGGCCATCTTGACGATTGTGCTTGATGGATTTGAGGTATCTTTGGTTGTTTGGTTGGGCTTTGTGAATGATGGTATGTGCCTGGGTTTGGTCAGAGAGGTGGTAACGGATCAGTTAATGGGTAGACATACTCAGTAATCAGAGGAAAGGCTCGATGAGAAATTTGAGCAGAAATGAGCACAGAACATGAATTGCCCAGGATGAGGATGCAGGAAGATGACGGTCGATTAAGTCCGCAAGCTGTCCAAAAGAAGTTCTCCGATAGGAAGGCGGTGATGAAATGCCGAACTTCAACTTGGCGGTAAGTTTGATAGAGCCTTGCGTTATTCTGCCAATATTGGCTGGATTATTTTGCACGATATTGACAAAGTCAGATAGTATTCACTATACCACATACTAGCATCACTACATTCCCAAAGACAGACTCGCTATATAATTCAAATTCCTATGCAATCATCCGAACAACTAAGATCTCAACACTTAACACTGAAAGAAAGGGTTATGTCGTCAAAATCATCATGTAAAAGAACAAAAAAAATGCATACATGGCCAGCACTTCACTTCCGCCCGAATCAAACAAAATAAACATCACATGCAGAGCTTTCAAGTATCAAAAACAAGCTAGAGAAACAAGGGTAGTACAGCGTTGAAAAAGTGCGCCCACAAACACCGCTCCATGGTTTCGTTTCGAGATACAGCAAAGGGGAAAGGGTAAGAAGAAACGCTCGTCGACTGGGTAGTCGTCTTAGCGTCCGTAGGTGCCGCTGACATGCGATCCGAGTTCGGACGGCTGTCCGTAGTTGCTGCTGATATTGGACCCGAACTCTGACGGCTGCCCGTAGTGCTGTCCGTACGCACCGCCATAGCTGGTGTAGGGGTTGTCGCTTTGCGGCATGCTGCTGGTGTAGGGGTTGTCGCTTTGCGGCATGCTGCCGGTGTTGGACGCCGTGGGGTCGTAGCTACCGTGCATCGCAGAGCGTCCGTTCGGGTTTCCGAGCTCATCCGCCTCGTTCTGTTGGAGAAGGGCGTAGTCCTCATCGCGGTCGCCGCGGACCGAAGAGCCCATGCCGGCGCGGGACCGGAAGTCATCTTCCTCCTCGTCAAATTCGTGCGGGTTGGAAGAGAAGGCGGCCTTGCTTTGCGCGGCGAATGTGGGATCGGAGACCGCATCGGGAAGAGTGCCCGTCCGACGGAAGTGCATGACATTGCGGAAGGACATGAAGGCGGTTACGACGAAGAGGAGGCTTTCAAGATTAGTTGGGGACACGGATGGAGGAGAGACAATTTTAGACTTACAAGATAATGACTCCCATGATAACCGTGGCGGTGCTGACTTTGCATTTGCTGGCGCTGCCGTACTTCCAGTTATCGCATCCGCTCTTCTTGTCACTATCCTTATCCTTATCCTGGTGGTCGTCCGACTTGCCCTCCGATTTACCCTGCGCAACGTAGCTGGCGACGCAAACCCAAGCGGTGAACCACAAAAGAGCGTAGAAGCAATCGACGGTCGCGAAGGCGTAAACATTTCCGAAGCGTCGTGCGCGCGGCCACATAGGGACTGCGACAAGATAGATCAAACCGGGGATGCTGAACCAACACTGCAGTGGAGTTACACATTAGTTGCCAGGTTAGATTGTGTCGTCAGTCGGAAACCTACCAAGGCCCAATACCAGGCCGAACGGCCATCAATCCCATCACCCTTCGTGAAAACGGCGATGGTCAAGGCCCACGCCAGGAAGATCAACAATGCCTGCACTCCATGGATGATGTTTTTTGTCCGCCCGGGATTGAACGAAGGTCGTGCGAGTTTCATTTTCGTAGGACGGGGAGGAGAAGGGAGAAGGTGGTGCCCGACGAAGTGCGCTTCCCCAGGAACAGGAAGGCCAGTAAGAAGGTATGAAGTCGGTCGTCAGGATAATTTGTCGACTTTGGTCGAAAGTTAAAGTGGTGTGAGGAAATCGCAGTCGAGTCTTGGGTCGAGAAAGGAAGCCAACAGGTGGGAGGGCGTTTGCTGGCTCGGAAGAAAGTGGTGGAATGAATTGTTTATGCGAAGGCAGTGAAAACCAGCGACGGGGCAACCCGATCGATGCCGCGCGGACGCTAAGAGGCTAGCAGGGCCTCAGATGGGTCGGAGATAGATGGAAGCGATGACGAAGCCGCACGAGGGATCGGAATGACACCACAGAGAGGACACAAAATGGAGGATAGTCCACGAGGCTGATAATATGGAAGAAAGATAGAGAGAAGAGAAAGAAGAAAGAAGAAAGACGAAGTGGCCGAGATCGAGGCGTTGTTGTACCGTACGGTAATCTGTCCCGGAGTGGCTTAGGGCTGCACTGGGCTGACTCAGGCATCCAGTCGGCATAATGCATAATTCTCTTCCTTCAGGCCATTTTATTCTGGCAGAGATGGCAGTGCACCAGTGCCAAGAATGACTATCGTATCTGCCTGTTAAGATAGGTTGTTGGAAATGCGTCATTCAGGACAAGGCAACAGACTCTCCCATGGTTCCCACAACCCGGAAGACTCCCCCAAAACTCTATAAGAGTCCTGATCGGTGATTTTGACTACTATATTTGGTTGAGCGTTGGTCATGATATGACAGTTCCATTACCCTGAGAATTATACCGCTAATTTACTTAATGTCATAATATGACAGTCCTCGTGGTTATTCCCCCTAATCCATATATTTACAATTAATCTACATAGAACAAACAAATTAACAACATCAAATGAACCAATCCTCCCATGTCAATAATGATTTCATCAGCAGAATATGAACCAGGATGATGCTAAACCCCGTTCTCCTGGAAACCAATCTATTCCGGGAAACACGGCAACGCCACCAGCCTCTTAGTCTCTCGGCTGTGCTCCACCGATCTACACTCGTCGGATATACTCCCAGGCCTACACAGTAATACAGTATACGCCCAAGAACATTGGCAGATTATATAAAAAGATGATCATTCAGTTTAGAAGCCGTTGCTTTTAGCAATATGCAGTGAACACTAAATAACAGAGATTATGCACGACAAGACGCCACCCGATGCTCCTTTATGTCATGTCTTGCAAACTGATCTCGACGAGTCTGGCCGTCGGAACAAATGGGGTAACATGATAACGAAATGGGACGAAAAAACAGGCAGAAAGAAAATAATATAGGCACAATGGTATCAGGCTTCCTTTACGTCAACCCCACTCACGATCGATTCCAGCTCTCTCAACGGTTGGTAGATATGGGCATCCCACCACCACGGCAGCGGATCGTGGATCGAGAACCGCCAATCTCTCCAGAACAGGAGGGCCTTCTCGGTGCCGCTGATCATCATGTCAATTTGCTGGGCCACGGGGTATAAGATGGTGAAGACTCTTTCCTCGTCGTGCTCCTTCAGCCTCTGATACAGACTGAATCTCGCACGAGGCGTCGTAGAAACGATGGACTTGGCCGCTTGGGTGCGCAGAGCATCGACTGAGTCCGACGACATTACACCATTGAGATGAGGAGCCTCCACTGCCAGGTACCCTCGAATGAGCTGGTCGGACGCATCTTGTAACAGGTTGTTGACAACCGCTGCGCCCTGCGTGCACCCGTTAATGTGAAGTGCATAACGCACGTGGTTGGCGTCGACTTCCTCGTCCACCATGACCCGGACGCAGATGTGACCTGTCATTCGATGTCCCCCCTTCAGCGCAAACCGCTCCATGAGCTTGTGAATGGACATCGTGAGCCCCTCGTCCAGGCGGGACTGACCCCAGGCCGATTGCTCATCCGCCGGACGGACCTTGATCGCCTTGACATGTCCGTGGACCACCAGCATCTCAGCCAGGAACTCGCCCAACCGACTCTGCTGCTGCAGGATCCACGGACTCTCTTTCGAGATCTGAATCTCGCTGACCTCGGAATAGGTCAAACTCAACGTCCTCTTCGGCAGGGTGATGATCTTGTTCTCCCTCGTCACAGGATCCGGTCTGGAAATGCGATACGTCTTAGTCGGCGACCGATGGAGAATCTTATGAATCGAATCGCGCGACTGCACCTCCCGGTTCTCCACGACCGGCAGATCCTTCTCGACCAAATACCGCCGGAACGTCGCTTGCCGACCGAACATGCTCGCCAATTCCGTGTCCAGCGTGATACACTTGCACTCGGTCCGCCCCTCAATCACCTGCTTGGCCATCGCATCGTCCAGCACCGACGCCTTCTCAGAACACGGCACCCACACGTCGGCCTTTTCGCGATTAATCACGTCCAGCAGCCGCGCCACATACTTTGATTTCGGAATGCGGTAAAACGCCGCCAGCGCGTTCGACATGCTCTCGCCCGTCGGGATCGCCGTGTCTGTGACATTCACCCCTACCACGCGGTGTCCCTGATGGGACCAGCACCGCGCGACCGCCAGCCCGTGCGGCGTATCGACGCCCGTCACGAGGATCGTCTTGGGGTAGAACTGGCCATCGCGCAGCGCGGCCTGGCGTCGATGGATCGGGTCCGAGCGCGACAGGACGAAGGAGAGATACCCCGCAGCGTAAGCCGCCAAGAGGATGGTATTGTTCAGCGGGAAGAGGAGCAGCGCGATGGCGATGTTGAATAGGTGCACGAGCACCCCGATATGGAGTCTTTCTCGTACGTAGCAGAGGGATCGCTGCTTGGAGATTGAACCGAAGGCTCGTCGGACCGTAGGGACGGACATGCTGCTGCTGCTGCTATGTTGGATGTCGGCAGTCATTCATTCAGTCGGTTAATCAATCAGTCAATCACTCTGTCTGTCTGTCTGTCAAATACTCTAACATGCGAATCCCATTTCAAGAGAGTCGTAAAGAGGAAGAATCCACGGTTAAAATGACAGTGGGACTTTGTTGTCTGTTGACAAGTCTGGCTACCCCTCCGGAATGCTGCAAGGCGACCACGTCAGCGATGCATTACAGCATCACCCCCCTTGAGCTGGCTGGGCTGAAACTTTTCCTTTGCTTTTTTCTCCTCTTTTCTTTTCTCCTTTCATTTTCACATGTAAATTAGTACCCACTCCTGTTCGAATTTTATTGAATTAAGATATATTCCTTTTCGGCCTCATTCCCGCGTACTTTGGAAATTAACTATGAAACAACAATCGATTTAGAACCATGTATACACTGTCCACGCCTAATATGAACCATTCCATCCCACCTCAATCCAAGACAACACATCACATGCTACATGCGAGCAACGCATCATATTATCGTTTAACAACGTGGCTCGAAAGTTTTCTCCAGCTAGCTACCTAGAGCCACAGCTAATGTGGATCCTGCGGCATATGAAGTATAAGGTATCTGCACAGCCATGTGCCCTCTGTTCCTGATGCCTACGGTGCCTGGGCATGGCTCACACTTACCTCGTGGCCTAATAACCTACGTCTGTCAATATAGTCCTGATCGCTAGGTTGTGGTTTGATAGAGATTGATCTCGTCCGCTGGCCATGCGGATAACTGACGACGACACCATCTTGTGTGCATAGGTGTTTGTTTTGTACTGTACTTAGAACCTCAATCGTGGACTATGGCGTCCCTTCGTGTCTATTACTCACGTTCGGGTGTGTACATCGTCTGTACCAAAATAGTTCTTGTGGAAAGGTATTCTATCGTGCTTCTTGCCCTGACAACACCATACTACTCACAGTCAGAGCAATGCAATTAGTAAAATCTCAGTAATTCTATACAATTTCAGGTCTACAGCCTCCCAAAAAAAAAGAAAGGAAATGAAATGAATAAGAACGACTAGCGTGCAAGATCTAACATACTCCCAATGACCACGAAACCCAAAACACACCCTGATCTACATTTCTTATAATCCGAATAAACTATACATCTCAACGTAGCATCCATCTACCATACCATGCCGAGGGGAAAGAAAACCAAAGTATCTGAATCAAGCCAAAAATAACTTATACTTTAGAACTGTATCTGGTAGGTCCAGGCAAAATACCTATCAAATACCGAGCATGCAGCCTACCATATCTTACTTACCCCTCCCTGAAATGTAGGCATGTGATTCCATGTCAGATCTAAGTATCTATCTCCGAGAAATCCATACCTAGAAATCTAGACCTCGGGGATTATGATCGAAGATCTGTGTGACTCTCAGATCTACAGTACAATGTAACGCTGGGTAAGTAGCATGCGTCGGGGACATTTCCAGGGTAGACGTCGTCGCACATTAACTATGAACTAACTATCTACAATCTATAACCGAGCACTTATGGGGTGTTCTATCTTACGTCCGAGAAAGTTGTCTATACTCGTCCCGTACAGTACATAAGCCACTAGAAAACCGAAGTAAATCTATGCCTGGAAACATAATCCCGACACCGCAAAAACAATACCTACCTAGACAATGAGTCAACGACTAGGTAGTATCCATTACCAACTACCTACCTACCTTAGTAACTGGCTTACATCAATAGACATCTCGCCCGAAACCCCGATAAACAAATCCGGTAAACATCCCCGAAAGGATCCATCCTATCCCATGTCCGTGTCCATATCCCCTACCTACTCCATAGATCGAACTACGGAGTACGTGCAAGCAGTGACTGACAGCATTGATGAGCTCATCAGTGCCACCTAGACCATCTAAATCAGATTCCGGGATAGTCGGTCTCCAAAATGGACCAATCGACTTCCCCGCCGATGACCACATACCCTGCTGGTGTTGGTCTATGTGGAGAAGCGCGGAATTCCTGCGCTCGGAGTTATTGATAAGGCTTTTAGATTGACTGACAACTGACTACTTCATTGATTGATAAACGCTGTATGGCAGACCACGGGAACTGGGGTATAAATATATGGGTGATACTGTGTTTAGGTTGTCTACACAGATATTTCGGTTTCTATTGACTGATTTACCTATTTACTTGTCATTGAGTGATTCTAGAAACACACTGTACTTACCTACCTATCGAAATGGCTCAAGATAATACTTATACTGCGCCTCTTCATCCTCGACCTGGCGAGTCGGTATGTTCAATTTCCTACTACTTACCTACCTTCCTTTATTTCTTTTCCCTTCTGATTTCGCTTTCCTGTTTGCCCTTTGAGGTAATTGTCAAACCTCTCTAATCTCAATGCTGATAACCACCACAGACCGAAGACAACCGCGAACTCAAACTCCTCCACTTCATCTACGACCAACCCAACCTCGACGAAATCCAAAACAACCCCAAGAAAGTCCTCGATCTGATCGACGAATTCGCAACCCGCTACCGCTTCATGAACGTCGGAGCCGAAAAAGGCAACGTCGTCACGCAGCTGATCGCAGAACGAAAACCCCAGATCATGATCGAACTAGGCGGCTACGTCGGATACTCTGCCATCCTGTTTGGCGACGCGGTGCGTCGCGCCGGCGGGCAGCGATATTACAGTTTGGAAGTGAACCCGGAGTATGCGGCGATTGCGAATATGCTGATCGAGTTGGCGGGTTTGCGCGACTTTGTGCGGATCCTTGTCGGACGGAGTGATTTGAATCTGCAGAAGTTGTATACCAGCGGGGCGGTTACGCAGATTGAGATCTTGTTTCTGGATCATTATAAACCCGCGTATACGACGGATCTGAAGCTGTGTGAGCAGCTGGGTCTCATTGTTCCAGACGTGTCGGTTCTGGCCGCCGATAATGTCGTGTATCCTGGAAACCCGCCGTATTTGGAATATGTGCGCAGCACGGTGGAGCAGAAGCGTGAAGCCGCCAAGAGTGGCCCTGTCCGCAGTTACAATACCGAGGGCATTCCCCAGCGCACGGTTCAGTCTTTCCTGGGGCAGGATGCCACGCCGCTGTTTGACATCACGGGGAATCCGAATCTGGTGTACACGAGTACCTTGGAACAGCCGGAAGGGTCGAATGTAAGTTTCTGTCACGGTTATGTCCGAGAGGCGAGATGGCAATATTTTCTGACGAATTCTGTAGGACGCCGTTGAGGTGACTCGGTGTGTGGGGATCCAAGAATAAAGGAAGGTCCAGGAAGCATGGCATCCGGAATTCGTCTAACGAACTGGTTAAACGAAAGAAGACTAGATTAGTAAAGAGTGGGGAGGGAGCATCGTTTAGCCACTTCGGCAGGGAGTCTCGCCATCGTTGCTAATCGTCATCGGAGGGGCAGGAGAGAGAAATCCGAGTCGGCGCAGAAGTCGGCCTTTGACGCCCCGCCCGAGCCAAAGGTTCCCGTCGCCAGGACCTTCCCCCGCACCCTCGACTCTTCTACGGAGGCAGACACTAGACCACGCCATCCCACTGCTGTTTTTCTGTATATAAATCAAGAGGATCCCACTAGCTCTTTTTCTCTTCGTCGTATCTCTCTGTGTCAATTCAATTGATTAGTCTCTTACCATTAATTCATCATCATGGCCTCCAAGACCTGGAATGTCGGAGTAGTGGGGTACGGCTTCAGTGCCAAAATTTTTCACATCCCCTTTGTCCAAGAAGTGCCCCAGTTTAAGCTCTACGCTGTCGTGCAACGTACGCCCAAGCCCGAAGACGACGCAGAGAAGGACCACCCCGGCATCAAGTCCTACCGCACGACCGAGGATCTGGTCAAGGATGACGACGTGGACGTGGTGATCATCACGACGGCCCCTGACTCGCATTTCAGCCTGGTGAAACTGGCGCTGGAGAACGGAAAGCACGGTGGGTTCAGCGCCGTCAATGTGGAAGTCAAGTTCTTGCGCTGACAATCCCGGCATCATAGTTATTTGCGAGAAGCCCTTCACCCCCACCTCCCAGGAGGCCGACGAACTCGTCTCCATCTCGAAGAAGCAGAACAAACTGTTGGCGGTTTACCAAAGTATGTCTGTCTGAGTGGTTCAACGTTGCTGAATATCATCCCTAATCTTGGACTCGTACAGATCGTCGGTGGGACGCGGACTTCGTCACCCTCTCGAAACTGGTGAAGAACGGATCGCTGGGCCGCCTGGTGGAATTCGAGACTCACTTCGATCGTCATCGCCCGCAGGAGCCGTCTTCTGACGCCCACAAGTGGAAGAACAAGGTCATCCCCGGCGGCAGCGCCATCTATGATCTGGGAACCCACCTGCTGGACCAGGCCGTGCATCTGCTGGGATTGCCCGACCGCATCACCGGCTTCATTGGTTCGCAGCGCGAGGTCAACACCTCTGGCTTTGAGGACTCGTTCACCGTCTTGCTGCACTACAAGTCGGGTCTTCTCGTCACTGCCAAGGCGGGTGTCGTCAGCCCCGAAGAGGAGCAGTTGCGATTCTGGGTCCGCGGAGAGAAGGGTAGCTTCAAGAAGGTAGGCATATCCGGCACGGAAGCCATGCGACATGAAAACAAGAAGAAGCGGCCGATTAACTTATCATCCGAACAGTTCCACCTCGATATCCAGGAAGATCAGCTGAAGGCGGGAGTGAAGCCCGGCGACGGCGGCTATGGTCGGGAGCCGAGTGAGAGATACGGTAAGGATATCCCAGTCGAGAACACTCCGCGTGTTGAAACGACACATTGCTGACTTCATCTGCAGGCGTCCTGACGACCATCCAAGACGGCAAGCCCGTCAGAGAGGTCGCTCCCACGGTGGAGCCGCCTACCTACACCGAGTACTTCCGGAAGTTCGCTCGGGCTCTCGCTGGCGAGGGTGACCTTCCCGCCAGCGGTGCCGAAGCGCGCGACGTGATTCGGTTGATCGAGTTGGCGAAGGAGAGCTCCAAGACCGGCCGGACTTTGGATGTTTAGAGGATAATCTCGATGTAGAACATGTTATGGAACGATATTATGAACTCAATTTTTTTCTGGTGTTTGAACTCAGTTGATCTGTAGGCATAAATAGTAACAGTAAATGCTGAACAGACAGTAAGTCAACACAGTGTAGTCCTGCACAGATGCGGAGTACCTGGCAGACCAGGGATGGAAGTAGCCGAGGGACTTCCCCCGGATTGATCGGCGGCGTAATTCTGCCGTCTTCCGTTTCGAATTCTTACACACGTGACGCCATCAGCGCAGCGGCGGAAGCGGCCATCCGGGTCCTCTTTGCGTACGCCGGAGTAATCACGGGTTTTATTACGGCGACGGTCTGGCTCCACAGGGCCGGAACTAGACCGCATCGGGAGTTTCTCTTACTCAACGCAAACCGTGTGAGTGGCAGAACCAGCTGCCTTCATCTCTTTTTCCCTTGGAATTTCGCAACGAACGCTCCATTTGTTAGGGCTGTCAGGCTGCCTGCCTGTGCTGCTTTCCGCGGAGATGTGCGCTTTCCTGCCCGGCTGAATGGGGACCAAAAAAGAGGGCCCAGTTCTTTTGCCGTCTTTTCCTTTTTTTTACCTATGCGACATAAATGGCTGTGATGTCAGAATTCTTAAAATCTGCTGCGTTCCCCCCCCCTCAATCCTTGATGTAGCAGGATGTTGCTGCTCATAGACGCCTAGCTAGACGCAGCTGGCCTGCTGATTCTTGGGCACTATAAGGCTCTGTTTCCTGACTCTATCCCGTCTGTCTCTATTGGCATAACCATCGCACTGGGGTCTGGGACTTTCTTTTAGCCCAAGGGTTACACAGTGCCTGTCCCCTGGCCTAATCTGTCCAAGTTCTCCTGGTTCGACCCAACTTTCATTCTGTCGATATACATACATATACGTCCGGAGTCACCATGTCCAAACACGTCGATTTTTCCCGTTGGCATATAGACATAGATGCCTATATCAACCCTTACATTCCTGCGCCCCCGTGGCGATGGCTCCCTCGACCTATCTCTCATTTCCTAGGATACAGAGGTGACAAACCTCCCAAGAGCCTGGGGAATCTGGTCATTGCATTCTGGTCCCTCATCGGTGTCTTCTGCGGCGTGCTCGTCGTGGCCGAGGTATCAGAACACGTTCCTTCTTTTCAGCATCATAATGCGCCAATCATCGTGGCTAGTTTTGTACGTCTATCTCCTTCTTCTCTTCTCCCTTCTCCTCCCTATTCTCCAGCAAACCAACCCAACATATACTAACCGACCTCCCAGGGCGCCGCCGCAGTCCTCGAATTCGCCGTCATAGAATCCCCCTTCGCACAGCCCCGAAACGCCGTCCTCAGCCAACTCTTCGCCAGCATCATCGGCATCGGCATCGGAAAGCTCTTCGCCCTAAACCCCAACGCCCACTCCAAACCCCAGCTCGGAGGCGCCCTCTCCTGCGCCATCACCACCGCCGTCATGGTCCTCACGAATACCGTGCATCCGCCCGCCGGCGCAACCGCCCTCCTCGCCGTCACCGAGGGCTATCCAATCGGCTGGTGGCTGATCCCGATGATGCTCCTGGGATGTGTCATGATGCAGGCCGTCGCGCTGGTCGTGAATAACATCCACCGACGGTTCCCTGTGTATTGGTGGACGGTTGTGCCGCTTGGGAGGCCGAGACCGAGGGACCCGGAGGTGGGGGTGCCAGATAAGCACGAGCCGGAGGACAAGGAGAAGGAGGGTCATGGGTCGGAGAGTTCGTCGAATAGCGCGGTCACTGATACAGAGACGCAGATGCAGATCGTCATTCAGGAGGGTAAGGTCCTGGTGTCGGATAATATGTGGGTTACGGCGGAGGAGATGGAGGTGTTAGAACGGATTAGTCGACGGATACAGTAATCTACACCTACCTACACAGTACATATATGTACCTACGCTATATGCTGTATATGTTGGTAATGCTTGTTTTGTTATGTACATAGCTATCTCACGCGAATATAGGTATACACCTAGATAATGACTCGAATTCATATACCTGATTATGGAATACCTCAGCGAAGAAATCCGGTTAGATCGATAGGTCTTAAACCCTCTACCCAGTGCAGAGCATAGAATACTCCATGCATACATCCGCGGAGTCCCATCCCCCACCCCTCAACAAAGAATGCACGTACCACATACTAAACAACAATAGTAATATCTAAAGGTTGACCTAGACTACTCCGTACGGAGTAAATGGTAGGAACCGAACCACCTCCCTAGGGATGGCCCCACGCGAGAGAGAGAGAAAAAAAAAGCGGCATTTTCCCACATCCACTCGATAAACTTGTAAACAAGCCTTTTCAGGGTCCCCCTTGCATATCGAATGTATGGTCTGGACCCGTGCATCGCCCGTCTAAGGTACAGTACTCCGCGGAGTACATACATACATGCCTCCTGCATCTGGTAAGAAGGCAAAGGTTGGTATGCCATGTGCTTTTTTCTTTTTCTTTCTTTCTTTCTTTTTTTTTTTTCTTAAAAAAAAGAAGGGCGGGTTTGTGCGATCGGGTCTCGTTGTGAGGGATTTTTGATAAGGGGTGCATTCCTTCCTTGGGCTTTGCTACATATTCATGCATTGTTCGATGCGCTTTGAGTTGTGTTGTATATTGCACATGTGGCATGTTAATTTAAGTCAGTGAGCAATATATGAAAATTTAGGTAGATTTTCAATGACTCGATATTTTCAAGTGGTGTTGAGTCGGCACATCCTCCTCCCTTCCGGATAAAGTGCCGACAATGGTATCCAGTACCTATTAAGTATCATTCTCCATTCCCTGAGTCAAGAATGGAATGTAATCTAACGATCTTCGACAATGACAGCAGACAGAGAGCCCCTACCGGCAAATACTCGGTTCTATCTCGGTATGTAGATAAATGCCTCACGAGACAAGAATGACAAATGCAGCTGATATCACTCACAGCAGGCAGCATGCGTCCAGATCGAGATGAAAAAAGTACATACAGCCCGTCATGTCACACTTTCTTGGCTAGAAAGCTTGGGCGCTCATGACTCGGAGCTTTGGGTTACTGGACCAGTTACATTGCGCTTATTTACTGGATTCAGGGGATATCTTGTTGCATGTGTTGGGTTGGTTGTGTTGTGCGGTGTTCCTTGCATGATGCAGCTTGGGCTGAGTCAATGAGGTATAATAACTAGGTAACTGAGCTCGGGAAAGGGGGTTTCGCCACTAGCTAGGTAGTCTGAGGTAGATTATCTGCGGTATTCATGCTCTGTGTGAGTTGTTGGGGATAGGCTAGTTTAAATTATATTATAGTAAAGAGTACATGTCGGGGAAGTGTTGATCATAAGAGGCTCAAGAACACGCAAAATTTCTCAAAATTAAACATTTACCTACCTATAGAGTAGAGAGATCCAGATGAGCCCTGGATCTTTACTTAGAATAATTAGGCTCCAGACCTGACAAGGGGCCTTTATTGATGCTGATATCTTATCTATGGAAGCAACTACAGAGAGAGCTTTTGTAAGTATCTGCAGTAACGGGGATTGTATTATCGAATATTCCACATGAATTCTAGCATATGATCATAATCTAGACATCATGTGTAGTTTCCTATAGAGATGAAGATGTAGGACTTCTCACATGTAGAAGTATTCGGAAGATATCTATGGAAATTGATAAGAGGTACGACGGCCTCCTCGAACTCATGGCGTAGTTCCGGTATTCTGCTAGGAGACTTTACTGGTTAATTATACTCACAGTTTTAAGAACATCACAAAGGGTTGTTGGGCCTCGATATATAGTATTAAAGATGGTGTTTGTGTCTGACTGTGCTTACGCTATCCCCGTGCACTCAAGGATTGTATACATATCAGCCACGCTGAGTCTCTCACAATTGAGATCTATTCATTTATTAGCAGCCTGTTATATGCACCTGCTAAGATCCGATGTCCTTGAGCCAATTTGAACCACATTAATATACTGTAAATCAGTGGCTACTGACAACTTAGACAGCTCTGCTTCCTGCGATAGAAGTTGCGTAGTCAATCACCGATAGAGTCGCCTGGTATAGTTTAGTCTGACCTGACATTTACGTAACTAACCATGGCTTCTTGATTGGTTTTCTCTCGAGGAAGGGGTCAGGCTTACTATCCGCCTGGTATAACCCCTGAGATGTGAGCGAAGGCTGTAATAGATCTCCCATTGTTGTTCCCTCGAAGTGCTGCCTTGGGCGTAAGGCTATAAATCACGTGTAATTGATGCCCAATCAGGCTAGGCTGCGCCACGACCCGTGCGGTGACGTAGTCGAGCCAATCCGAACGAGTCTAGGCGGCCCACCGAAAGGAATTTTTGAGGCCCATCAGTTTTTTTTTTTGCTCAGCGTCATCCACAATCTCTTTCATCTCTCCTTCCCCTTCTCTCGGTCTTTTCCTTCATCTTCATCATCGGCGAGGCGGTATCGTTATCGACTAACGCTCTATTCCACCACTGTTTTAACCCCCACGCGGGTCTTGCCGTATATAGTTGTCGGAAATTTTCTACTCATCCAACGAGTGGATCAGTATTTCAAAGGTCCTCGTTCTCTATCGATAAGGGCTTTCCAAGGAACTTTTCGCCCTCCCCACTAAGAAGCCTCTCGGTCGCCCCCTCCCACCCCGCTATTATCGATCCACCTTTGTCGAGAGTTCTCTTTTTGATTTTTCCCTTTTTCGCTCTCGCCTTCGTCAGGCTTTTTTTTCTTGCCTTCTATCGCACCCGTTTTTCTTCCTCACCTTTCCTTCCCGCTCTCCTACCCCTCCGATCCTCCACCCCCCCATCTCCCCTCCCATTAATCCTCCATAACTACCGGCAAAATGGTGTCTGCTTCGAAAGCCGCTCGTCTCGCAAAGCGCGGTGACACCAAGAAGAAGGTCGGCAAGAAGGACGGCGATGAGACCCCCGTCGAGGACCAGCCCGCGACCACCGATGAGAAGATGAAGGAGGTCGAGAAGCTCACAGCCCAGATGGACAAGCACGGTCTGTCTGACCGTGTCACCACCGGTGTGCTTTCCTCGCTCCCTGCTTCTCGTGACGCCAAGGTCACCTCTGCCTCCCTGGTGTTCCACGGAAAGGTCCTTATCACCGACTCGACTCTGGAACTGAACTTCGGTCGTCGCTACGGTCTGCTGGGTGAGAACGGTTGCGGAAAGTCCACCCTTCTCAAGGCCATCGCTCACCGTGAATTCCCCATCCCCGAGCACATCGATATCTACCTTCTGAACGAGGGTGCCCCTCCCACCGACGATGGTGCCCTCGAATGGGTCGTTAAGGAGGCTGAGAGGCAACTCGAGCGTATGGAGCAGCAGGCCGAGGAGATCCTGGAAGAGCAGGGTCCTGACAGCCCCGTTCTCATGGACCTGTACGACGTAAGTTCTCCCCAGCCTGATTCCGGGTACTTGGATCATCGACTGACTAGGTCTCCAGCGTATTGACAAAATGGACCCCTCCACCTTCCACACCCGCGCTTCCCTGATCTTGACGGGTCTTGGTTTCAACAAGCAGACCATCAACAAGAAGACGAAGGATATGTCCGGTGGTTGGCGTATGCGTGTCGCCCTCGGAAAGGCCCTGTTTGTCAAGCCGTCTCTGCTCTTGCTGGACGACCCCACTGCTCACTTGGATCTCGAGGCCTGTGTGTGGTTGGAAGAATATATGAAGAAATGGGATCGTACCCTGGTCCTTGTTTCTCACTCCATGGATTTCCTGAACGGTGTCTGCACGAACATGATTGACATGCGCATGAAGCAGCTCCTGTACTACGGTGGTAACTACGACTCGTACCACAAGACTCGTAGCGAACAGGAGGTCAACCAGATGAAGGCCTACACCAAGCAGCAAGAAGAAATCGCCCACATCAAGAAGTTCATTGCCTCCGCCGGTACCTACGCCAACTTGGTCCGTCAGGCCAAGTCCCGTCAGAAGATTCTCGACAAGATGGAGGCCGATGGTTTCATCCAGCCTGTCATCCCCGACCGTGTCTTCACTTTCCGTTTCGCGGACGTTGAGAAGCTGCCTCCCCCCGTCCTGTCCTTCGACGACGTTTCCTTCTCCTACTCCGGCAGCTGGGACGACACTCTCTACGAGCACCTGGACTTCGGTGTCGACATGGACTCCCGTACCGCCCTGGTCGGACCTAACGGTGTCGGCAAGTCCACCCTTCTGCGTATCATGACCGGCAAGCTGAGCCCCATCGGTGGCCGTGTCAGCCGTCACACCCACTTGAAGCTGGGCATGTACAGCCAGCACTCTGCCGAGCAGCTGGATCTGACCAAGTGCGCCCTCGAGTTCGTCCGTGACCGTTTCCCCGAGAAGTCTCAGGACTACCAGTACTGGCGTCAGCAGCTCGGTCGCTACGGTCTCACTGGTGAGGGCCAGACCGCCCTGATGGGTACTCTCTCCGAGGGTCAGAAGAGTCGTATCGTGTTCGCCCTGTTGGCCATCGAGTCGCCCAACATGATCCTGCTGGACGAGCCTACCAACGGTCTCGATATCCCCACCATCGACAGTCTGGCTGACGCCATCAACGCTTTCAGCGGTGGTGTTGTTGTCGTGTCCCACGATTTCCGTCTGCTCGACAAGATCGCCAAGGACATCATGGTCTGCGAGAACAAGACCGTCACCCGGTGGGATGGTACCATCGGACAGTACAAGAACCATCTCCGCAAGAAGATGATTTCTGCCGGTGCTGTCTAAGCTTTTCCAGCCGGAAAAGAAGACTGAAGAAAGAAAGAAAAAAACAAACAAACTTACATATTGTTATGATTGGAATGTTAGAGATGACAATGAACATATATGAAAAAAAAAAAGCCGAAGGAAAAACAATACTGTAGGGAGGAAGAAAACCAAAAGTTTCTTTTAACGGCATACAGGGATTGTCGAAGATGGGAGAAAGAATTTGACTGATGTTGACGTTGATGTTGATGAAACAAATGTTTGGAACAGGCGGGCTTTCCTTGTGACCAATTTTCGTTCTATTTTCTTTTTTTTCTCTTTTTTTCATATGGGAAGATATCTTGCTCGTATTTCCTTGATTCTCTTTTTTGGGTGTCCCTTTTTTTTTTGAATTCTGTTTTAGATGGACTCTACTTGTTTCATACCTACTTCATTTTCTTAGACCCGAGCGTTTTCAAGGGTTGAATTTGATTTCTCTTTTATTATCTCTTTTGTTTTGGATTACTTGGTTCCTTTGGGATTATAGACTGCTGGCTTTTGTTGTAGAGATTTTTCTTTGGGTATATATACTCGGAATCGTCCATGGGGTCTGTCGCTCTTGACGTCATCTCATACTTATCGGCCTTGTCTTTTCTCTCCTACAGGTAGTTAGGCTATCTATGTACCGTCTGCCTAGTAGGTACTGTAAGATAAGCTGTTGAGGGAGGTAAATAGCTATCAGTAAATCACAATGACTGACTGACTGTATGGAAGGATAGATGATTGTTTGTTCTAGATAGTCCTTTGGCTGACTAGCTAGGTACTAAGCTACTTTAAGAAGGGAGATATGTATGTATGGATAAAAGAATGATTTGATTGCATTACTGCTTGTGAGATCGTTTGGGTGCATGATTGAATGCGCAAGTTAACGAGGACAGGGTAGTAGAAGAGTATCTAGAACATGTAGATTTGATTGATCCCTTCTTGGGTGTGTATGCATAACAACTTCACTTTGATGCTCTAGCTAAAACGCAAAGAACGAAGAATTATAGTATGATATGATACTCCGTAGAGTAAGTAGTATTTTGATAAGATCCAAACAAGATTGTATGCAGTTTGGATAGTATTATTGCTGCATACTATGACCCCCCTCCTTGGTCCGCTGCGCAACAAGCTCCCCGCCGAACAAATCATTCCCTAGTTTCTCCTTCTGCTCGCGTTCCAACTTCCGCTTCTTCGCTAGCCGCTCCACCTCGCTCTCTGACGTGCCAGGGTCCGCTCCACTTCCACCGCCCGCTGCGCCAGCTGCCGCCGCAGCTGGGATGCGTTTCTGACCGGCGAGGTTGGCTTTCTCCGGGGCCGGGTTCTGGCAGTGATATAGCTTCTTGCCGATGCGGCGGAGGTTCTTTTTCTGGTCTGGGTCGGACGCGAGAGGCGTGTAGGATTTCAGGAGGGCGGAGCAGTCGGTGAGCGTGCGGATGAGTTTGGTGCGGAGGTCGTAGAGTGGGTTCCCCTGTTGAGAGGGGCCGAGGGGACCGCCGAGTTTCGTGTCGAGGTAAAATTCGGTGAGGGGGCGGTCGGCGAGGAGGAAGGCCGAGAGCCAGATCTGCGAGGGCGTGTAGAGGAAGTATGCGTCTGTCATTTGGGCGGCGGATTTGAGGAGTTCGCGGGTCGTGGTGTGTGCGCGGGCGAGGCGATCGTTGATCGAGGAGGACTGGTGGGTGGATTGGGAGGGGGGTAGGGAGAGGATTTGACGGCGTAGCTCGTCGGCTGTTTGCTGGGGGAAGTGAGGCGCTGGTTGTCCGAGGCCTTGCGCCATCGCTTGGAGTTCCATGATGCCGCCTTCGAGGCCGCGGAAGGGGTGTCGCACGTCGAAGGTGAAGCGCAGGCTTTGCATGACGAGGAACTCGGGCGCGATGATGTCGTCCGCGGTGGTGTCGCCGGGAACGACCTCGGCGAATTGACGCAGCGAGAGGTAGTAGTTGTCCGTTTTTGTCGCGAGGAAGAGAGCGCACGGCATGATGGTTTTCGGGTGGTAGGTCATGGGGGAGTTGGTGAGGTAGAAGCGGCGAAGGTATTGGATTGCGGTGGCCTGTTGGTATATACAGGTTAGGGAAGTTGTGGATGAAAGAGGAACAAAAGCTGTGATCATTGACGTACCCGAACTATCGTCGGCAGCGGTGGTTTATAGCTCTCTCCTAACTCAACAAGCTGTTCGCAGAAATATCGCACAAGCACTTGCTCCTCCTCTGGTGTCAAACACTCGACGTCCTTCTCCTCCCCGGCTTTGCTGTCCGCATCGCTGCCGGTGGGGTTTGGCGTGCCTGCTGCCGACGAGGCGGCCGATTGACGATTATCTCGTGCCTTGCGCAAAGCAGTTCGTACGCGGTCACTGGCAAGAGAATTGGTTTTGGCTCGTAGGGATTGCAGGGACGTTTCGGTGAACGACCAGAATCGAAACTGGGATGAGGAACGGTAAAAATCGTCCTCGATCATGGTGGCGCGCTCACCGTGGTGGCAGTGGGTATGTAATCAAAGGCGGGACTGATAGCGAAAAAAAGTCGATATTGGGAAGAAGGCAGGTTTTGGTGAGACGTTGGCTGGTTTTTATTGAAGCATACAGGAAGTTGCAAAGACAAAGGTGAGTCCGGCGGAGAGAATTAAAAAGCGGCGGAGGTCGTCGGGGATCCACGTGCTTATCGATAGGCGCCGACACATCTACAAATTACAAAATGCTTTTCATGATTCGGCATCATAATTCATTGCTATGCTTAAACCGCTCATAAACTGTTGCTACAAACATTACCAATGGGAAACATAGAAGTGAATGATAAAAAAAGAACACAAAAGTAGAGGGGAGAACAAAGATAACGTGAATGCAAACAGGGTTCGGGATTGACTCCAAATAATAAATATAGTTGAATGAGTCCAGAGAAGAGCAAACAGCCAAGTCATGTCATACTAGGCTCTCAGATGCAACCAGCAGGTCCCTCACGGCTCACCCAACAGCCGCGCAGTGACGTCTCCCATGTAAGCTTCCTCCAATTCGTAATCCTCGCCGTCATTTCGGTCGATGCCGAAATACTTGAAGGCCGAAACGACGCGGTCCACGTCGAAGCCCATACTGCAGAACCGATCGACCATGTCCTTGTTATACCCATCGTACCTGCCACAGATGTTAACGCAAACTTCTCACCAAACGCAAAGGGGACAACGTACTTGGCCAAATCTTCCTTTTCTCGATCTTCCTTGATCTTGAGCTCTTGCAGCCGGAGCGACTCGGCGGTGGCTCCGCCGCTCCCTTCTCCTCCTGTTCTGTTGGGTTTGTTGGGGGCTCCCGCGTGGAGCCAGGCCCATTCCCTGGCCGTGAGCTCAAATTCCTTGGGTTGATAGAGGAGCATATTGGCAACCTGCGCATCCTGAGGATCTTTCGGCTCCGGCGTGCTCAGCAACGACTGTAGCGACAGGAGAGCAGACTTGATTGTGAGAACCGGCGACCACGCGGCTCCGAGAGTATCTAGGCAAATGGCACCCTGCAAATATCATGAGCCCACTATCTCGACATGATCGCATGTCCAAGCAAGAGGACGGGGAGGACTGACTGTTTGGCTGCTGACGTTCGGATGCCACACCTTGGTCACGAACTTCATCTGGGGCGGACGAAACGGATAGTCGGTAGGGACTTGGATGTCGATCACAAAGGTACCACCCTCGTACGGGGTGCCGGGAGGCCCGGGAAATGAGCCTCGGAGATGCGTGAGGTCCTCGTTGTCGCCCACCGGTTCTACCGTGATATGCGAGAGCGTGTCGGCATGGATGTCGGAGATTTCCTTTGCGATGCGCCGCCCGCGATTGGAAGCCATGAGGGGTAGGGTATACGGCGGGGTCAGTTAAGGATAGGAAGAATACGGTATACGAGTAATGAAGGTCAGACAAAGACTCGAAAGAAGAGGACGACCCGGAGCTATTATTCAGCTACAGGGTCATGCAGTCAGCTTTGATATTCTAAAGACGGCGACTTGGCTATGGAGCAGATGAGAAGGGAGTCGAAGCAGATAGGAATAGAAACAAAGTGGGACAGTTTGGAGGGGAAGTCAGAGAAGAGAGAACAGAAAAAGTAAATATGAGCTGGCAGCCGAGAAGGTGATGCGGGAAGAGCCTCACCTGAGGGGAAGGTGAAGGAAAGAGGAAAGAGGAATGAAGAATGGAGAATGGAGAATGCGGCGGGGAATCAGAAATGAATAGATCGGAAGATGCAGAAAGAGCGGGCGGTTAGGTACCTTCTTACAGAAGGCAGAAGGTCATCGAAGCATGTTCGAGAACACCGGCGCCTAAGGAGAAGAGAGGCATCTTTTAGTTCATCATTTTGACTAAGTATACTCCATACTAACTGCTAGTAAATAGTAAATAGTGAATAGTAAATAATAGTTAATTAAGTGAACTAAGCATACCTGAAGAGTATGCCTGGTCAGGCACCCAGGCAGACAGATCACGTGCAGCAGACCATGACAAAGCGCCAAGACCGGACGGCCTGAGGTGAACAGCTCCCAGCTCATCGTCGCCGCCAGCTTCCATCCCATCCTTGACCCGGATTCCGTCCATCTGTTTGCATCCTTCTTTTCATTAATCTATTCGATCTGTACTCGACTCTGTCACTCTAAGTTCCCTGTCGATTACTATCTCTTTTTCTTTCCCTCCACATCCAGGACCATGGTGAGTGCCCAACAACGTCGTCATAACCCTGCTCGGCTTGCGTCCCTTCAGGCTGACATATCTTTTCCACCAGGGTAACCAGCAGTCCAACATCAGTGGAGGCCCCGGGGGTGATGGAAGAGATGACAAGGACAAGAAGGTAATGCTCGATAACCATGATGGCCATCGATATGGTTCCCGTTCGCTGACCAACTTCCTCGTGCAGAAGGACAAGCCCAAGTACGAGCCGCCTCCACCACCAACCACTCGCATCGGTCGCAAGAAGCGCAGAGCTGCCGGCCCCAGCACTGCGGCCAAGCTCCCCGACATCTACCCCACGTCACGATGCAAGCTACGATATCTCCGAATGCAACGAGTCCATGACCACCTATTGCTTGAAGAGGAATACGTGGAGAACATGGAGCGCCTGCGTAAGACCAAGGCGCAGGCGACGCAGGATGCCAACCGAGGCGACTTCGATATCATGGACCGGAACGCCGATGAGAGAGGCCGAGTTGATGACATGCGAGGCAGCCCCATGGGGGTGGGCAACCTGGAAGAGCTGATTGACGATGACCACGCCATTGTCTCGAGTGCCACGGGCCCCGAGTACTACGTGTCCATCATGTCTTTCGTCGACAAGGATCTGCTCGAGCCCGGCGCCAGCATTCTCTTGCATCACAAATCGGTGTCGGTCGTTGGTGTGTTGACGGAAGAATCAGACCCTCTCGTGTCGGTGATGAAGCTCGACAAAGCACCCACGGAGTCGTACGCGGATATCGGTGGTCTGGAGCAACAGATTCAAGAAGTCCGAGAATCCGTCGAACTTCCGCTGCTTCATCCCGAGCTGTACGAGGAGATGGGTATCAAGCCGCCCAAGGGTGTCATCCTCTATGGTGCGCCGGGTACCGGAAAGACGTTGCTTGCGAAGGCCGTTGCAAACCAGACCAGTGCCACTTTTCTCCGTATTGTCGGCAGTGAGCTGATCCAGAAATACCTCGGTGATGGTCCGCGTTTGGTGCGACAGATTTTCCAGGTTGCTGCGGAGCACGCCCCGTCTATCGTGTTCATTGACGAAATCGATGCCATCGGTACGAAGCGTTACGAATCGCAGTCGGGCGGCGAACGAGAAATTCAGCGAACTATGCTTGAGTTGCTGAACCAGCTGGACGGTTTCGATGACCGTGGTGATGTCAAGGTCATCATGGCCACCAACAAGATCGAGACTCTGGATCCCGCCTTGATCCGTCCTGGTCGTATTGACCGAAAGATTCTCTTCGAGAACCCAGACCGTAAGCTCCTCTGGTCCTGTTCGTTTCATACTACTGTGCTAACTAGACCCAGAAAACACGAAGAAGAAGATCTTTACGCTGCATACATCGAAGATGTCGCTCGGCGACGATGTCGACCTCGACGAGTTCATCAACCAGAAGGACGACCTTTCCGGTGCCGATATCCGTGCCATCTGTACCGAAGCCGGTCTGATGGCGTTGCGAGAACGCCGTATGAGAGTCCAGATGGACGATTTCCGTGCCGCCAGAGAACGAATCATGAAGACGAAGCAGGATGGCGGTCCTGTCGAGGGACTGTACTTGTAGGCGCGGGAGGCGAGTGTACCTACGTTTAGTTTAGATGGAGCTACTCCGTTTAGGGTAGAAATTTATCACGGATGTATTTTAATGCAGATGGACCATAAGCTGCCCTCTTACCTATCCATCCTCCGTAGGTATGGATGTCTTGGCAGGACGATGGTCCGCACGTCAAACAGTGCAAACATCCCCAACCGTGCAAACATCGTCACTACCGCGCAAGTCGAGGTTTAGAATAATCTACTTTCTGCAACTAACACAGAGAACACGATGGACGGATTCGACGAAGAAGCGTTCAAGAAATTCTTCCCAACCAGCTTTGGGAAGCAAGAAAAAACCACCAACGTTAACGCTCAGATAGATGTCTCGAAGCGGACAAACGTCTCTGTCAAGCCGGTTGAAGATGAGAAACCGGGTCTAGTTGGAGACGCTGAGACTGACACCAAATCTGACGCAGAACCGAAGAAAGACATCGACAAAGATGATAGCGACGATGATGATTCAGATGACTCCGACGACGATTCCGATGACGAGGACGAATTCCCCGTCTCCCACGAGCTGCTTCTTAAAACCCATGACCGAGCCGTGACAACGTTGACGGCCGATCCTGCCGGGTCGCGACTGATAACAGGGTCGACCGACTGCTCGGTGAAACTCCATGACTTTGCCTCCATGACGCCGTCGACGGTGCGCGCCTTTAAATCTGTCGATCCGTCCGAGAAGAAAAACTCCGCCGCCCAGGAAGCGCACGCCGTGCATTATGCCGCCTTCAATCCTCTGTCGCCGAGCTATGTTCTGGTCGTTACCGCTACGCCGCAGCCTCGGATCTTGAGTCGGGATGGAGAAACGGTTACCGAGTTCGCCAAGGGAGATATGTACCTGAGAGATCTACATCATACCAAGGGTCATGTTTCGGAGGTGTCCAGCGGAGCGTGGTCGCCTACGGACGAAAACCTGTGCGTCACTGCGGGATCGGACAGCACGGTTCGCATATGGGATGCCAACGTTGGTCGGTCTCAGAAGGAGGTCATCGTTCATAAATCGAGGGTCGCCGGGTCCGCTGGTCGGAGCAAGATGACCGCCGTCGCATGGGGCTCGCCGAAGCAAGGAGGTCCTAACGTGCTTGTTGCCGCTGCCCTGGATGGTAGCTTGGTGATGTGGGGTGGAGATGGACCGTTTACGCGGCCCAGCGGTGAGATTCGGGATGCGCATACTCGGGATACGTGGACGAGTGGCATCGACATTAGCGCCTCCGGGCGACTTGTGATCACCAAGGGCGGCGACGACACCATCAAACTCTGGGATACAAGGAAGTTCAAGCAGCCCATCACGACTGTCGCGCATCCTTCAAGCTCTTTCCGATACCCCACGTCTAACATCGTATTCTCGCCTACATCTGCGAACGTCCTCACAGGGTCGGAGACCGGCCACCTGCATATCTTGAACCCGGCTACGTTGAAACCGGAGCTGGTCACCCCGGTCACCCCTGGATCGCCTCTGATCACCGTTCAGTGGCATGAGAAGCTCAACCAGATCATGACCGGCTCTGCCAACGCGGAAACCCATGTACTCTACAACCCCAACACCTCCACCAAGGGTGCTGCCATGGTCATGTCCAAGGCACCCAAGCGCCGTCATATCGACGACGACCCGAACCTCACCATGGATCTCACCCAAGGGCTGTCGGGAGATTCCATCGTCACCGGGTCGAATGGCATACCCCATTATAGCTCGTCTACTCGGGCCTCGCGACACCCGAACGTTGGCATGACGCACTCTGGTCGGCCCAAGGATCCTCGACGACCTCATCTGCCGGCCCAAACGCCATTTGCAAAGTCGCAGCCGGATGAGAGACATATCCGGGAAAACATTCCACTGAGTTCCATGCGTGACGAAGATCCGCGAGAAGCTCTGTTGAAATATGCAGACAAGGCCGAGAAGGACCCGGTCTTTACTAAGGCGTGGAAGGAAACACAGCCCAAGACGATCTATCGGGAACTCAGCGACGACGAGGAGGAGCCGGAGAAGAAGAGGACGAGACGGTAGACTGGAATAAACATCATGTATTATGAAATAAATTCTTTTCGATCCCTAGACATTATTCTCTAGCGTATAGTAGATCCTCACGACACGTGTCCTGCGACCGCTACGAGGCTCCTTACCGACGGCAAATGCAGTCAGCAGGTAGATTAGTTCCTCTATAAACTCGCCATGAACTCCTCATCCTTCCAATGCTCGATGACGTTGGGCAGGCGGGGTGGAGCCGATCAACAGGCGTGGGTTTAGGGCGCCCCGAAGGCCAATGAGGCTTCTTCTTCGCTGCTCCTTCTTCTCCATCGCTTCTCCTCCGACTTGGATCTTCCTCCGGTTCTTCCTGGTCTCCTCCCCCCCATCCATCATGTTGCGCTTGGACTCTTTCTCTCCATCTTCCCTGCACGTGCAACCTTTTGTGTTTTAGCCTGTTGCGCCGCTCCTCGTTTTTGACTTTTTCTACTACCTTCCCTCTGCGCCCGGACTCCATCGCCGGTGACTTCCGGGCTTCCTTTTATCAGAATCCGAGATTCACGCGAAGTCCGAATTATACGGTTCCATCTCGTTGATGTTAGATTAGGGGATTTCAGGGATACGCTATCGGTTGGAGATCGCCAAGTTTCTATTGTCGAAATCACACCGACTCAGGGTTGGCAACAGCATGAACGATTGTTCCGGATCGACGTTGCGAGCATCATCGACACAACCGTCTACGGTCATCGGTAAAGAAGGCCATCTAATTGTATAATCCTGCCTGAATAAAGTGACACAATTCCCACATTGTTCGTACTCGGCGCCGCGGAATTATCGGAACGAACCCCTTTCCACCCCCGCCTCCTAGCTCCCTTACTCTCCCACGCGTGTCACCTCTCCGTCCTCCGCATGGACTATCTCCGGGAGGAGCCCCTAGCAGCCGGCCTGCTCACTGCGCTCGTGTCCTCCGTTGCGTCTACGCCGACCTCCTCGCCTTTCGCTACGTCCGTTTCATCCGCGCCGAATCCTTCTTCTACCTCCGACCCTGGAAAGGGCGATGGCGGCGGAGGGGGTCTACATGAGTGGTCGTCGCTGATCGGTATCATCACCGCGCTAGCCGGGAATGTGTTGATCTCTCTGGCTCTGAATATTCAAAGATACGCGCATATCAGGATAGCGAGGGAATTGGAACATGATAAACAACAACAGGAACTGGATTGGAAGCGCGCAAACCCCAGTCGAGCGAACTCAGGGTCCTACGGCGCGGTTTCGGATCATGATCGGCTGAATGGTCACCGAGGACGGGACCAGTCCAAGCGATTTGGTCGATATCGGGACGAATCGCCGGATGCTCCGTACCATGACCAGCCTCACATCGACGTCGGACCGGACGACGAGATGGCGGACGACGCTTCAGACACCCATGATCAGATGCGAGAGTCGTTTTCGTCGGACAGGACGGTGCGACCGGGAGAGAAAGACCTGCGTCGTAAATCCTACCTGCGTTCGCCGTATTGGTGGGTTGGCATCGTGCTGATGTGCTTGGGCGAGGTGGGAAACTTCATGGCCTACGGATTTGCTCCGGCATCGATTGTGTCTCCCCTCGGCGTGGTCGCCTTGATCTCGAACTGCGTCATTGCCCCGTTCATGCTAAAGGAGAAATTCCGAACGCGGGACTATTGGGGCGTCCTGGTCTCGATCGCTGGTGCTGTGGTGGTCGTCCTCAGCGCGAAATCGTCCGAGGAGAAAATCGGCCCACACGATATCTGGGTGATGATCACGCGGTGGGAGTTTGAGCTTTACTTGGGTCTTACTGCAGGATTGATTGTCGGCCTCATGTGGGCGAGCAGCAAGTACGGGTCACGTAACATCCTGATCGATGTCGGTCTGGTGGCTCTATTCGGTATGCGTCTTCCTCCACTTTGTTCGAGCAAGTACTGACGTTACTAGGTGGATATACGGCTCTATCAACCAAAGGTGTATCCTCGCTCTTATCCTTCACTCTGTGGCATGTGATTACCTTCCCGATCACCTATCTGCTGGTCCTGGTGCTCGTTTTCAGTGCTCTCATGCAAATCCGGTATATCAACCGAGCCCTGCAACGATTTGACTCCACTCAGGTCATTCCCACGCAGTTTGTCCTGTTCACGCTCTCGGTTATCATTGGTAGTGCCGTTCTCTACCGAGATTTCGAATCGTACACCGTCGGGCGAGCTGCAAAATTTGTGGGTGGCTGTCTCTTAACTTTCCTTGGTGTATACTTTATCACAAGTGGCCGGGTCAACTCCGACGACGAGTCGTCCTATTCCGCGGAAGACGAAGAAGAAGCGATTGGTCTGTTCGAGGGAGAGCGGTACCGGGACCATGTCGACATGTCGCCTCCTGCACGCCATACCAGATTACACGAGGCCGGCCAAAGAGTTCCCGAAGAACATGACGAACTGCGATCTCCGGCCGGGTCGCTCATCAGTCGTGGAATTGAAGACCTTGACGAAGGACAGTCGGTTGGATCACTGACAGCCGAGTCACCCCAAGCATCTCCCACGCCCTCGCCGTTCCATTCCGAGTCTCTCTTAACAAACCCATGGGCCGATGTTCAAAGACCAGGCATCGATACACACAAGTCTGAGCCGCAGATCCCTCGTCCCTCCACTCCGGAACAGGAACAATCGGATTCGACAGTACTTCTCCGCTTCCCTCCGGCCCCTGGTGCCGAAGAACAGGAACCTCCCAAGACAGCCGCTCCTGCGGAGCCTGAACAGCCCAAATCTCAGAACACCCTCGTCCCTCAGACCCCACCCGCACGCCGACTACGCAACTCAATCTCATCTCGCTTCTCCCCGGGTCCTCTTCTCCCCACCATCTCAGCCGGCTTCAGTGCCGTAGTCGCCGAATCCCTTCGTCGCGGCGAGACCAGTCCTGTGAAGGAACGGAAACATCGACGCAGAGAACGAGGGAAGCATCTCAGCACAACGGTGTTAGACGGATACCTCCGCAACCGCGATTTGGACCCTCGGGCTCCTGTCGATGCTGAGGCTAGCAATCAGCCTAGCACAGCGGACGGTGCTTTCGATCCTCGATTTGCGCTGGCTACGGCCCGTCTTCACTCCACCGGTGATCTGGCCACTGCTCCTGTGACTCCTGGGCTTGATGGCGGCGAGATCCATCACCCGTCCCAGGGCGACGAGGCTGCCTCGCTCTCGAGACTGCGGAGCCTGAGTGACTCGTGGAGCGGAGGCCTGTCCTGGCTTGGCAACACGCTTCGCAGACATGATGGGTACTCTCAGCCAGACAGCCAGTCTCAAGGGCAGGGACAAGGAGCGCATGCCAATGAGCAGTCTTCAAACGGCGAACAAGCACAAAAACAAAACCAACAGCACAATCAACAGAGCACAGACCCTTGAGACCCTGTATAGGAAATACAGGTCGATTGACCAGGATATTCAGCGAAAGGGAGGCTTCCTTTACTTTATGATCATTGTGGCCTGTTCCTAGGCACCTCCTTATCTTTCTTCTTTTTGAGAACACCAATTGCACCTCCAAAAAGGTGGCTGGCTCACTCCGGGCAGTTTCTTTGCTTTCATCGGTATATACTATCATTCGTTGATTCATTTATCTATTTATTCTTTACATACTTATACCTATCCTTGTAATCAATCTGCATATTGTTCAGCCGGTCATCGTCTTTTCTTGTCCTGTCGAGTATTTTTCATCAGTGTACGCCAGTGTCAATGTGATTGTAATCGCCACTTACCTTTCTTCCAGTCTTGACTTGTCTATTCCCAATTACCCTTGATTATCATGAAGCAGCTATATGTATGTCGGTAGAGGTGTACATACTCTACCCACAAGAACCAGCCCTACTAGCTGTATATATGACATGCAATCCTGAGTTGTGCATCATACTGTAGCCTGTTCTAACACAGTAGGTATACACTTCTTATTAGAAACTAAGTCAACCCGCTCAATCATCTTATATGTACTGGAATCCACCCTCGAGCTCCAAAGGTATGCATATACCTGTTTTTCTACAACAGCGTAGAAATCATTTTGAGGCCCCCCACATTTGCTTGCATATCCATTAACAAACAATAGTAAACCTTGTCAGCCACCCAAGCCTTCACGTGGGAGACTACCGTAAACTAATAGTTACTATACAAGACCGGAAGAGGCAGACCCGGCGTCACTTCGGGGCTCGGGCCGGGAGGATCTTCCCGCCAACGTTAGTGTACATCGCTCCCTCCAGCTTACTCCATGTGCCAAGGGGGTGCATATAGACCCTATCAGAGAGCCACAGTGCCTCCGAAGACCCACTGAACTGACCTTGACCAAGACTGTATATCGAATGGCTGTTGAAACCGAGGTTGGGGTTGACAGGGTTTACTTGTGTATCCTGGACTAGACACACCACGTTCCTTCCAATAGGAGAGTCAGTCTGAGCGTGACCATGTCGACAAGGATGAGGATGATGATGATGATTAAATGGTATGATGTGGATAATCCCTCGAAACTGAGTTCCTACGCTTACTTACCCTACACCTACCTCTCACCGTCCTTAAACTATTTCCCCTCCATACTTCCCCATCTTCTTATCCCCATTCTCTCTCCTTGAACTAAACACCATCAAACCAGCCAATTTCCTCCAGACCGTCACCGAACCGCAAAAATGCCAATAACCCTCACCCTCCTCTCCACGAGCCGAATAGCAGGCGGAGTCTTATTCCTTCTCGCTCCTAAGATCGCCGCTGCGAATTTCTCTCTTCCGTACGGTCCGTCGTCGAGTGTTCTGATGCATCTGGTCGGAGCTAGGGATCTGATCATTGGGGGGTTGCTGTATACTGCTCATCGGGATCAGGAGAAAGACAAGGTACGATATACAGCTTACTGTTTTTGCTATGAGTTAACTCGCTAACTTGGACCAGACCCACAGTTCTCGCGAACTTAAACGCGCCTTACTAGCCGGACTCGCCATGGATGCAGCAGAAGTGATCACGAACTTGGTTTGCTATCGGAACGGGGAGATTCCGGTGGAACCACTTACCATGCTGGGTGGAGGGGCGGTGGTGTCTTTTGGGTTGGGATTGTATAATTATCTGAAGTTGGCTTGATGGGATTGTCTAGGGTTCTGCTGCTGTAAGTATAGTGTGGAAGGGGTGTGCTTAGGGCGTGTTTAGGGTAGGTGCTTAGTGCATGGGAAGTAGTGAAGTGTGGGCATTGTCTAACATGGAAAGAACATGGATGTATATGAGCTATGTATGTGCATGTATAGTTCTTCATTGTCTGTAGGGCTAGATAGCTATCAAACAACCCCCGACTCCACTCTATACTCCTCCCTCTCCTCTGGTCTCAACTCGATATCTGTATTAGTCTTAGGAGTAGCAACAGAAGAAGAAGTGGAGGAAGTGGTACTAAGCAACGCCGTCTGCAAAACATCAAACACTACATATCCCTGATCCCGTACCCCATTCTCACCCTCACTCCTCTCTCTGACAAAGCATTTATCTGCCCTCTCAAACCGCTCCCTCACCCTCTCATGCAACCCTACGAAGACCAGTTCCGCGTCTTCCCCTGCCCATCCTTTCACCGTGGCGCGGGTGTCTGCGAGAGCTTGCATCCCGCTCGTGTCGATGTGAGTGACGCGGGTCATGTCGAGGATGACGGTGCGGAGGGGCGGAAGACAGGTTTCGCGATCTTCTGGTCCAGAGACGGAGTGGGAGGTTGAGGTGCCAGCGGCTTTGCGGAGGTGGGCGATGTGTCGGGTTTGAGTGTCGTTCCAGAGTCTTTTCGAGGGGTTAGATTTGGGGTTGGGCGTGTTGTGGTGATGATGGTTTGATATAGGAGTTGTGGCGGTAGATGATGGTCTTTCGTGAATCCCAGAACTATACGTATAGATATGCTCCGTGATCTGACGGGCAATGCGCGCCGCATTCATATAAAGGACCGAGCCACGGAGAACAAAGACCATCGTATCGTCCGGAAGTCTCGAGCGTAGACCGTGGGCAGTAGAGCCAACCACAGACTCCGGATACAGTTGATGATAATTCTCACTCGTCACCATATCCACCGGCGCGAACGCCAGCTGCAACAACACGTAGACAATACTATACCCGACAGCCGCAGCGATGCCGATCTCGACGTCCACGAAAAGCGTCACCCAGAAAGCGACCATGCTGCCGACGAAATCCGCAAACGAGGTCTTCCAGTAATGCCAGAAGACCCGCACAGGGAGGACGATCTGCCACACGGCGACGATGATGATGGCCGCCAGGGTCGCCGAGGGGATCCAGTAGAATGCGTCGGTGAGCTTGTAGATGCTGACGAGCACGCAGGCTGTCGTGGCGAGTCCGCTCAGGGGGCTTTTTACCCCGGACTCTGAGTTCACGGCCGTGCGCGAGAATCCACCCGTGACGGGCATGCTGGCGAAGAAGCTGCCGACGAGGTTGGCGACGCCGATGTAACTGAGTTCTTGGTCTTGCTCGATGACGTAGCCGTGGCGGCGGCCGAAGGCTTTGCCAATGGCGAGGTGTTCGAGGGCCGCGGCTAGGAAGACGGCGATGCTGCGGCCGGCGGTCTTGACGAGGAGTGGGGAGTCTGGCACAGACGGGGGGATGATGCCTGTGCCGGTGACTTGCGAGATACCGAATAGGGGATCGTTCTCGTTCGACTTGTTCACTCCCCAGCTGACGGCCGTGAAGAGGATGAGGGCGAGAGCGTTGCGTGCAATTGAAAGATACCAAAGGCTGCGATATTTCTTGCCCCATTTGCGGCCGACAAATTGCAGAAGCACCAGCAGAACGATGCTGGAGAATCCCATCAGGAACGCCCGCCAATTAGTATAAGGAAGGCGCTGGAAGAACACCCGGATCACGCCGGCGGTGTCACTGGCAGACTTGCCCTCGCCGAAGAGGCCCTTCAGCTGCTGCAGAATGATGGTGATGGCCGCGCCGGACACGTATCCCGAGAGGACAGGCAACGGGATGAACTCGAGGAGGAAGCCCAGTCGAAAGAGCCCGAGGATCAACGAGTAGATGCCGACCCAGAATGCAGCTGCCGTGGCGATTGATTCAGCTGCGTAGGCTTCCTTGACAAGATCCGTGACGATTTCCCCCGTGAGCAGACCCATGATGGCCGTCGGGCCGGCAGTGACATCTTTGGACGTTCCCATGATGGCGTAGATTAGGGTTGGCAGCCAGCTGGAGAGGAGGCCATAGCGGGCAGGGATATTAGCCACTTTGGCGTAGGCAAGACTTTGCGGAACTAGGAGAATTCCGATTGTGATTCCTGCCCATTTCAGCTGTTGTAGACACAGAACGGCGATGAGGGTCTCCTACCGGCAACCAGATCGTTCCATAGCCACGACAAGGAATATTTGGGGGACCATTGTACAACTGGTACCTTAGCTGCTACGTAATTTGCAGTGGCTTTGGGTAGTCTGGGCAAGAAGACTCTTGCCAGACTAAGAAATCGATTGAGATTGTCGTCATTTCGCGCGGCCTCCTTCAGGGCCCGGATTCGAGTACCAAGCATTTTGGCTTGACTGCAACCACGGAAGATATTGGGATCAAGTCAGACTGGGAAGTAATCTCTGAATACTCACTCCAGAAAGAAGGATTGAAAGTGAGATGTTGAACATGACGAATATGGTGAATATAGACAAGTCCGTCTGCGTCTCGGATAATGACCGACGAAATGAGCAACCGGGAGGCTTTAATGGCGTGACAGAGCAGCCTTGGCGATAATAGATCAATAGAAGCCCTAACGAGTCATGTATGGAGATGGAGCCCGCGAAAACCCTCGTCTCGAGACGTTGGAATAAACCGGGGCTGTGATGTTGAAATTCCGCGTGGTGATCGCGCCATCTACATGCTCCACAGTCTGCCGTCCAGGATTCTGCCAATCGCACGCAATGGGATGATATATAGTCGCGATCGTCTATTTGATCAGAGCCCAAGTAAGTCCGATAGCATTCTCATCACAGAATGAAGTATCTCACGACTGACGAGAGACAGCAGCTAGCGGGAGACTACTTTGCTCCCTCCGGACTGTATGAATATACCAAGAGTCTCCCCTTCCTCGGGCGCGTGAAGAGCAACATCTCCACGCTGATCGCTGGCGAATGGACGGAGCTGCTTCTCGACTATGAGGTAGGCGCATCTGGTCTGGCCGACGGGGCCTGGATCAAGGCCACCTTCAAATTCTACTCGGACTGGGCTCTCTTTCAGACCTCCGACCCGACCAAGGACAACTACGTGAGCGCGCAGTATGTGCCGAACGAGCTGGTGAGCGGGCAGACGCCTGCCACTGTCGGGTCATTGGGGATTCGATTCGATCAAAAGGGCCACGAGAGACCCTTCCAGAAGGCCGTCATTGTGGATATCCAGGATGGTTATTTGAATCCCGGAGATCGCATTCTGATCCGACTGGGTGATCGTCGCTTTGGTGGGACGGGTACGCGCGTACAGACCTTTATCGAAAAGGACTTCAGATGGAGGCTTTATATTGATCCTGTGGGAACCTCGTGAGTAGTTGCAATATAATAAGGTGAAAAGATGCTGACAGAAATCCAACAGCCGGTTCGCTCCTATTCAGCCAGATATTTCCTGGACCATCATTGCTGGTCCCCCTCATCACATTCAGTCCGTCTCGCCTAGACTGGTCCAGCCCAATGTTTTTTTCGCCATTCATGCGCACGCCGAGGATAAATGGGGTAATGTGACTCACGACCTCAAAGACCTGGTCTTCAAGTTGCGAATATCCACCGAGGGCTCGGAAATCCTCGCCCAAAGGGAGATCCCTCTGTCAGAAACAGGATGGACAAACGTTATCTTCTCTGACATCCAGTTAGCCGTGGAAGGCGATTACACGATCAATATTTGTCTGGAAGCACCAGACGGGCCAATTCTGAAATCAAGCATCTCTCACGTCAGCGTGTCCTCCGACTTGGCCATTCCCAAGATCCTGTTCGGCGATTTGCACGTCCACTCCGATGACACGGTGGGAACCGAAAACTCTGTCTATAACTTCTCCTATGGTCGTGAAATCGCCGGCCTGGACGTCCTCGGATACACAGCGAACGACTTCCAAATCACCAGAGAACGCTGGGACGCCACGACACAACTGATCCGGACCCTGAACGAGCCCGGGAAATTTGTGATCTACCCTGGTACCGAGTGGTGCGGTAACTCGGCCGCCGGGGGTGATCATAACGTGGTCTTCCTTGACGATTCCGAGGAATCTCCTGCTGCGTTTCCATACGATCGTCAGGGGAATCTCGCGCGGTCGTTTGAATGGTCAGAGCATGGGCCCAAGGATCTCGTGCCGGGAGCGTGGCCACTAGACGAGGTCTACGCTACCTACGCCCCAGACGCCGATAGACATCTTCTGATCCCTCACGTCGGCGGACGTCGCTGTAACCTCGCCTGGCATCATCCTCGACTCGAACGGCTCGTCGAAATCGGTAGTGCCTGGGGTCAGTTCGAGTGGCTTCTTCAAGACGCCGTTCAGCGCGGCTGGAAGCTCGGTGTATGTGCGAACTCGGATGAGCATCGCGGACGCTGCGGCGGAGGCGTCTCCGGCACTGCGGTCTTCGGCACTCGAGGAGGCCTCACGGGTATCCTTGCGTCTCGACTTGATCGAGCCACAGTGGCCAGCTCGTTGCGGTCACGACGTACCTTCGCCACTACAGGTCAGCGCCTCGTCGGTCTGGTATCCACTCGCACGAAAAACGACGGTGTTGCGATACAGGGCGACGAGATCGATGTTTCGCCCACCGAAGACCTGGAGCTGGAATACCAATTCCTCGGCGAACGGGGGTTTTCGTCCATCGAAGCCTTCGATGCATCGGGCCTGCTCTGGCGCCGACACTTCTGGTCCGAAACCGACGAGCAACCAGCAGTGCCAGCAAAGAAGATTCTGAGGATCACATGGGGCGGAGCGCGGTTATACGACCGCTATCGCGAAGCAATCTGGGACGGGCGAATCACACTCTCCCAAGACGCTGTCGTGGAACGCATACAACCCTTTGGGGGATTAGAAGATAACCCAGAAGACGTTGTCCAGGTCACCGGATCCCAGTCTGTTGAGTTCACGAGCAAGACCAGCGGCGATATCGACGGCGTGAACGTTTACCTCCAGAGCGACAAAACTCCCTCGACAGTTTCCATCCGCGGCTCGCTCGGTGGATATGTCAAAGTAGGAGACGCGCTGGCTGGAAACCCGCACAAGCCTCAGCCAAATTTCGAATTGGACGCAACGTGGAAGGAATTGACTGCGCCGGATGGCAAATCTATCGAGATTCGCGGCGGCGCGGGGCTTTTCGTTCGCGTCGAAGCTGTACCGGACATTCAGCTGCCTCGGCGGGTGAAAGGAACATTTTCGCTCTCTGCTGAACCGGGGAAGGCTCGTTCGGTCTATTTCGTTGGCAGGGAATGGAGTGGTGCAAAGGTTGTTACGAGTCCGTTGTTCATCAATTATGTGTAGAGGGGGCACGATCTCCAGACCAGACTTATGTGCGTCTATGAAGCGAAGAGAAAAGACGATATATACAAACCTAGTGATTCTGTTAGCGTACATATGCAGGGGTGGCTATCCTGGGAATCGAACGAATTTACTCGTTGGGATGATGGTGAAGATGGTTGTAAGAACGCGGTCTTCAGCGGGGCGCGGATTCTTGACATATTGTTGGTAGCTTCAAATGCATAAAGTCGCTACTTATTAGATCACACCAGTTTCATTGCCGAGAACGGTAGCTGATACCTATCTAGATAACTAATCAGCTAACTAATGCGAAAAGAGAAAAGAACAGGCAGTTCTAGGCTTATAGAACAATGAGAGAAACAAAGTAGAGTAAAAGATAGGATAGGTTAGTTGGTGAGTTGATATAGACATGTAGTTGGCGCTCATGTACACGATATGATCTGACGATTCTGACGAACAAACACTCGCTTTCAAGCAAATGATAGGTGCTGATTGCAGATACAGATATCATAGGCAAAGTGAAAAGAATTTATCAACGGTAAACAAATCGACAAGAAATAAGAAACTAGAGATGGAGAACCGCCCAGCAGTGATCAAGTCAATCGCTGATTGACTGGATGGGTTAAAAGAGGGATAGGAGATGTAGGGGATATCCGGACAGATGCAACTCTCAACACCGATTTTAGTAGAAAAAGGAAAGGAAATGGTAGGTACGGGCGGTTAAAGAGTGTCATATGAACCCAGTAGTTGAGTTCATGGGATAGGTTGATTACATCAACCTAAAGTTCGGTATGTTCAGCACCCTGCTCAGTGGCAGATCGCAGCTTGCGTTGGTTCAGAATCTTCTCCAGGCTATCGAGCCGCTCGCGCGTCGTGCGGATGGCATGGTCCATCTCTCGATCCGACATTTTCTCTTCGCCGAGCATGTCGATAACCTGACGGTCACCCTGGACCTTGCGAGATCGTTGCCGGGTCTGTGAATCAACCGGTCGATTGACCGTCGGGAAGGCCATACCATCCATGCCGACTCGATCTTCCAGCCAGCTCCACAGTTCGCTCTCTTCCCTTCGCCACATCTCCTCGTAGGCTGCCAGGCGCTGGGGCAATGAGTAGCCGGGACAGCCAATGTCATGAGATACCACCGAGCTGGATCGCGAGGAGCCTCGGAAGAAGATCACGAGGAGCAAAACCCCAATGACCATGAGAGCGATGTTTCCACTCAAAAGGGGCTTCACAATGTCGGACACCGGGCCCAGCAGTTGATGCAGTGGTTCGAGGAATCCCCACGACTCGGCTTCTCGCGCGTTGGCCTCGCTAGCTGCCTTTACGGCCGCCGCAGCGGCTTCTTCTGTGGCTAGGTCGGTCTTCTTACGGCGTCCCTTGCCCTTGCCATTAGGTTTAGCGACGGCACGACGAGGAGCAACCGCAGCCTTAAGAGAGCTGATGAGTTCGGTTCCGAAACTGCCTTGACCATCGATGGCACCTTTCTCAATGGGAGCTATTGTTCAATTAGCATTATGACTACTTGCATCCAGATTGATAGCAAAGACTTACTCTTCAACCAACTCTTGCCCGTCCACTCGATGGTGCAAGTCATGAGAAATCGGGTCTGGTTGTTTGGAGCCCAGGTAAAGAGGTATTTCGTCATGGTAGAGAACACATTGCCACTGGGGACATCGGGAGTCTGCGTGCTCAGGGTCACCAAAACTGCCTTCTCTAAATCAAAGAAATCCAAGGTCTCGGTACTGATACACTTGGTTTGCTTAGGCCCAATAGACCCGTTGAGAGGCTTGATATAAGAGTAGTTCCTGGTTTTCTTGTCGTTGGAAAGACCGCCCTTTTCGCTCTCGAATTGGAGCTCGCCAGACTTCTGGTTGTCCACAAGGAACTTCGGCATGAAAGTGGTTGATGCCGGTCCAAAGATGTAGGAGTAAACCTTTCCAAGGGGCGCCGGGATAATTTCGTCCTTGATGACCTTGTCGTACTGCCCCGAGGGATCTGTATACTCGGTTGGAGCATGAGTGGCAGGACCGGGGAAGTCGGTATCGCCGTCTCCATCGCTCGACTTGCCCTTCGCGTCACCGCCAGAGCCAGCCGCTGCTGTCGACGTCGCGCCGTTACCATTGAGGAGACCCGAGGCCTGTCGACTGGGACCCTTCGCCGGTACAGATCTTTCACTCCCGTCCACGCTGCCATCTGGCTCATAGAAGCTCTCGGCATTATCACCCTCCTCATCTTCGTCATAAACTTCGTCCTCGTCCTCACTCTCTGCGTCGCTCTCTCCAGCCTTCTCGGTCTTATCACCAGTGCCCTCGGTGACCCTGGTACCATTGACAGAGCTCTTAAGAGTAGGGTGGTTAATCTTCCAGATGTTCACCATCAGATCATAAGTGGACTCGCGACTAAGCAGACTTCGGAAAGTATGGCGGGCGTGCAATGTCTGAATGGCAATCGCATTCGGAAACACCATGGCGGTGGACTCCTTTTCGATCGCAACGATCTCGTCGAAGCTAATGACCAGAGTTGTGACCCAGCCCAGAATGTTACTAGAGAAGCAGATATGGCCTTCCGAGATGTAAATCCGGCCTGCGAGGATGATTTCACGCTGCAGCGCGCAGCTGTAATCCTCAATCAAGTAATCGTCCTCGGGTACACTGCGGAACAGTGAATGAAAGTCTCGGTTCCGCTTTTTGCTGGCAACGGCAAAACCCGTCAGTCGCGGCATACTGGTATTGGCTCCCGGTACCCCAAGCGCGATAGCACTAGCTCCGATGGCGCCGATCGTCGAGGTAGTGGCCCCAGAAGAGCCTCGGTGACGGCGCCGAGCTAAGCGGCTCCGAACACTTCCACTTCGGTGTGGCCGAGTACCACCACCCTCTCCATCAAGTACACTACCGGGAGGGGGTGTTTGGTCGCCGACAACGGGGTCTCGCGGGAGTGACACGCTAGATCGAAGCTCGAGGCTGTCGTCCGACGGCGGCACAATTGATACCTCGGAAGGTTTTTCGTAGGCCATAGTGACCGCGCGCTGCGCACGTCGATGCTCGATTTTAGCAGCTTGTTCGTCCCGTTCATGGACCGTGGTGTTCTTGCGCTTTTCTAATGGCAGGTCTGGTTTGGTAATGACTACACCGTCAGGGGTCGAAACGGATCCACCAGGGGGTATAGCGATATCCAGATGGCTGAAATCCAAGTTTCCCGACCCCAACGTGTCGATGGCCGACGGTTTGCTATCTTCGGTCTTATTGGCGTCCATCGAGGTATCCTCATCGCCCTTCCGGAGCAACGAAGGGTCGGCTTCCGCCATTTCTGCCGGAGCCAGGCCGCGCGCTTTGGACTGGGCGTTGAGGCTATTGCTAAAACTCGTCGCAGCGTTTTGCGCCGCGGAGAAGACCGAAGAAAAAAAACCGCTCTGCTGCGTAGCGGAGGGGGTTCGCGTAGCGGCCTTGGTTTCTTCAATAGTCGGTCCCATAGCCGATATAGAGTTCGATAGTTTACTGGGTTTGTGGCTGGCAGAGGAGGCGGACCGAACACGTCGATGAGAGATCATGTTTCCCGAGGGACTAACGACAATCTCCGACTGCTGCGAGTCTTTCGACTGGAACGACTCTGGGGACGAAAACAAGTCGCGGTGCTCGATCTGGGGGGTGGGAGGTGTGACGGTGGTCTGCGGAGCTGGGAGAGCTGTGTGAGGGGGCGTTCGCGGACCACCAGGGCCGTCTGAAGACTCCGAGGGTTTGTCGTCTATCAGGTCAGTACGGATTGTAGGGGGCAGAGGTGGCACGGGTTCGGTGATAATGGACGGCGCTTTCTTGTTGGAGGATACGCTGGCCTTTCTGCCGCGATTCCCAAACGGACCGGTACTTTTCTTGCTCTCGCCCGACGCCGTCGAAGAGGCTCGTTCCCGGTTGGAGTCCTTCTTTTTATCGGGATTGGAACTAAAGGCATTCCTGAACCGCCTGCCAGGGGAAACGCCGCGCTTTTTACTACTTTGGTCGCCCGGGACATTTAATGATCCTGCTGTAGGCTGAGAAGTGGGCCTGGAAAGTTCCGTGTCAGGGTTGGACTCCGAATGAGAAAGGGCGGCGCTTGGTCCACTAATCGCGGACTCAACGTCGGCCTGGACGCCATCCGTATCGTTGGCCACGTCTACCGAAGTCGTGTTGATGAGAGGGGAGGAGCTCGTATAGAAGCCGCTATGTGAATTGTGACTCGTGAGGGGCGGAGTTCTAGAAAGAAAAACGTGGCCATTAGGTACCATATGGGATTGACGTATCTTGACAACCTTGGGGCGATTCACGGCTTACCGGTCAGGTTCAGAGTCGTCCGTCAACAAATTCATAGCCTCCGGCTCCGGCGCGCCTGGCTTTTCGTGAACAGACGACCCTCCGTCCCGAGATTCGTTGGAGCGAGCCTCCTGGGCATCGCCGTCCTTCTCGATTTCGAATTGCGTCGGCAGCTCATCCACCTTACTCTGGCTTTCCTTCTTCTTCTTGTTCTTTCGTCGCGACGCCAGCAACTTGGAAAATCCGCTGGGACCTGCCTTTGCGGAATCCGATTCGCCAGCTTGTGACTTGGGTCTATCGGAGGTCGAGTCGATAGACGAGCGGCCATTGCTGCGACCGGAGCTATCCATCGTTTCCGAGTCGATAGGGCTTGTCTTGGACCGGCCGATTTTGTTGGGAGCCCTTGGCTCGGGGGAGGGGACCGGCGGGGGTTCGGGTATTTCTGAGTGGTCCATGGAAGGCTGGATAGGAATTATGTTCGGATGAGATAACGGAGGATTCAGAGTCGCACGAGCGAGATGTGTCAAGGTCAAGGGTGATCAATGGGAATCGACGAGCATAGCAGGGGGCATGGTAGAATCTCGTCAAGTTCCGACTCCGCGTACGGTTAGTAGTTCACAGCTATACTAAAGTCGCTAACAAGCAGGCACTGCAGCTGGGTCGAGAGAGAATTAAAAGGTAATAAAGGGGTCTCGAAGCAACAAGAGAGTACAGTCACCTTCGACCTCCTTGGCGCAAACAAAGAACCGAAGAGGAGACGAGGGAGAAAAAGAATAGGGGGGAGGAGAGGGGGAAGGATGAGGATTGAAGCTGAGAGAAGCCGCTTTGCTTCTCCGCAACCCAAGGAAAGTCGTATTATTACCATCGCTGCGTACGGACGACGTACGGGTTGTATGCACCTTTCCCGATCGGGATGTCCAGCCTTACCGCTTCCAGGGGTTTGCTGACTCAGCACCGCGTGTCATGTGCCGATCCGTGGATCATGCCTGGTTCCTCAGGTGTCTCTGGTGTCTCCGGTGTACATACTGTCTGTACAAGACTAAAGACTACGAGTACATGCCTCTTCTCCTCTTCGCATTTCGAGTCTCTCGAGTCCTGAGATCCCTCGGGAAAGTTTTTGGTCCTTTGGGTTCCGAATAGTCCAGACCTCAGCGAGGATGCCAAGAACTGCCTATTAATAGCTGGGGCGGCAGAGGGGATCCATCAGGCCGTGCTATTAAAAGCATTGAATTCGGAAATATATGAGATGACAGATCTCAATGAAGGATGTCGGACATGATCGTGAATCAATTAACGGTCATAATGCCCGAATCGGAATGATATTGACCTCTCAGTGCCTTGTGTATATAACCGGAGGGAGAGTACGGAGTAGGCATAGTTAGACGACGGGGTCTAGGCTCGCAAACTGAAATGACCTGATTTCTAGTTTTCTACGGAGTACCTAAACGGATACGCCGGCTCCATAGTCTCCATTATTGACTGCAACTTCGTTCTTCGTTGCAAGCCCATGTTTCAGGCGGAGCTAACACGCTCGGACCAGAGTCAATCATGCCAGTGTTAACGAGCTAGAACGATGATTCTGTCATTCCAACCATCTACAATTGATCTTTTCTTCAAATGGCAGAGACTCGACAGTTCATCTTGTAAAGTCTCTAAAATAACTACAACTTAGTATATTACTAGACATGAGGTATCAGATACAATACCCCGGATGCGCGTAATGTTACCGTCACATCGTCAGGCCCGTGATTTTCCCGATGCGGCGAATGGCGTCACTCCCACTTTCACTCTTCTTCCTCTCTCTCTTTTCACATTCCATTCATCTCTTCCCCGCCCTCTGACTCGGGTTGATGTACAGCTGATACTCCAAGAAAGGGCCCTAGGACGCCCCAGCTCGTGGTCATGGAAGCGGCTCCGCTTACCCTGGTACGTGGAACGTGCTTATCTCCCAGTCTAAACATAGCCTGACATCCCTTCTTCCGACAAGGCTCATACCCATGCTCGGAATGCAGTGCTCGAGACTCGGAAGTCGAATCCTGTCGCTGCCAGTGAGGAGCATGACCTAGCTGCTGGGGAGTTCGCAACGGCGGCCCAGAACAGTTCCGACCCTCAGGTACGCCGTCCTCCAGCTCCCTCGGTTGATTCCGTCTGACCGATAAGCTCGAACTGACATGTTGCACGGATTGAATGCTATAGGCATTACGAACATTACATCTGCTGGAACAACATCACAAAAAGCTTGCTCAAATCCTTCGATTTCAGCATGAAAATCCTCCTTCTGCCGGAGCGAATGCCCCTCTCTCGGCGGAACCAGGTTCGCCAAAGGCTTCACCGTCCATACAAGACGCCCAGCAACAGCCACCAAAACTGTCCGGGAACGCTCGGTTGCCGAAAAGAGAAACCTCATCGATCGCCAGTAACCTGGCCTCCGCTCGGGGAATCCCGTCGCAGCCGCGCCGCGCGACACCCGCGTCACCGACTCTTTCGTCCCAGCAAGCCGGCGCCAGAATGACCGATGGACCGGCCAAGATTAGAACGGGCGAATCTCGCTTGCGTGGAACGCAAGCCCATACACCCAGAGACCGCCTGTATCGTACCTCTTCTACATCGAAGCACTCGTGGTCTCCCCCGGTGGGCAGCCCTACCGATGTTACGTCGCAGCAATATGTGCCAAGTGATGCCGTTGAGCCCCGCCGCGGGAGCAGACAGCCGGATACGGAGGAGCCTTTCCAGCGGTTCTACTCGACTTTCGGGGGCCTCATTTCAAAACTGTCGGCTCCGCTGGCATTTGCCGGCCTCCCTTTAGGGTCGGATGCATCACAGGCAGAGTCCAGCCCTAAATCCCACGCAGATACAAAGCTAGACCGTCACCAGGCAACTTCTAGTCGCTCGACTCAATCCGCGGAGCCCGACATCAGCCGGATCTTCTCGCGGGCAGCACTCCGGGCGATACGAGACTCTCCCGGCGGGGGAAGCGGGGCCGGTGGCCCAACCGGCGGTCCTGCGGAGTCGTTCTACGTTGTCCCCACGACAGGCGGCACAGTCTCCTATGCCGGAATCCTTGGCCGAGCAGAGAAGGAAGCTCGAAGAAACAGCCTCGAAGAAGGCGATGACGACTTTGTAGATGCTCGCGAGACCCCGGCGTCCCCCGAACTGCGCCACAGCTTCACCGGCGGCAAGGGCAAAAACGGACGAGCCAACGACAGACTCACCACCAACCTGCAGAACCCAAAGACTATAGAGGAACTGCAGATGGAAAACCAGGCTCTGCGACACCTGTCTGATACGCTGTCCAACCGGTTGCACATGTGGGAAGTCAACGCGCAGTCTTCCTCCATCGCCCTGCAGCAGTCCCTGAAAGCGATGCATCATCAGAACATCCCGTCTCCCGAGCATCAGGCATCTTCTGCAACCACGTCACCCCCTGCGCCTCTCTCGACTCAACCGTCCATGACTGATCACGACCAGCGCATCAAAGAACTCGAGGACATAATCCGTCGTAGCGAGATGGATCTCGAAAGGGCCGGTCGCGAGAACGAGAAACTGCGCAACGCGGTCGGTCGGTATCAAGATCGATGGGAGAAACTGAAAGAGGGCGCGAAGACCAGACAGGCGAGGAGTAAAGCCAGCGCGGACAATCCGGCGCCGGCCGGTCCTGCAGTCGTAAAGGCAATGGATTCGCCTATTCCGTCGGGGGACGGATCCAGACCGGAGAGTGAGAATGAGAATGGGAACGTAAATAAGGATTCTTCTGATGGTAAAGTGGACGTGTCTGATACGTGAGTTACAGTGAGAAGGTAGACTGTATCTATGGTGGTGGCCTCGATTAAAAGCAGGAGTTTGGGTTATTGCTACAGCGTGGACATTCTTTTTGATGGTCAGGTCAGGGTAAAAACTTCGGGTTTTCTTTTCTTTTTGCTTTTTCTGTCTATGTCAAGTCGAGGTCATTCTCACTGAGACACGGACCGAGAACTGACTGGGGAGAACTACATAGCTTAACATCCACACCAGATGTCAACACATACCTAAAACACTGTCTTCCACTTATAACCCTCGATAGTACACAGAATCACTCCAAAATAGAATGGCTTGATAGCTCTACCATATCAACTATCTTATATACTTAGTTACCTTCCCACCCCCAAACCCAGGATCTCAATCAACGCACCCAAAACGTCGCATTCCCCCTAACATCCTTCGAGCTACTCCCCACGAGCGCCACAAACTTCCCCGGCTCAACAACATACTTCATCTTCACATTCCACACCCCCAAATCCCCCACCTTAATGGGAATCTTCACCGTCCGCGTCTTCCCCGCCCCAATCACCACCTTCTCGAACCCCTTCAGCTCGCGATTCGGCACCACCACACTTGCAAACACATCCTGGATATACACCTGCACGACCTCGGCGCCCTTCCGCTTCGACGTGTTCTTCACGTCCACAGACACCGTGATGGTATCGGCATCCGTCACATTGGTCTTATCCACGCGCACGTTCTGATACTCGAATGTCGAATAGCTCTTCCCGTACCCGAACTCGTACCACGGTTCCGGGGAGCCCAGGACATACTGGTGGCCGAAGACGAGGGTCCCGTTGTCGTATTCCACCCCGGGGTCGCCGATCGTGCGCGCCGAGTTCAGGTAGTCGTAATAGATCGGTAGGTCGCCGACGTACCGGGGGAAACTGACCGAGAGCTTGCCGGAGGGGTTGTAGTCGCCGAAGAGGATGTCGGCGAGCGCGTTGCCGCCTTCTTCAGAGGGGTAGAATTGTTGGATTAAAGCGGAGGTGTTGGTTGAGAGCCAGGTTTCTGTGATGGGTTTGCCGGTCGAGAGGACCACGATTGTGGGCACGCCGGTGGCCGTGATGGCTTTTATGAGGGAGCTTTGCGCGCCGACGAGGTCGAGGGAGTTGACGTCGACGTGTTCGCCGGTTCTGTTTTTGTTTCTTTGTTAGTTTGGGGAGGGAGGGAGAGAGGTGGTGTTGTTGGTGCTGATGGAAGAGAAGTGGACATATGGGACATACGTAGCGTTCAAACCAGCCCAGAGCTCTTTCTGATCGCGAGACCACGTTCCCACCACGACGACAGCCACGTCGGATTTCTTCGCCGCGGCCACGGCTTCCTCGAAGCCGGACTCGTCGTTGCTCCATCGCTCGCAGCCCTGCGCGTAGTGCACGTTGGCTTTCTTGCCGACGGCTTTCTTGATGCCGTCGAGCGGCGTGACGCCGCGGTATTGGCTCTCGTAGACGACGTAGTCTCCGTACTAGGTTTTCATTAGTTATTATGCATAGTATATGCGCTGGGGGGTGTATAAAAGGCAACTGAAAAGAGAAAGAGAAGCGAACGAGAGAGCGGGGAGACATACGTTCATAAACCCATGAGCCATAGGTCCAATGACCGCAATATTGCCGTCCTTCTTCAACGGCAGGATATCGTCATGGTTCTCGAGCAGAACAATCGACTCTCTGTCAATCTCCCGCGCCAGATCCACCGCCTCCTTGCTGTGGATGAGCTTCTTCCACTGGGACTTGGGAGCCGCGCGGTAGGGGTTCTCGAAGAGACCCATTTCGAACTTCGTCTTGAGCACGCGCTTCACTGCCGTGTCGACGGTCTCGATGTCGAGTTTGCCGGATTCAACGAGGTCGGGGATCTTTTGGAAGTTGCTGATCAGGCTATGAGTTAGCATGGAAGTTTATGAAGGAATTGGGTACCAGGGTAGGGAATGCGTACAAAGAACCTCCGCCCATCTCGACGTCGTTACCGGCAGGGAGGGCCTGAAGGGTGACGGCGTTCATGTCGATGGGGTCGCTCTCGCAGAGGTGGAAAGCGGTGCAGAGTCTGTCACTGGCGCCGGCATCGCTGATGACGAAGTATTCGTAGCCCCATTCTTCACGCAGGATTTCAGTCAAGGTGTGGTAGTCGGAGATTGCGGGAATGCCGTCGTATCTAAAGACATATATGTTATTGAACGGTCAAGTGAGCTTCGGACAGTAGACTTACGAGTGATATGCGCTCATGATACTCCAGGCACCGGCATCGATGATGGCTCTCTTGAATGGCGGCAGCCAGCTGGTCAATGTCAGAATTTCTCCTCCCACGCTTCAGATCCGAAGTAGGTAGCATACGTCGTGCGCAGGTATCTCTCACCGCCATGCACTGGCGCAGTATTGAGTCCTTGCTCTGGCTGACTGAATCCCGCATAATGCTTGACCATGGCAGAGGCGTTCAGGCTCTGGATTCCCTTCACGTAGGAGTAGCCGATTTCTCCCGCAAGGAATGGGTCTTCGGAGAAAGTCTCTTCGACCTACATCATTCATTTGTTAGCTTTGTTCGGCATGACAGCGTTTAGATTGCTTACTCGTCCAAAACGCAGCTCCCGTGCAAGGTCAACCACCGGCGCCATGAGCTGGTTCGCGCCAAGAGCGAGAGCTTCCTGGCTGATAAGCTTGCCCATCTTGTAGATCAACTGCAGCAATGGTTAGCTCTCCGCCACAACTCAAGAATCTGTCGCATACATCTCTATTGAAGGAGCACCCGTATCCAATAGGCGAGTTGTAGATCGTCGCATTGCCAATCAAGAAACCGTGAATCGCTATTAAAACAGCACAGTCAGTATATGCCCTACGACGAATTGAAAATAACGATATACGCACCTTCCGTCTGGACCAGCGCCGGTATACCAAGCGTCGTGTTCTTGACAAGGTAATCCTGAGCTCTCTTGACATTGGTCGCGATCCAGTCCCAAGGAACGGGATATCCAACTGCAAGCGATCCGGTCAATATGATCCCCTCTCACAAATAGGACCAGAGCCGCATACCGTAGAACATTCCGGCTTTCCATTTCATATTTTCCACCAGGCCGGTGTAGTTGAAATCCCCGGTCGTGTCGTCCATCCAATTGGTGATGTCGCCTGCATGAAGAGGTAAGTTCACTGCAAACTATACAAGGGATCATCAAGATAAAATTGCATGAGCTCGTACCTTGAATCAACTGGGCCTTCTTGTCCTCAATGGTCATCCGGCTCAGCAGATCGTCCACCCGATCATCCACTGCAGCATTTGGATTCTTGTACAGTGGTTTGGAATCGTCCTTAGTAGCTCCCAGGCCCGTGCAGAGACCTAGGAGCAATAGTCCCTTCGAAAAGAGACCGGCAACCATATTGCCAATGTACGATTAAAAGAAATGTTCTTTCAATTCAATTTAGTAACGACAGTCGGATGTCTAGCTAGCTAGCCATGAAGAACAAGAAAAAAGGAAGAGCGAGAAAGGAAAAAAGAAAGAAAGAAAGAAAGAGAGGAGCAGCGAAATGCCCGCCGGTTTTATTCCTAAATCGCGCAGAACGAAACAATTTGCCTAGGCACATGGTTAGGGTCACTTGAGGAGGAAACAAAAGCACGATCTCCGAAACTTGTCTCCAGCAAGACCGCATAAACAGCTAAGCCAAGGCCGGGTTTACATGATTGTGGAATAACTTCGGAAATGAACCCGGGTCAACTAGACAAATTGGAAAGCGGGCATAGCGGTGAATGGACTATGAGGTTGAGGAATGGAGCCATCGTCAATGCTAGATGAAGCTAGAGCAACCTGCCCGGGGGCTAATGAGACGCTGTGTGGGTATATAATATATATTAACTGTTGCAAGGCGTGCGGTCGAGCCTAAATCCACCGGCTATTTGACAGCAGGATGACCGCACGGCTAAATGCGATCGTGATTAATTAATATTGAGCGGGTCATTCAGCAGACGACTGAGAATGAGCAGCTAAGGGACTCTAGTTGCTGCAAGTCCTGCTTTTTCCACCTATCACGGTTTCTCGGCAACGCATCGTCAAGGGTCAGCCAAGGATTATGCAGCAATGAGCTGATCCTGCTAGTCAATTGATGAAGATTGAATGTTGGAAATGCAACAGGCCATCTGCCAACATCTGATCAAGAGGAAGGGTCCATACTTGGCTGTCGTCATGTCCAACCTACACTTCGCTTTTAGGACAAGATTACTGCCACAATGGAGAAGTCGTTTGCTCAGATTCTTCAGTCTTTTTATTGCTCTATCGTTGTAAGTGATCATGAAGCGAAACTGGGATTTAACAAACACCGCTTGAATACCGAATCTGGTAAAAACAACGGAGACAATGGAGTTTGTTCCTCCGGTGCATTGGATACAAGCAGGGACAGCTAAACGGATTGAAAGTAGCACAAGCGCCCGGTGAATTTGAAAAGACGATGGCATATTGCTGCCACTCTCTGTGATTGCTGCGACGAAGCTGTGCAAAGACCTCGAACGGAATACTATAGCCACCAGGCCAACCCTGGAATTGATTTCCCAGCCTTGGAGCGCGATTCGCGTCTAACAAGCCTGAAGAAGCAGCGGATATGGCATTTACTCCTCAATCTTCTCTCTTAACCCAGCACTATTCGCCCTGACTGAATTCTTCCTCGCTGTTGCGTGGTTCCCGGGACAGGCCTTCTCGCGAAGAAAGACGTCTCAACAACTTGCTCTCTGGCAACATGAACACGACCAGAGGGGTTTCTGCTGGACGATCGAGTGTTGCGAGTGGCGTGCGGCGGACTGGCTCGGGTATTCGTGTGTTGCTCCTGTCTCTCTGGGGCATCATTTCTGACGGAGCGGTTAGGGGTCGCGCGAGACATTGTGGTCGCCGCAGTCTTGGGCTTTTTGGTGGGCTTGGCCTGTCTGGCTTGACGCTGGGGGCGACAGAATAAAAGACCGCACAGCATGTTGGTTATTCGTTGATCCAATAAAGAATGGTGCAATGTGTGGGCGTATTGAATACACAGAAGGTCGTAGATGATGATGACCGAGTGTTTGAATCTGACTTGATAATGTAATGATAAGTATGTTGCTGGCAAGAAGAGAACTCCTAGGACTGCATGCATGGACTGAAGATGGAGCGGGAAGCAAACGAGAATACTTATCAGAGTGCCACCTGAGGCATTCAAACGACCACGCCGTATGGCTTGGTTGGATGAAGTTGCAGGGACGTAGTTGCTCCCGCAGCCGATATCCGTTTGCTAAACATACAAGATGAGTAAAACACGCAGTATGTGCGTGATGACTTTTTAGACATTTCCTGTATCTTCCAGAGGGCATAAAGAGGACAATGAAGCTAAAGTTCCTGTGCATGTAGAGATGCAGCGGAAGGGAATTTCGGCAGTTATTCATCTGATTAGAATGCATTAAGAAGCCTTTAAAAAGAGAATACTGGGCCATTAAGACTAAAGGAGAGAGAATACACGTCCGCAGTCGTTAGGGTTATTCTACCCTTGAACCCCAAGTTAAACACAGACTTGTCCATTTGAACAGCAACAATATGACAACCCACCCAAATGCTAATAATGGGAAGTCCATTTCTTCATATTCTGCTATCATTCTCGAACATAGGGTCGCGGGCTTTTACATACTTACGATAAGCCCGTCTATAAGGATACACTTCTGGTTGAGTACTCTGTATGTAGGATTTCTAGCTGCAGGGCTTCAGATGTCGGACAGCCCGATCATCCTTCAAAACAGGATGAAGAGGACGATCTATTGTTCAACATTGATCTGAATGATCAATATCCTTGCCTGAACTCCACACTGGGGTTCCATCGGCCCTCCTGAGCGATACCCGAAGCAGTAGTTCGGCCTGAAGGTCGTGCCTGGCCACCTCAGGCACCCCAAATGCCGCGCACTTCTGGTCGCCACCGTCCAGATTGACCGCAGGAAGAATTGAAATCATGATCGATGATAATAGGCAACCGCATACACAGTACACCGTACGTGAGCATCCAGATCAATGGAGGGACGACACGAAGACTCCGCACGCTAAGCGGTGCTTATCAATTCTTGGCCTCCGTCAACGCAAATCCAGACTGTTTTTTGGCCCGCAAAACAAGGTTGGCGGCATCCCCCCGGCTTAGTCAATCAGTCCCAAAGTCCAGATGCCATGGCGTCTTTTCCTTCGCCTTTTCATTCCTGCTCGTCATTTTTTCTTCCCTGTTCTTTTCTTTTTCTTTTATTGTTTCTTCCTTCCTCCTCTTCTTTCCTGCCCTTTCCCCACCTATCTGGCTCTGTTTCTCTCCCTGCCTTGGCTTCCCTGGATTCCTTCCCCCGGCTGAAGTGGGCTTTTGTCTCTCCTCCGGCGATTCCCAATGGATCGTATAGAGCCGGTGGAGGGTTCTCAGGATCCTCAAGGCCAGGAACCACCCTCGTCCGATCTATCGTCGCCGTCCAGACAAACGTCATCACAGCAGACTCGCCCGCGCGCCTTATCGTCCCGTACCCGCCGCCCGACTATCCGCCTCTCGCGCCTACCGTCGTACACCTTGGACCAGGTTTCCACGCAACCTCAGAGAGGTCCCGATACCACGGGAACAAATGATAATCGACCTGCCAATGTGAATGCCTCCAGCTCGAATCTCGTGTCACCCACCCCTTCTCAGGCCGCCGACGACACATGGCAGGCAAATCGCCGTCGCAGCAGTTCCGAACCCCATCGGGGGCGATGGTCAACTGCACCAAACCCCAATGCGCTTCCGAGATTCACGCCAAACGGCCAGGTGCTTTCCCGAGTAGAGGAATCAAATCAATCTCCTATCGGTGCCACCATCTCGAACCCCCCACTGCCGCCGGAGGATCCCCGCGCGATTCCTGATGCTCCGATTCAAAGGCGGGGAAGCCGGAACCTTTTGCGATGGACAAGTGAAGCGGCTCTCAATCGCTTCTCTAGAAATCGGGTAAATGAGGATGGGACCCACCCGGACACCCAGGAGGATGAATCGGAGTACCACCCTCACATTGTTGATGTGTTGGACGTTATTGGTAAGCACTTAACAATCCAATCTCATACGGCAAGTAATTCTAATGAATGGGGCTTCTTCCATCAGATCCGCAAGTATCCGCTCTGTCAACCCTTACAAATGTTCAGAACTCGCTCTTCGTGCCCAACCTAGGTCCCTTGCTGAACCGCAACCAAACCTATACTCTGTCGCCTCCAAGAGAATCGTCGGAAGAGGAGGAAACCACTACCACCGATGAAGGCGAAGAAGCGACTGATGAGAAGGATCACCCAGAACGTCCGCGGCTCCATCGTCCGCTCACCAGTCTCTCCGCCGTGCTCGAGAAACAAGACACTCGATTCGCAGTCCTTCCCGAAGGCAGCAATCTTGAAGGATGGACCGAACGGGATATAGAGGAGTTGAATGATCATGTACGACATATGCTGCATTCTCGGCGGTCCAAGTTCAAGCGTTCGATGAAGGGATTCGGAAAATACGTGTCCAAGCGTGAGCTCTCACAATGCCGTACGAGAGGTTTTGCTAATCTTTTGGCGGACAGCACTTGGGTTTCTCATCACGCTTTATGCGACGTTAATTACGCTTTTTGGACTTGCTTGGGTTCTCTTCCTCATTGGTAAGACTCCCGGTCTTCCTTCGTTCATCCCCCGGCTCTAATTGATGTAGGCTGGATCAATGTTGGGGGACGACAGCTCTACATCATTAATGTCATCGATAACGTCCTGGTCGCTTTGTTCGCAATCATGGGTGATGGATTGGCTCCGTTCCGGGCCATTGATACGTATCATATGATCTTTATCGCGCACTACACGTTTTTGACCTGGAAAATTCGCCGAAAGCGCCGCCTACCCGATCTCAAGGACAAGAACGACCTCCCAGCGCGACGTGAGATGGATGTCGACGTCGAGTTTGGCGACACCCCTAAAGACGAAGAGCACGAGTTCTCCGTTTTAAACCGTCTCCAGCAGCAGAAACTTATGCACCACCAGAACAAACTGTCCCGATCGCATACGTTCTACAAACCTCACGAGACGCTGACCCACCATGCCTTCCCTCTTCGCATCCTGATTACCGTCGTTGTCTTGCTGGACTGCCATTCGTTGCTCCAGATTGCCCTTGGCGCCTGCACGTGGGGTATCAATTACCATGTCCGGCCTTTCGCCCTAACCACTGTCATCCTCTGTTGCTCCATCACCTGCAACATTAGTGGCGGTATCTTCATCATGATCGGGGATCGCAGAACGCGGAAGAGAGACGTCGTTGAACGATTGTTTCGGGAGAAACTGACCAGCGAAGCGATGAAGAAAATCAACAAGAAGAAAAGGAAGGCCGAGCAACGGATTGCCGAGGAAACTGGTGAGGACCCGCCGCGAGTGTCCACCGCATCGGCACGTCCTCAAGTGTACGAAGGCACTTGAGCGCTTCTCGTCATCTCGCCATATAATTCTATCTTTACGACCGAACACGAACTTTCTATTCTCTGATACCACCCTTTTGCTTGGATGAGTGAAATGTATTATAAATTTGTTTGCAGCTAGATTCTTGTTTTTGGTTCCATATGTCTGTTTACTCATACCTAATTTGGTTACGTCTTTGACATGCTTCCGTCAGCGACATATATACGGAGTAGTTTGACTGGTGTTGCCTCCATCATGTTTTTTTCGTGCAACTTTTGGGATGTGTACAACATTGAATTGGATGCATAACGTCATTAATATACGATCTATGAACAGATGCTATCGCAAGTGGAATCCGTAGTGGGAGGGGTGGGCGTCTGCCTGGCCCTCTAACTGGCGCCGGTGGACACGGCCAATACCGAAGTCTGGATTGGTATAGCGTCTCCCAATTAGTCTGGCCCTGCATCTTTGGATCTGCAGTACATATGATGTGACGTTATGGGGGAGGCTGAAAGCCAGATACTACAGAGTAGGATTATTTACCTGTTTATTTGCGACCGAATGCGTTTCGCACAATTTTACCTTCATTGCGATTGAAAATCGGCTGGATTTCCGACCATTTTCTCTGCGATTCCACGCGATGACTCATGGCGGTGGATAAGAAAGAGCCAACTCCTGCGACAGCGAAGCACACCGAAGACAAGGGAAGCAGCAGTGCGCCCAGGCCCGAAGGAGTAAAGACCAAAGGTTTGCAGAAGAAGGGAAACAAAGGGACAGTCCACACAAATTCAGGATTCTTGTGCGGTCCACCGGAATAATGGAGCCGGACAAAGGATCACTATCCACTCAGTGCCGGCGATGAGAGTCAGGCGTGGAGACGATTATGACGGGCCTGACCAGAAAGATGTTGGCAAGTGGAGCGGGCGCTACTGGACGGTTCGATCTCAGGGAGAATCGGATTGCTCATTGCGTAGTGTTTATTGTTATTCTGCAATATTAGGTAGGTCAGGTCAGGATGAGGGTACAATGGGGGACAGACTGACCGAGGGAACAGTGAGGGATGAGAATAGACAGAGGGTGTTGAGTGTTGACAGAGGGAGGTTGTAGTACGACAGAGGACAAGAGGACACATGATGTCAGTGCCTGAAAGGGCCTGAAGGCCAGACCGCCCGAAAGTACACGTCGTGACTGCGGCCAATCCAGGCATCTTCAGGCTGCCAGACTGCCCGGCCGGGACTAGCGCCACCGCCCTCGCTGCCTGCCCTTTTTCTCTCCTTCTCCTTTCTGCCCCCGTCGACCTCATCCTTCCTCTCAAGGCAAATCTCCATCTATCAAACACTAGATTTCCCCCCAAGTCAACCTTCCTGTATCTAGGGCACGAAGCTACCCTTTTCCTCTCCTCGCTCTCCTCAACAACCCCCCTCATCAAGTTTTTCCTTCCTTCTTCATTCACCAAGGAAACTTTCAAGGCAGCCTTTCAGCTCTCCTGAGTCCCTTGACACACACACACATTCGGTCCAAGTTCCCTACTACTTGCGATTGTCCAACCTGCTTCAATCCCACTTCAATCAACTTTGAATCTCAATCGACCTTTTGTGTCCTCAGCCATCAACATGTCTACTGCCGTCGACAACGCCACCGAGAACCAGGCCACCGCTCCTGCCCCCGCGACCACCGCCCCGGAGGCTACCACCAACGGTACTGCTCCTGCTGCCGCTCCCGCCCAGTCCACCGACGCGGCCGCCGCCAGTGCTGATGAAGGACGTCGGTTGTACATCGGAAACCTCGCGTATGCGACCACTGAGGGGGAGCTCAAGGAGTTCTTCAAGAGCTACAAGATGTAAGTGTTATGATTTTCCCCCGTTCGACCGGTGTTTATTGTGATCGCCCTGCGGGAGGGAGGTTTTCGCCCTTGCTAGTGGCAAGGAATTGGGAAGCTTCGGCTTGACTCACCCAACCGATCTTGCAACTTCCGAAATCTTTATCACTGTGATGTTGAATCATGAGTGGATGACGATATCATGAGAAGAAGCTTCGTACCTCCTCGCTGGAGTGCATTGCTTTCTTGACCGCGATCTTGCCTTCATGTCGTTTCCCAAGCTAATCGATCGTCTCAAACAGTGAGAGCGTCTCCATCCCCGTGAACCCTCGCACCAACCGCCCCGTTGGTTACGCCTTCGTGGACCTTGCTACCGCGCACGAGGCTTCCGCTGCCATCGAGGAGCTGTCCGGAAAGGAAATCCTCGCCCGCAAGGTCTCCGTCCAGCTGGCTCGCAAGCCCGAGCCTGCCGAGGCCAAGGCCGACGGTGCTGCCAGTGGCGGTGAGGGTGCCAGCGGCAATGAGGGCCGCAAGAGAGCCGGCGGTCGTACCCGTGGCCGCGGCCGCGGTCGCGCTCGTGGCGGTCGTGTCGGACGTGGAGGCCGTGCTGTAAGTTCCCACTTGCCTGACAAGACATCTATTCCCGTGTTGAGCTAACACAGCCGCAGTCTCAGACCGAACAGACCGCCGAGCCCGTCAACATTCCCGGCCAGGTCGCTCCTCTGACCGAGGTCACCAACCAGAACGACGCTGCTGCCACCACCGAGGCTGGCAAGCAGGCCGGTAAGCCTCGCGCTCCTCGTCCTCAGAAGCAGCGTGGACCCCCCGAGGACGGCATTCCCTCCAAGACCAAGGTCATGGTTGCCAACCTTCCTTATGACCTGACCGAGGACAAGGTATGTATCAAGATATTTCAGGTATCAATACAATGTGCTAACTTCCCTCCAGCTCAAGGAGATTTTCGCCAGCTACTCGCCCGTTTCCGCCAAGATCGCTCTGCGCCCCATTCCCCGCTTCATGATCAAGAAGCTCCAGGCCCGCAACGAGCGCCGCAAGGGCCGTGGTTTCGGTTTCGTCACCCTTGGCTCCGAGGAGCTCCAGGACAAGGCCGTCAAGGAAATGAACGGCAAGGAGATTGAGGGACGTGAGATCGCCGTCAAGGTCGCCATCGACAGCCCCGGCAAGGAGGACGACGCCATCGCCGGTGACAAGCCCGAGGAGACCGCCGCTGCTCCCGCGACCGAGACTGCTGCTCCCGCTGCTCCCGCGCAGGAGAACGCCGCTCCGGCTCCCGCCGCCGCGGCCGCTACTGCCACTGCTTAAATTAGGTTGACAAGTTTCGTTCTACCCTGAGCGAAGTTCTGAAATCCCCCGATTAAGTTCGTTGGGATCAGTTATCATTGAGGTGGATGTTGGGAAGTGACCGTCGTTTTATGGACGGGATCGAATCTTCATGGTGAAACATCGTCCGGATTGCGGTTTTTATTTTCTTGAAACACAAAAGCGAGGCCAAGCAAACACAAGAAAAGCTGTGGATATTGTTCCAGTCCCATATATGGGGTCTACTTGGGGGAGAGAAGACAGGAAAACGGAGAGGAGGACGGGGAATGGAGGAGGTTATATCTCAACTTCTGGATCTCCAGGGAGTCAGTCGATGGACGTGGAGAGAAGGAAAACGCCATAATGTGTTGTTTTGACGGAGACTTGCTAACGAATCTTGTTCTTCTGCTATACTGTATCTTAGCAATCATTTAGCTTATGATTAGCCGCAAGGCTGGCCTTGTAGTGTTTGTTTGGTTTCCAGATTCGATCCGTTTCCGTAGACAGTCCTTCGTAGACAGTTCCGTGGGATCTCTACAATGAGAGTCCCTGTCCAGAAGACTGACTAGAAATGTACCTGACATCTCAGATCTGATAGTCAGGCCGATCCGCGCGGGTGGCAAGACGGCGAGAGGGGCGGCGCCTCCGAACTTCTCCAAACTCCCCTTTCTCCCTGCGCAACCAACTTCCCGGATTCATCGTCTCGCCGCTGCCATTCATTTCTTTTTTGTTTGCTTGCTTGTCTTTGAGTCTTCTTCCTGCTCTGGTTGCCTTTTCATTCTTCGGCTCCTTTCGCTTAGTCTCTGACGACTAAGCTCCTTACCCCTGACATCATGTCGAAAATGTGGGAAGTCGACCCGGAGACGAAGGCCAAGGTATGTCATGCCCGACGCATCCCACGACCTTCGAGATTCGACCCGACTGACTTTCTGGATGACTGTATAGCTCCTTCTATACTCCAAAACCAACGGCAATGACCGCTGCTGCGACTGCGGCGCCCCCTCTCCCCAATGGGTTCGTCTTCCCCTGACCTTGACCTGACCCGTGCGGACTTCTTACGCACGCCCATAAACACCACTCTTTTCTCGCTTCGGACATGCCTATCTAACACCGAATGGACACCGGTCTGTGATCAAACAGGCATCTCCTAAATTCGGCACCTTCATCTGCCTAAACTGCGCCGGCACGCACCGCGGACTAGGCGTCCACATCTCCTTCGTGCGCTCCATCACCATGGACGCCTTTAAGAACTCCGAGACCCAGCGCATGGAACACGGCGGCAACGACACTTGGAAGACTTTCTTCGACGACCATCCCGTTACGCAGTCGGAGGGGCGCACCTTCGAGGACTCCACCATCAAAGAACGGTATGAGGGCGAGGTCGGAGAGGAGTATAAGGAACGGTTGGCGGCGAAGGTCGAGGGTCGCGAATATGATCCTGCGCTGGTGCAGAGGAATAACATCAACAATAAGAAAGCGGAGCAGCAGCCGTCGTCGAGGTCGAGCACGCCGTTAGCGGGCGGGAGTACGGGACGAGGGTCGCCGGCTGACGGGGAACGGCTTGGACGGACGGGAAGCACGAAGAAGGAGCGCAATGAGGCGTATTTTGCGAAACTGGGCTCGGAGAATGCGACGCGCTCGTCGACGTTGCCGCCCTCGCAGGGAGGCAAGTTTACGGGCTTTGGCGGGGGCTTGCCGGTCGAGGATTCGCCCTCGCGTGGTGGTGCGGGTGGTGCGAGGGGCGGCGCAGGGCGAGGCGTTCCCGGGTTCGATGACTTTCAGAAGGATCCTATGGCGGCACTGACGAAGGGGTTTGGGTGGTTTACGACGGCGGTGGGCAAGGGCGCGAAGACGATGAATGATTCGTATATCCAGCCCACGGCGAAGAGTGTATGTCCCTCCATCTGCTCTTATCTCCGCTTATTCTAGTCCTACACGAGACGAGACACATCCAGATTTAGAATTGCTAACCCGACGGGAAATCCAGCTCGCTGAGTCCGACTTCGCCGCCCAAGCGCGCATCCACGCCTCCACCTTCGGCCAGAACCTCCAGACCGGCGCGCGCGGCGCCGCAGACCACTTCAACCGCTTCGTGGAAGGGCCCGAAGAATCGCGCCGTCGCGGACGGGAAGATCCCGAGCGCAAGGACTTCTGGGATGATTTCTCGTCCCTCGGAAACGAGGAGAATCATCGTCGCACGGCTTCTAGGTCTAGTGCTATCGGAACGTCCGCTATGAAGCCGTCTACGACGTCTAGTCCGGCTGGCGCGACGACGAGTGCTGCTACTACTGCTGGTGCTGGTGGCGGTGGCAGTAGTACGACAGCTGCTCCGGCGGGCCGAAAGAGTCAGGATGAAGGGTGGGATGAGAATTGGTGATTGTATTGACATTGATCTTGACATTGGCATTGATTGGCATTAGATTTGTATTTAGCTAGTTCGTTGTGGTTGATTGTCTGTCTTCCTGGTTTACAGTTTCTCTAACTGAGACAGGCATAGGGACTGGACTGGACTGTGGGAGTGAAGTGGAGTGTTCCTTTTGTTGTCTTGGTTCATTGGTCAGATTCAGATTCAGATTCATGAGATGTTTATGTTTACATACATGCTTATGCTTATGCTTACTTGTGCTATGGTTTGATATGATCTAGCAAATTTGTGCTTGCACCGATGAAAAAGTGTCCCATAAGTACTGCGGTATGGCTCTCGTTTCTCACCTCCCAGACGAGTCATGACTCGAAGCCACCCCCATAATCTTCTGACGCGTTGGTTCTTGCTGGGTGGGGTACAGGGTGGTTCACTCACGTTGGATTTCTTGTCCACATGTCAGTAATCCCAACTCCTAATTGAATGAACAGCTCAGGCATCAATGCGTCATCACGTGAGTAGCCTATACTAGTCCGTCGCCGCAAGTCACCCACTGCATGCATGCATTCAAAACCCCTTCACTTGAAAGGATTTGTCCTTTCCAATGCAGTGGAATAGTTGTCATGCATGATGAACTTGAGGAGAAAGCGACCGTACATACCTTCATGATACACATGCGAGATGGTCAACCACGGTAGGAACAGAGCGTCTCTAGCGTTACATGGGGGGAGGGAATTCTTCCTGCTGGATGCATTTGCTAATTGCTGCTTATCACAGAGCTTTGGGAAAAAGCGGTTCAGCAGCTCGACAAAAGAGACCAACAAAAGATTAGACCTGGTGAGCGACAACTGGTGAGCCTCGAAAGCGTACTTTTAGGCGCTCAGAAGAAGCAGAAAGAGTGCAAGGACAAGCAATTGAAATACAGGAAGCGAGATGGAACTGAGGTGGAATTGCGCCAGGTCTTTGGCCGGGTGGTGCAGCGCCTGGTAAAGTTCAAGGCCATTGGTGATTCTGTGGCTGCGGTCGACTCAGCCCATCTGGCAGTTCCCTGGGCAGCAATTAGCTTGGTTCTTCAGGTCTGTGTGCAGCCAGAACCTTTTCTTCATTTTACTCTTCTTCTGTCCTTTTTGTTCTTCTTGCTGTTGAGAAGGCTAACCTACTCTCATATGCTAGATTGCAGTAAGCGATATTGAAAGTTATCAGACCGTGTTTGAAGGAATCGAGGCTTTCTCTAGCTTAGTCCCGCGATATGCGTTGTTTGAGAATTTGTACTTGCGCGCAATCTTCCCTCTTCAAGATGATTTGAAAAGTGCATTGGTGAAGCTGTATGTCATGGTGTTGCAATATCTTCTCAGGGCGGAAGAATATTGCGCCACGAGAACCATCAGTATGCACCCTCCCTTCTTGATAATGCCTACCTATTCTGGCCAACCATGAAAACTGAACTACCCGGAAACCAAACAGAGAGAATTGCCAAGGGTCTCATCCTTGCCTATAGTGAGTTTGACGGATGGATGGATGAGATCCGAGAACAACAGCGGATCGCAGACGAGTTGGCACGGTTGATCGATGTCCAGGGTAAGAATCTCTCTCGGGCCGGTACAGTCCAACTATAGCTGACTATGATTCCGGTTCAGTTAGCAGACAGGCGGACGACAAACTGGACTTGATGAAGAGTGAGCAAGATGCTTTGATGGAAGGCTTGCAGTATTTCCACCAGCCCATACAATCTATTCGCGATGATGTGTCAGATCTGGCAAATAGCTGGAAAAGTAAGCCCAAGCGCGATTGGTCTTATGAAAACAAGCTCACCAACTGATTTCAACATATAGAGCGTGAAAGAGACGAGCAAGAGGGCCGGATCCTGTCTTGGCTGTCTCCCTTGCCCTTAGTCAAGCTTCACAGGGAACGACTAGTGCCAAATTCTGGTCGCTGGATTTTCGAGGAAGAAAGCTACATACAATGGCGTGTCTCCAGCAAATCGTCTGCCTTATGGCTCCATGGTCTCCGTAAGATCTACATTGGTCGTATCACCCGCAATCAAGAATAGAGTAATAACTCGGTCTTTAGCGGGAACGGGCAAGAGTACTCTGGTGTATGTTTGACTTCTGTTTGAACTCAGATGGTGACAACATGAAGCCAAGGTTGATTGTATTTCAGGTCCACAATCATTGATAGCCTGCAGGCCACGTACGTGCATGCCCCAACTGGCCGTCTTGCCTACGCCTTTTTCTCGCGCAACAGGCCCGATCCACGCTGGAAAGACCCCGGAATCCTCCTGTGCTGCTTGGTGGCCCAACTCGCTCGCCCAGGACCATCGGCCCCAATGAGGGGAGATGTTATTCGCGCTTACGAGAAAATGGTAAAGGAAGAGGGCGACAATGCAGTAACACATGGAGCACGTCCTCTATGGAAAGATGCAATTCAGCTTCTCTTTGATCTTATAGACGAGGGAACCACAACTATCTGTATTGATGCAATTGACGAGTGCGATGAAGACCTCCTGGACGACTTCATGGAAGTGATTTATCGCCTACTGACTAGGACTGATGGAGGGCAAGTCAAAATACTCATCTCCAGTCGTCCATCGCTGAACGTTGCCGGTCGGCTTTCCTCTGGGCCACTTCTCTCCGTCGAAGTGGGCCATAATAGCACAGATCTTGAGGAATATGCTCGGGAAAGAGCCACAAAATGCGTGGAAAAGATGGGGAGTCCTGCTGACATCCAGCAAACCGAGGATGAGCTAACTAGACATCTAGTCAATGGCGCCCAAGGCATGTGAGTTCACAGTTTTCAAATTGTGTGCTAGGCAGGCTTGCCAGACTAACGAAGACAGGTTCCTTTGGGTCAAGCTGCGGGCCTCGGTGTTGCTTCGCCGATCTGGCCGTTCCATCTTCAAGGGGGAAATGTTCCAGCCATTTAAAGATCTACCCAAAGCTTTGGTGGATCTTTTTGAAGATATCTACATGAATATCAACAAAGACCCACAAGAATCAAAAGCCTACCAAACAGCACTCATTATATTCCGGTGGCTCTTGTGTGCACAGGCGCCTGTCCCAGTAGAGGACCTCGTTCGGGCTCTCGATGTGTATATGGCGGGAGACAGCATTGGCTGCGATGCAGGAGCCACAGATCTTTCCGTACCCATGGTGCTTGAGTGTTGTCAAGATCTGATCGTGGTTGACAAAGATAGCAACGAATTCCGTTTCGTCCACACGGCTGTACGTGACTTTCTTGAACAGAAAGATGAGTTGCAGCCGCAGGCACAGCATGCAGCTGTGGCTGATCTCTGTTTAGCCACTGTGAAAAGGTTTGCGTTCGAAACAATGGCTATATCCTCCCTAACTCGTGACATATTCTACTACTACGTAGTGGTTTATTGGGCTTTGCATGTAGCGCAGGCAGGCCAAGAGCATGGCATTGACACCATAAACGACGCATTGAATGACCTGTGCCAGGAGCTGCCGTGGTTCAAATCCTGGCTTCCCCAGATCCAGCCCGCTTCTTCGCTTGTTCTTGAGTGGAATGATCCCCATAAAGACAAAATAATCCAGGCTCTTAGCTCACCAGCTACCTCATTTTTCACTGCCTGTGCGTTTGGGTTCAACAATGTCGTTCACTACCTTGTACAATTGAAAAAGGATCTACTAGACAAGAGGAATGACTTGGGCGCCATGGGCCTCCACCTTGCCGCTGGATATGGTCACCTGGAAATTGCTGAGGCGCTCTGCAGAGCAGGAGCTGAAGTGGATCCCATCGATAATGACGGCGAGACCCCACTGATTCGGGCAGCTGCGGGGGGCTACGAGGCGCTGGTCTTGATGTTGCTAAAGGCAGGCGCCAGCGTTCGAACACAAGGCCGATGGTATGGTACAGCGCTACATGGCGCTGCCCTTCATGGTCATGTGGGTGCGGTCAGAATTCTTCTTGATCATGGCGCTGATATCAAGGCTACTGGTGGCCAGTTTGGAACGGCCCTACACGCCGCCTGTCTTCGCGGCCATGTGAGGGTAGTCAAGCGACTTCTGGACGCTGGAGCAGAGGCAGAAGTACCAGATCGAACCGAAATTAAAAGTGAGATACTCGAAGAGTCTAAAGGTGGGTGTACAACGGCCGCCAGCATCCTCAGTGTCGTTAAGGGCGTACTGGAACAGGAACGAGCAAGTGTATTCGGGACTCGCGGTTATCCATCTAAGCCGCGAGAGAGCGAGGCGACCTTTCAGTTACTGCTAGATCAAGACGTGGATTTGAACATCTTACCGGAAGGGTTTGGTTTACCATTGCATACTGCGGCTCGAGCGGGCCATGAAGCGGTAGTCAAAGTACTGCTAAACTATTCTGGGATATCACCGAACAGCATAGGCGGCGAATATGGATCTGCGCTGCAAGCTGCCGCCTTATCTGGCCGCACGAGCATTGTTAAACAGCTTCTCAATGCTAAAGCTTACCCCGACATGCAAGCTGGGAAGTACGGTACGGCGCTGATCGCAGCTTGCCGCCAGGCTAGCCTTGGAGTTGTGGAGCTTCTTCTGACATCGGGCGCTTCAGTAAACGTCCAGGCTGGCGTGTATGGCACCGCCCTTCATGCAGCGTGCCGCAGTGGTAATCATCTCTTGGTACAGCGGTTGTTGAATTCAGGAGCCGATGTCAAATTGACCGGGGGGGAATATTGCACCGCTTTACAAGCAGCAGCTCGAGATGGATATGAAAAGTTAGTGCAGCTTTTACTTCAGCACGGTGCTGATGTCAATGTCAAGGGCGGATCTTTTGGGAGTGCTCTGCAGGCTGCCGCTGTGGGTGGCTATAAGCGGGTGGTGATGTTGTTGAAGGCCGACGCAGATGTGGACGATGGTCTGGAGCTTGCCTGTCTGGGTGGTCACCAAGAAGTTGCTGAGCTTCTGCTGGCCTACGGATCAGATCTGAATCACTCTAGCCGTGCCTTCAAGAGCCCGCTACAAGCGGCACTGGTAGGACGCCACGCTTCCCTCGCGCGGTGGCTACTTGAAAAGGGGGCCAAAGCTATCAGTTCCTCTTGGGGCACAAGTCTCCAACTTGCAGCACTGGCTGGGGATGCGGAGCTCGTTGGCTTATGCCTCAAACAGGGCGCAGACCCTTGGGAAAAGGCCTGTGTGATTGACGAAAAGGGACTCCAGCAATTCGGCGTCAACCTACCAATTTGTACCAAAGGGTCTTCTCCATTTCCCATGGTAATCGCGGTGGCGGGAGGTTATATCCAGATTGTCACGCTATTACTGGATGCGCAACCACCCGACGCCTCTATGAGAAGTGATGATCGCGACAACTCCAATGATGAATTCAGTTCTGACTTTCACGATATGTACTTGGCCTGGTCCCCTGTCCAACGCGGCCTGTATGATGCACTGCTGTTGGCATTAGAGACAAACCAAGAGGAAATAGTCAGCCTACTGCTGCACCATGCTCTTCCCATTGATCCTGAAACAATTGAGTATGCATGTGGAATGGCGAAACCTAGCGTGGTAATTTCCTTGCTAGAACTAGCAGAGAAACATACGCCAGAGCAGAATAACCACTACAAAAACCTGTATGCCCTATCAAAGGCGGCCAGGAACGGAAAGCTCGAGCTCGTGGAGCTACTCTTGCCGCGGGTTGTGAAGAGCAAGAAATTGGTTTCAGGCGATCTGGCAGAAGCTCTACACAATGCAGTATATTGTGAGAGTCTGGAGATGGTCAACCAGTTGCTTGAATATGGTGCGGATCCTACCCTGGAGTCTGACTCCTTCAAACAATCCTGCTATGCCAAGCTCGATTTTAACGGGGTTACATTGAGCGCGGCAGTGAGTGATGGGCAGAGAGACACTGTGCGGGCCATGCTGGTTAATAAAGCAAGCATTGACATGAGTGACTATTATTACGGCACAGTTCTCCAGAGGGCCGCACATACTGGCGCGGAAGACATACTTACCGACCTGCTGGACAGTGGTGCCGACGTAAATGCTGTCGGTGGCTTCTACGGCACGGCAGTGCAGGCGGCAGCAGCGGGTGGGCACGAGAGCATTGTGCAACGACTCATTTGTGCCGGAGCAAACCTGCACTACCAAGGTGGGCTACCGGACATATGGGTGTCTCGAGAGATACAGCAGGATTGGCAAAATTATTGCTCAAGTGAGGATCTGCAGTGGTGGAAGAAACTCACCAAGAAGTTCAACCAGGTTGCCGAAGCACACCCGATACGGAAGCAAAGTGGCTTTCATGGCACCGCACTTCAAGCAGCTGCAGTGACAGGAAATGCCAAGATTGTGGCCATGCTGATAGAGGCTGGTGCAGACATCAACGACATCGACTGGTTCGGACAAACGCCCCTCCACCGGGCCGCGTACTACGGGCACAGCGTGGTAGTGACTCTTTTACTGGCCAAGGGGGCCGATATTGAAGCTATCGACCGTGAAGGCCGCAGTCCCATTCTTCTCGCTGCATCAATGGGCCATCGAGAGATATTCGCTTGCCTTTTGACCTTAGCGACGGAATCTGGTACTAACTCTGTGGTCCAGGAACAGCAGCTGCTCCATTCGGCATCACGATATGGGCATATTGGTATCATTGAACACCTGATGGCTGAGAGAAACATCGTGGAGCGATTAGATGACAACGGGCAGACTGCTTTGTTTATCGCCGCCTCAAATGGGCAATGCCCAACAGTGCGCTTTCTCATCGACAAAGGGAGCGATATCCATCATCGCGCTCATGACAGACGAACAGCACTCCACTTTGCCGCAGAGTCTGGCCATGATGATGTAGCTCGTCTCCTTTTGAAATTCGGGGCCAACATGCTTGCAGTGGACAACAGTGGCCAGTCAGCGTTGCATTATGCGGCTTCAAATGGCCATAGTAAAGTGGTTTATCTCCTCATGGAGCAAGGTGCACCACCAAATCTACAGGATTACTCGGGCATGACACCACTGCATCTCGCAGTTCGTTCAGAGAGCAGTGAAACAATCGTGTTCTTGCTCGACAAGGGAGCCAACGTCAATGCAAAGGCCAACAACGGGGATACACCCCTCGAGTCCTTACCGCGGTCTGGAGCTCATTTGAGGAGCCTGCTCCTCAGACGTGGAGCAACGGATTTCAGTGATGGAGAAGAGCCCTCTGATATCACAAGAAACTCATCTAGTGCAAGTGATTTTGTATCAAACAGGCATCGGTGGAATACATACAGGCGTCGGTGGAGCAGCCCCGTGGGTTCGCGAAGGTGGCACCGCCGTCGTGGCAGGAGCGAAAGTACCGGCATGGAGTCGAAGGACGCAATTTGCTCGAGTGAGATGGGTTCCATATCAGAGAGGCCTTCTCTTCTTCCTGAAAATAGGGTTGAAATAGATCGTGACAATGTCGCTGATCCTGAAAGAAAGGACGATAAAAAGAATGAAGATGTGGCTGATAAACAGAATTCTAATCATATGACTAGGATGACTGGGGAGGTATACATGTTCATGATTACAATAATGATCATGATGGTAGTGGTGTTACTGGCGCTAATGATGGTTACAGTAGTGGTTATAACGATCGTGATGTGGACCATGCTGAGTATCATCATGATGAGATGGGCAATGAAAATACTATCTTAGTTGCCATATGAAGGAAGATTGAATGCTCAATGCTAGCGAGTTGTTTTAATCTACTTTATTCCTGTTTGATTTAGACCTTTCGAGCCCACAAATCCTCACGGCCCTGTTCCAGGACATTCCAATTTCCTTTATCCAGACACAATTGCGGTTTTGATAATCAGCCCTGCCAACTGACCATAGTCGTAACAGCACAATTAATAGGGCCCATTATAAATGACACCCCCATTCCGATTTGAATGCTTAATAAGGCTAAGATGTAAGTGCTATGAATCGTAACACTACTCTTCAAAATGCGTGAGCTTGTTGATTCGGCTGGACTTAATTCGCGATGCCAACCGTCAAGCTCCCAAGAGGGCCAGAGCCCTATTAGGCTATTTGGAGGAGCTGCTTTGTTGATTGAGTGGAATGATGATCTAAAGCTTTGATGCGCTCAGAGTGTGCATACAAAGAGATGTTTGGCTGTAAGCACTAGTACTTCGCTAACCAGTTGCATTATATTAGTGGCGGGTAACTTGGGCTTATAAGTTCCGCATATCAAGGTCAGTCATATCATCAGATTCAGGGACACTGATACATCAGTATATGCCGTAATTCGAGCTGTCTGGGTCGCTTCAACTGCCTGGGCCCTTGGTTGACGATGCAGCCCTCGCGAAGACGCAAGGTGTCATCTTGCATTCCTTGCTATACTAAAAAGCAAAAGGTATTGTATAATGATACATTTCATGATCAGGGAACAGCAATCTTTTCATTTCCCTAACGATTGGCACCCTTCTCTGACTGTTAGGGCAGTGTAACCGCCAACATCCCTGTGATCACTGCACTCGTCGTCGCCGTCCGGAAGACTGTGTTTATTACCCATCGGAAGATATCGACTCTACTGGTGATTCCCTATTGCCGACACCAAGTCAAACAGATGAGCGGAATAGCGGTGTCGGTGTTGGTAGTTTCAATATGATTTCCGAGTTGGAATCAATCAGTCGTCCAACAAGACATACACCTTCGTCTCTGGTGGATGTCTTTGGGTATTCCGAAGACAGCCAAACCAATACGATATCCCTTGTGCGGAGAGTATGTTAAATTATGTCTACATTCCAAGATAGAATTCGTTTGATGTGGCATTGGTTCAACGGTGACATATGTTTTCCGGACAGGTGGAGCAACGCCACGAAGACGAACAAAATAGCAGTCGTCGAAATCTGCCGCCTAAAACGGATTGCGAAATTCAGCAGTGCCTAGAAAAGGTCCCCGAGGGCCCGATCTTGGACTTCCTGATCGACTACTTTGTGCGCGAAGTAAACTGGTACGTACTGCATATACTGTCTGGCAATCCTAAGAATAAGGTGCCTACAGTATCTAACCGGCCCGGTGCGAGATGTCTAGGATGGACCAGCTTGTTCACCTCCCTTGGCTCCTAAACCAATACCAACTTTGGCGGACCGTCAAAGCGCCGTCGTCTATCTTCGAGATCGAGTTCACGGTTCTCCTTCTGAGGATATGCTCGTATACATCCGAATTTCTCCCTTCTCCGTCCTGCACCATTGACAGGATCCGGGGCATATCTTTGGCGGATATTCGCCACTCTTGCGACGAGGCTGCTGACAGTCTTTTGAAACTGGGTCTTCGCTTCGATTCTCAGGGTGGTCTTCTTCGCGTCCAACATCTAGCTTTTGCTGGATTAAAGGCCAGGTGCGAGGGACGGATGAATGAGTTCCGACATGCGCTGAGGTCCACAATTCAAGTGGCTCAACAGATTGGAGCCGATAAAGACGCCTCTCGAGGCCTGGACGAGTTAGAGAAAGAAACGCGCCGCAGGATCTTCTGCAACCTGTATATATGGGACAGGTGAGTACAGCAAGACAAGAATACGATGTTGTTCCCCGACCTATCAACCGCTTATGCTAACTAACTGTACAGCCATCTATCGCGGCAGTCAGACCGCATTCCAATTCTTCCTGGTGGGTTAGAGCCGGAGAATATGCCGCGCATGCGCCTTGGTCCCGATATAGATGAGGACGCTCATGGCTTCGAAGTATTCACCGAGCGCATTTCCCAAGCTCGCCTGGCGAATTTCTGGAAGGCCACGGGCCCACGTTTAGGATCCAAGTATGATATCCTTGTAGCCGAAGAGAGATATGAAAAGTTCTGCAGCCAGTTTCTGTCCACACTGCAATCTGCTTTTGCACTCCAACCAGATAAGCAGTGGGACAAGCAGCTTCCCATGCTCCCTCAACAAAGAGAGATATTGTTTATCTCTATCTTCGAGTCTCTGTGCTACAACTTTCGGCCGGTGCTGTTCCTGGAGACCAGTGAGGTCCAGGATCTTCCACTGTACAAGCAACTCTTGGTACAGTCCCAACGAAAGGCGTTGGCGGCTGCGGCACTTTTTGTTCTACAGGGGGTCGAAAGACTGCATGCTCTGCTTGGGGGCGCTCAAACGCGGTATACGGGAATCATTCAGCCGACGTTTGAAGCTGCAGTGCTTCTAGTATCACTCTGCGTTGATCCAAGCTTTCTTGGTCTTTCAATCGGGGAGGAAAGAATGGAGAATGTCGAGGTTGAAGACAATCGTCCTACAACTATGACTACTACTACCAGGATCGATCCTCTACGGACCGACATGATAAACCTCAGACGAGAGGAGTGCATCCGAGCAATATGGAATGCACTCAGTCGCCTGCAGATGCTTGCGGAAGTCAGCAAAATGGCAGACGTGGGAGCGCAAACTCTTGCCGATTTGGTCCGTAAACTGGACAAGTAGGCCGCAGGCGCACAGAGAATGGAAGAGACGAGAGAGACGAAGAAAGCTTCGATTCTAGTAGGGGGTATTCGATGTGAATGTTGATATGAATATGAGCTAGGGCTGTTCCATTTGGCTCCTAGCCGTTGAACTGAAGTCAACTGCATGGTCTCTTACTTTGACACTTACATATCATGATTCAACTTTTCGCGCGATCTTATTCCTCGTTGTCAATCTACTCATAGATACACATTGTGACCCTTCTACTTGGGGCAGTTGTTCATACTGTGTGTATACACATACCTACCAGTTAATAATGTTGTCAGTCTCGCCTGATCCCAGCGGCATAGGCAAAAACAAACAAAACAATAGCCAGAGGCCTCACGCGGGAGCAACACCACTTGGTACACCGAACAACTTTTCGCGGCGCATTCCCAGGCTCAAGACGGCCACAAGACCACCACCGGCGATGGTCAGGATGTATGTATCGTCAATAGCACTGACGATGGCGTCAAGCACGCGAGCCTTGAGAGCTGAAGATAGGTTTTGAACGAGGCCTGATTGGGCACCTAGAATGGCAGCTTGAATATCGGCCGAGGGTACGTCTGGCAGGATGTGTTCAATCTTGCCGAGGCTGTTGTTCAGGAGGACGGCGTTACCAATAGCCAGAGCGGTGGTAATACCGATGAACTGGGCCAAGGTGATGAACCCGATGGCTGGCGCGATATTTTCGGGCGAAACAACAGCCTGGACGACGGAAATCGGAGCTTGCAGAAACATGCCAACTCCGACACCCAGCAGTACACTGTAGCCGTACACTCGACTCTGGGAGGTGTTCTGATCAATCGTGTACATAAGAGCTGACCCGGCTACAATCAGCAGCCCGCCTACCAAGAACCAAGGCATGTAGTAGCCAAGTCGTGCCATCAGGTTGCCGTTGGCAAAGACAAAGACCACCATGACTACCACAAACGGGAGTAGCCGCACACCGGCATCCAGGGGTCCGTCGTCGCGCGTGAATTGGAAGAACAGAGGCACCATATAAATTGGGATAAAGGCACAGGCGCCACCAGCTGCAGTAGCCGCGAAGAGGATGAGAACGGTTCGTGATCGGAAGAACTGCACCGGAATGATACGCCGTGGCAAAGCCACGCCGATGGTCCAAACCTGTTGAATGCCCAGAGCAATAAGCAAGACTCCTGACACGACGAACATCGCGATGATGCGTCCAGAGCTCCACGGGTAGGTGACGCCGCCCAGATTGATGGCCAAGATTAATGCAGTCAGAACTCCGGACTGAAGCACGATGCCTGGGTAATCAAGCTCAGAGGAACGTTCTCGGATGGAGGCACCAGGGCGAGGGTCCTTGCTGGGGATCAGGAAAATGTAGAAGGGGGCACAGACGGCCCCGATAAAGAGGTTGATATAGAAGGCCCATCGCCAGCCCACCGAAGACTCGCTGAAGGCACCGCCAATTACGGGGCCCAAGACAATCCCTAGACCCCAAGAGAAGCCAGTACATGAGACATAGACTGGACGCTCGGAGATCGTTGTGGTCATAGCAATGAGCGTCATACACCCGACATACAGACCTGATCCCCCCACACCGGCAATGGCGCGGCCCAGGATCATGACATTCATGGACGGAGCCGCTCCGCAAATGGCAGAGCCGACCTCAAAGAGAATCACATGGAAGATATAGAACCACTTGGCATTGAAGTTACCGTATATACGGCCCCAAGCCAAGTTGGTGGCCGTCGCGCTCAACAGGAACGCAACACTGAGCCATGAAAGCTTCGTGATACCACCGAGATCCTGGACGATAATCGGCTGGAGGTCAGCCACCACCGTCGCGTCCAGCGCATATAGGAATGTTGATGCCAGGATAGCTGCCAGGGTTGAGTACCACTTCCAACCATTAATGTCTCGCGGGGGGGCCTCCGGCTCGGTGAGAGGATCGATTGCTGGGTATTGCTGTTTGTCGTCGTAGGAACCTCCTGCACGACTAGTCGACCCAGACTCGTCGAGCCTTTTGTCTTCCAGGTGACTCCCAGCCAACTCGTGGTTGCCATCGAATACCACCATAGCAGCGACAGTATGATCTATCCGAGTTCAAGTAGCTTCTGGAGAAAGAGGAGGGAGGTAATAGTAAAGAAGAGAATATAGCACTGAAAAGCAATCCTAGAAAAGTGTATCTGCCGCCGTGATACTTACTACCCCGATTCTGAGGAAGAAGAGTGTTCTTATGGTAAACATACCAAACACTATTCCCAATGGTAGGCGTTTTTGCACCGCTTCGATTTGTAAGACCATTTGCAATGCATGGTGACTTCTCTCTTGTATACTGGTATAACTAGTAATCAGTAACCAGTAGTAACCTGATGGAATAGCTGAATATCAAACGAGCCCAATGGGTTTGTTGGCTAAGGCCGACGGTTTGTCATGTTCGGCCGACATTATTCGGCCTAAATTTATAATCAACAGTCCTTGACTAAGGAGAAAAGCTTTGATTGTGAGCACCCGCAACCGAGCAAAGAGGTGGCTCGGCGGGTGGAGTTTGTATGACGGTTCATATGGCATAAGTCCATGTTGGTCATTTTGGCTCAAGGAGGTTGCAGGTTGTGGAACTCGAAGCGCCTTGTTGTTGACCGTCTGGACAGCCATTACCTCTCCCAGGAGGCGGTCTGCACCATTCGGCAGAACCTAGGCCATATGGCAGGCTGGGTGCCTGAGGTTACAATCCCCAAACATATCCATGAATGCAATTAACCCTCGGGAACATAATGAAGAAATCTAGCAAAGTAGGAATGATCTATAGAAGGAAATGTCTGATTACAACAAAGAATAGTCTCTGTTTTAATATATAGACGCCTGCTCGATTATCCTAAAGCGGCGGCGCCGAGAACAGGAAATCTACAATTAGGTATTCTAGATTCTGGTTTGTATAGACTAGGTACATGACTACTGATACATCAACATCCCATTCCACAATTAACTTCAGCTAGCCCAGGCCATATTCTATTGAAGTATGCTATGCCAAGCATGTTAAATCATCTCTCCCCTCAACTCTGAAAGCACCGCCTTCTGCCTCGGTGGACTCATCTTCTCGAACCGATCAACACTCATCACGAACGTGCCTCGTCCGGCACTCAAGCTTCTCAGATGCTTCAAGTACCCGACCATTTCCTTCAACGGCACCTTGGCGGTGATGGTGCGCGGACGGACCGCAGTCCCAGATGCAGGGATTTCCGCACCCACGGACGGCGTCTCGAATGGGTCAGGGGGCGCGTAGACCCTGCTGGGGTCGATGGGTGGGAGGTCGAGATCCTCGGCTCCCTGCGGGGATGGGGAGATGTCGGTGGCGGGGAGGGGGATTTCTTCGTCCAGCGAGATGATGTGACCGCCGCGCGAGGACGAGATGTCGTGGACCACGGCACCGAGGCTAGCTTCGTCGATGCTGATGATGACGTTCATCAGGGGCTCCATCATTGCGGTGCCGCCTGTCCTGCCGGAGGAGAGGGCTCGGAGGGCGGAGGATGTGGCGAGGCGCGCGGCGGCGGAGAGAGCAGCTGGCGTAGTGTCGCTACCGAAGAGATGCGAGACCGGGTCGATAGTGAGGGTGACGCGCGTGCTGTGCATGGGGAAGGTGAATTGGGGTCCGCGGGCGAGGGCCGCTAGACAGCCGTTTGTCAGGGCTTTTTGGAATGTGGCCACGTCGAGACCCGGTGGGAGGAGGGGACTTTCTTGGACGCCGCGCTTGTTGACCTCCACCTGCAGGTCTGGAGCGAGAATGATGATTTGATTGCCCTCGGTGGTAAGGACGGCAAGGGCGTCGTCGTCTGGTGGAGACGCGGATTCGGGGCCGTCGAAGGGTTCGATGGATGCCGTGCATCCGGCCTTGCCTTTACGTCCGGCGATCTCGCGATCGAAAGTCTGAGTGACAGGTCCGGCGTTGTCCAGAGGGCACTCGCGGTATCCGATCTCGATGCGGCCCATAGATGCCTTGGCCTTGAGGTCGTTGAGGAGGCGATCACGGGCGATCTCCAGATGAAGCTCGCCCATGCCGCTGAGGAGGGTTTGGCCAGAGTCCTCGTCCGTGGTGACATGTAGACTGGGGTCTTCTCGGAGGAGCATGGCCAGCGATTCCTGCATACGCTTTTCCTCGCCCAGACTGTGAGGTTCGACGCTGGCAAAGAAGACCGGCGGCGGCACGTTGATCGGACGGAGTTGGAGCGTGCCGAGAGGCTCGGGCGGCTGCGCCTTGCTGCCGCCATATGTGACAAGCGTATCTCCGGTTCGGGTGTGTTTGAGACCGACGACGACTCCAATATGACCTTCGGGGATGGAGTCAACCTCCACGGCATCGTTGGCGTACATTTTGAGCAAACGGGGCGCTCGTTCGGAGACGCCAAGGTTGGTGTTGAACAGAGTGCTGTTCCTGTCTAGCGACCCCGAGTAGACGCGCACATACACCAGCACTCCTCGCTTGGGATCGTTGACCACCTTGAATGCCAGCGCGCAGCTCTGCAGGCTTTCGATAGCAATGCGGGAATCTGCCTGCACGGCGGACTTCTTCTTGGATTTACCTTTGGGGGCGGTCTTTTGGCTCTGTTCCGCGAGAAGATCACCCGAAAGCAGACGACGAAGACCGCCTTTGACGCCGCCAATGCTGACTTCTGGATCTGGTGTTTCCAGAGGACTGGGGAGGAGGTTGGTCACGACGTCGAGCAGAGGCTGGACTCCGATGTTGCGGAAACTGGCGCCGGCGAAGACGGGGATGATCTTCCGCCCTTCCTCCCGCAGAAGGCACCGACGCAGGCTCTCCAAGATATCGTGGGCCGGTACGGCCAGATGGTCCTCGCATTCGAAAAACTTTTCGACCATGATCTCGTCATGTTCACTCAACAGCTCGACTAGGGCCGTTCTAGCACGTCGTAACTCCTGTGCCAGCTGCCTCTCCTCTCCATCTAATTGCTCCAAGCTGTACATTTTGACCGACTTGCCGTCACCGTCATCCCATCGCAGCCCCTGCAGGTTGATGGCATCTGCCACGCCAATAAAGCGGCCTTGTCCGCCTTCGAACCACGGGATCTGACAGACAGCGGGCCAGCCCTCCAGTCGCGAGGCAACCTCGCGGACTGTTCTCCCAAAGGCAGCGCCGTTCCGGTCCAACTTGTTGACGTAGACCACTCTCGGGATCCGATAGGAGCTGGCTTGGTGCCACACTTTCTCCGTTTGAGCTTCCACGCCCGCCACGCCGTCCAAAATACACACAGCGCCGTCGAGAATGCGTAGCGATCTCATGACCTCAAATGTAAAGTCCGCATGGCCAGGCGTATCGATGAGATTGACCGTATGCGGGTACGCAGACCGAGGAGTGCCCGGCGCTGGTTGCACAGCTGCATTCTCCCCTCCGGCAGCTTGCGGCGGCCAGTGGAACGTAATGGCTGCCGACTGGATAGTGATGCCTCGCGCTCGCTCAGCAGGTAAAAAGTCCGTCACCGTTGACCCCTCATCTACGTCTCCTAGCCGTCTCGTGAATCCACTGTAATACAGCATGCGCTCCGTGGTGGTGGTTTTGCCCGCATCGATATGGGCGATGATGCCGATATTCCTGGTGCGGTCGAGCGAGTCCACATTGCCCATGGCCAGAGATGTCGAAAATCCATTGGATCTAGGAAGATTGAGTCGCGACGGACTTTGAAGCAAAGATGCGCTGCATCCCAGGCGACTGACAGGTCGGCCTATAGGCCGCACCGGGTGAGAGGCGCGCAAGAATAGCGCCGCGACCATGACAGCAATTGCCTGTCGGAGTAGGGATTAGAAAGATTAATAATAATTAGTGCATGTCTTTTTTGCAATCCAATGCGTCAAGGGAGCTCCGAGCAGAGCGACGTGGGCATGAGAGTAAAAGAAAGACAAGAAAGAGAAGACAAGATGGAAAGTCGGAGCTGCCAATGCCAATGCGGAGGTGTGCCTGACCAATCAGGCGCCGCAGGCACCAACGACGTAACCTTCTCCGAACACAACTCTCTCTGTCTCTCTCTTGTTCTCTCGTTCTCTCTCCGTCTGTCTGTCCGTCTCTGTGTCTGCCTGCTGCTTTCGCCATCCCCGCTGGTTCCAATCTCTATCAGGAGGGATCACAAGTACGTTTTTCTCTACCCACAATTATATTTTCTACTCAAACAATGCTGACGGCTCTCTCCAGCGGAGCCGATTAATCTCTCTCCCTCTCCCCCACACCCGAAGACACCCTGACAGACCATGGACTACTCCTCCATATCGCAAGACCCGGCAACGGGCACCTCTCCCTGGGCCTCCCCTCGAACAAACGAGTCCGCCTATCAAGCCTCCTCGACAAGCGATATCCCTCCGTCCCCCTTGCCCCCACACGAATCCGCATACGACGCGGAAAGGGATACGCAGCCCGGCGATGGCTCTCGGACCGACCAACCCACAGCTGAGGGTGAAACCGACTCTCCAGATCTATCGGGGCGACTACAAAACACTCAGCTGAATGACCCGGCCAACGCAACCTCTCAATCGGGACAGCAATACGGTCAACATCCATCTCAGTTGCCCGCTCGCTATCAGACGGGGGCTAGGCAGCACGCCTGGCAACAACAGCAACAGCACCAACAACCACCCCCTCCTGTGTACAGAATTCAAGCCAAGATTACCGCGTTGGAGAGAATCGGAAAAAAGGACCCTATTCTTCGGTTTGATGTCCACGTAAGTTTTTCGCAGCTCGCGGTGTGAAAGTCGCACATCTAACCGGTAACCGACCTTCAGACCAATGTCCCCAAATTTCGAACCACACAGTACCGCGACGTCCGCCGCACCCATAACGAATTCATCAAGCTTGCAGAGCATTTGATGTCGGCAAACCCCGAAACCTTTGTCCCTGCCGTCCCCCCGCCATTGACCCCCGCCGGTGCCGGGACCGAAGAGGATGAGATTCGTGTGAAATCTTCGATGCAGCGATGGCTGAACGTCGTGATGGGGAACGATGTCCTCATTCACGATGATGAAGTGATCCTGTTTGTCGAGAGCGACTTCGGATACAGCCCCGTTGTGCGGATGAAGCAGCCGGCAACGGGAATGCGAAGAAAGGTCCTGAAGCAGTTCGCTCCGCCGCCCGACGACACACCCGAGCTGCAGAATGCCCGACCGACGGTGAAGCTGTTCTATCTGGGCAGTATGGATGCGAGCCACAAGGTGGACCGGGTTGTTAAGGGCCGACGAGGTATACCCGAGGAATTCTGCTGGTTCTCATCGCGGAGGTGCTGATAATCATCTAGGACTTGGTCTTGCGGAATCGGACTTTGGCGTCAAGCTGGGACAGATGCACGTGCAAGAAACACACCCGGGTCTCGCCAATGCTTATCGCAAGCTGGGCAAGGTCATCCAGACGGTCGGCGACTACCACGCAGTCCAAGCTACTGCCGAGGCGACCACGCTCGGGGAACCCCTGGGCTACCATTCATCCGACGCCTTCATCGTGAAAGAAACCCTCACCAACCGCCATATTCTCCTTCGCGATCTGCTTCAGGCCCAGCAGGCTACGCGCAGCAAGCGCGCGGCCGCCGACCGACTGAAAGTCAGCTCCTCCGTTCGACCGGACAAGGTGGACGAGGCGATCAACGCACTGGAGGAGGCCGAGAACAACGAGAGCTACCTGACCAAGAAAACGCAGCGTGTGACGGCCAACCTGCTGGCGGAGAAGCGCCGCTGGTTTGAGCGCACCTCCGGAGACCTGTTGACCAGCTTGCGGGAGTACACGCTCCGTCAGATCGAGGCCGAGCGCAGAACGCTTGCGACCATGGAGAGCGTTCGACCGGACATCCGGGCCATCGACTCGTCCGGCGGATTGAGCCGTCTGGGTCGCGAGGCTCATCCCGCCCAGCGACGACCGAACCTGGGCTCGAGCCAGGGCCCCAAGGGCGATGCGTGGAGTGGCATTCCTCGTCGCAGCGACAGTCTCGGACGTAGTCTGAGCGGCAGCATGATCTCGCCTACCCCTGATGATGACGACGAGGTCAATGGCCAGGGCAAAGGCAGACTACGCTCTGCCAGTGGCGTCAGCTCTATCGTCGAGGAAGATGACGACGACCGGCTTGACGCGCGCAATGCAGCAAGTCGACTAGCTACCAGTACCTTTTGAGCGTGATCCTGTAAATTATGGGCATACATGATTCTGTGATTCCCCTACGACTGATTTTTCTTATCCGTTTTCCTTTCCAGCGAGAATAAGTTGCAAGGGTAGTGGATTTCTTCTTTTTGTCATTGATCAAGCTGTTTATTTATTTCATATTCGACGTCACCTTTTTTCCTGCTAGTTTTAGCTGTAAGTGAACTAGTATCCGATTGATTGTATCATTGTCCAAGTCTACTTCTTACTCTCGCGCCAAATCTCATCCTCCGTCTATCTGAATACAACCTCAACCATGAACTATACAAACACACTTCCTCACTTAGACCTCGTAGAACCAGAACCATCTTTCCCCCCAACAATCCCCTCAATAATCTCCCTCACGCCATCAAAATGCCCCTCCCACCTCTCCGCCCCATCATCCGGCACCTCAAACCACCCCGCCTTCTCCCTCAAATAAATATGCCGCGCGGGTCTCGGCACAATCCCAGAATCAGCAGCCTGATCAATCGTCCCCGCCGCAATCCCCACCATCTCGGGGCTGAAATCATACCGCATGGACACCGTCGCGCCGCAGCGCGAACACACGCTTCTTGTCGCGAACGTGCTGGATCGGCGGGACAGGAGGTCTGGTTCGCCGTGCGTGAAGACGATGCTCGTGGAGGGAAAGATTGCCCAGGTTTGGTACGCCGCGCCGGATTGTTTTCGGCAGGTCGTGCAGTGGCAGTTGTTTAGGATGCTTGGGGGCGTGGAGGAGGTATATTGGATGTGGGCGCAGGCGCAGGAGCCGGTCAGGAGTTGTTGCATGGGTGGTAGTGATGAGGTGGGCATGTTTTGGTCGGTAGGAGCGATATACTATGGTAGGAGATGAGTTAAGTGCAGTTTGGATGTATACTTCGGTAGTTGGTCATATTTATGTATAGTATAGCTTGGTCGAGTGATCTACTTTGCCCCGCTGAGCAGACAATCAGGGAAGGAGATGGTCTCATCCTCTCCAATTTTGGCCCCGGAAGTACGGAGAGCTCGGGTATGTACTGTGTTAAGATCAATTCTACGTAAGTAGAAAATAGGCGTTATAGTACATTCTATTTTGTTTCTTTCTTCCTGTGAATCAATAACGCTCATTCCGAGTTTGAAGATCATAAGACTACTATATCTTTGATTACCGCAGTCTCTACCATCTGGCACTGAAACTTTCACATTTTATACAGGAATCTACGTGAAGTTATGTTGCAGCGTTGGTTGGTCTAGCCTTTCAAGTATAAGCACTACTACTACTAGAGTGTTAAGCATAACTGGCGCCTAACGTGCGGGCGAGATTAACGGGCTCTTGTTTCGTCAAGAGAGGTTTTTAGTTAACCGTCATTATATTAAATCATGAGTAATCGAGCTGAATCATGAACGATTGAGCTCCATCAACTATATCTCTAGTGTATCATCCAGATGTTCAGCCACCGAGCAACACAAGGCTGCAAGGCCCCCATTGTAGATCATCTTGGGATGCCTGGCAGCCTGACCCACCGAACTGTTGGTTTGGCCGAAGATTCAACTATAAATTTATAGCCAGTTTCCAGATGTCCTTCTAAAAATATCTTTCAAACTTTAGAGTCAGTACCCCAGATACTCAGCAATAACCCCTAAGATTTCAATTGACAAAATGACCTGGACAACATTCATCACGGCCCCCGCCGTATCAGTCAAGGTATGTACATATCAAAAGTGCCATCTACACACTCAGTTGCAAAACACAAAAGCTCTAACATACAAACGTCCAGCAAATCCACAAAGCCCTCCTCTCCCTCGAAGACTACGAATACGGCTGCGACCACTCCTGGACCCTCTTCCACAACCTGTCTCATCTCGACGACGATGACGCCCACGACCTCACAGAACCCAGCATCCCGCCACTAGACCTCGACGGCGCCGATACTCTCGACGCCAGCAACAATGCTTTCGCTGGGAAGACCCCCGACGAGATCTATGCTTTCATCCAGGCGAACGAAGAGAAGATGTCTGATAAGGACCTCACAACCGGCAATTGGTTGATCATCGATGAGCGGGGGTTCCGGACGGAGACGTGTTTGGTGTGTTCGCTTAACGAGTTAGACGAGGATGAGGAGAGGGATCGGTCGCCGTTCTTGATGGCGAGGTTGCCGTGGGTCGAGTCTTGGGGTATGTTTACGAATCTGGATCTAGCGAATATGGGGTTCGACGAGTGGGTGGATGAGGAGAAGGGGAGGGATGCTGATGGGGAGTATACCTGGGTTGGACCATTCTCGGAGGAAGTTGATCAGGAGGTTGTGAAGAAGAGAGAGGTAGCGTTGGAGGAGGCAAGGAAGGAGGGGCTTGTTGATTAGGGGTATACATGAGAGTGTCATAATTGTATCAATTGCTAATTTTGGGTGACAAACAAAAAACAATGCGTAGTATACCATGACGTCATTCGGAGGGACAACCCTCCGACACTTCTCCTACAGCAATTCAGGTCAAGTCGATTCCTCCTCTCCTCCACCAGGGAAGTGCCTAATTGCAAGATGCAAAGCAGATATTCCCCGCGCGATAGAGTTCCGAGAGCTCCTCATGCAGACCATGAATGGTGCCAGCTGTGCATCACCAGCATCCAAGTCCACCATTGACCAGCCCACCCCACCCCCACTTTTGCTCGTAAAGGACCCATTCTCGGCCACTTTTGATTTCAAAGCTGTTGCTTGGTTACAATGGTGGTGGTCGTGCTGGTGATATAATTCTGGCTATATATTCTATGCTATTCCCCGCCTCACAAGCTTTTTGTTCTTTATATTCCCACTTCCTTGACCAGGCGTGGTAAACTGAGCTCCCTTCGAATTATTTCCCACTCTTCTCTCTCTCATAACACGAAAATGGCTCCCCTCAAGGTCTTCGTGTAAGTGCTATAGTCCCTATGCCAAGACATCAACTCTGTCTCCGGTTTGATGCTAACAATTTTTTCCCAAAGCACCGGAGCTACTGGTTACATCGGCGGTGATGTTTTCTTCAACTTCAGCCAGGCGCACCCCGACTGGCAATACACCGTCCTCACTCGGAGCAAGGAGAAGGGTGCTCAGGTGTCCAGCAAATACCCTAACGCTCGCATCGTCATTGGTGACCTCGACTCGTCCGATATCATTGCCGAGGAAACCAAGAACGCTGACATCGTTCTCCGTACGTTCTCCTCATCACCAACCCCCACTCTACGCATACACACAAGCTAACCCCCCTCCTGCAGACTGCGCCGACTGTGATCACGTCGCCTCGGCCGAAGCTATCGCCAAGGGTGCCGCCCAACACACTCCCGAGCGCCCCCTATGGCTCATCCACACCTCGGGAACCGGTATCCTAACGGTTGAGGACTTCCGCACCAACACCTGGGGCCTGTACCGCACCAAGGAGCACGACGATTGGGACGGTGTCGACGAGCTGATCAACGACCTCCCCGACGACTCGCTCCACCGCAACGTTGACAAGATCATCATCGACGCCGGCAAGAAGAACCCCGACAGCGTCAAGACTGCCATCGTCTGCCCACCCACCATCTACGGCCCCGGCCGCGGTCCCGGCAACCAGAAGAGTGTCCAGGCCTACTGGCTGACCGCCGCCGTGCTGAAGCGCAAGAAGGGCCTCCTCGTCGGCAAGGGTGAGAACATTTGGCACCAAGTCCACGTGCAGGATCTCAGCGATGTGTATCGGCTTCTCGGAGACGCGGCGGCCGCCGGCGGTGGTAAGGCCACCTGGAACGACAAGGGATACTACCTGGCGGAGAACGGCCCGTTCGTCTGGGGCGACATCCAGCGCGAGGTAGCGCGTGTGGCATACGAGAAGAAGCTGATCGACTCCCCCGAGGTCGAGCCTCTTCCGGACTCCGAGGTCACCGCGCTGAACCAGTTCGGTCTGTACGCTTGGGGAAGTAGCTCGAGAGGTCACTCTCTTCGTGCGCGCAAGCTGCTGGGCTGGTCCCCGAGCAGGCCCAGCTTAAAGGAACTGATCCCGGAGATTGTGGATATCGAGGCGAAGGACTTGGGTCTTTGAGCGAACTGGGTTTCTTCGTTGTAATTAATGAAATTTCACGAAACTTTTCTGTAATCAAATTGAGATCAATTGAGTTCACTCTTACTTCAATGACAATGGAACTGGTCACTCTAAATTCGGAAGACTATACAAGAACAAATCAACACCGACGATAAAGCTTGCTCGTAGGTCAACACAGTGGGGTTGCTCGATTACGTACGTAAGAAGTCAACATACTGTGGAATGTTAGTAGGAGTGAGTTGTCAAACTATAAGAGGGGCTGGAAACGACAGGGGTCTCGGGATTGTCTTGTATTCGGGACTGAGGCCAGCAGCATTGGTAGGAGTACTTTCTGGTGAAGCGTTGATACATTAGTTTACTGATGCCTCGAGACAATGGGTTTCGGTTCTATTCAGTGGTTGTAATTTGAGCAACATAATTGAATAAAGGTTTTTGGAGATTGATAGGTCAGTTATATATTTTCATGGCTGGGGTGAAACTAAACGACAATAGCTTTATGGTAGACAGGTATATACTGTCAGATCTTGACTAAAATCATATCAGTTGCCTTGAAAGGTGAAAACGAACGATAAAAGTGGCCTCTTGAATGGAGGGGCAGAAATGGACAGTTCTTGATTCCTGAATAGGAAGGCATGAAGCCGACCCCAAAACAGTTAGCGCCATTGACGGAATCGACAGGCGAAATAAGCGCGACACGCGCCCGGAGTCTTCAATATCATCATCGGCTTTATCCTTTGTTCAACCAGTCAACCTGCAACTCCACGTGCAGTCCCTTTCTTTATCCCCCCCCAAACTGCATGAAGTTTCCACAGAAGGTTGGTTTCTCCATTCTCGCCCCTGTTGATCACTCGGCTCTCTCCCTCCGATTGGCACATTGCGCATTAAATAAACTCGGAGGACAGACTAACGTCGACTTCCCAAAACTTCAGGCCCGCCTCATGAATCGCATTCTGTCGGATACCTTCCCCTGTTCTGCTTGAACCTCGAAGCTGCAGCAAATATTGTGATGGCTCCGGGTGTCAGTGGAAAGAGGAAAAGAGGTGATAGATCGTGGTCTGGCGACTCGTCCAACGATAGCCAACGACCTTCTCCTCATCGTCCAGGAAACCTAACCATGGCGCAACATAATCACGGCTCGCAACACCAGCAGTCTCGCGATCATTCAGATACCCGCGGAAGGGGGCGAAGGCAATCCGGCCGAGGAGGCAGGAATAATCCCGGTCGCAGACACAGCAGCGATAGTCAGAACCCTGTTGGCGGTCGCAGGGACGCCGCCATGTCCCCTCCCACCACTACTATTACCCCGGCGAGCAATGTCGCGGAACAAACCCAGACCAACGGGGCGTCGCCGGCGATCAATCAGTCGACGCAGCCCCCGTCCCCTGCGCCCACTCCGTCTCAACCTCAGTCCCAGATGCCAACCCCGGTCCCCTCGCAATCTCTCGTGTCTCCCGTCACCCCTATCCACCATCCTCCCACGCCGCCACCGCAGCCGTACGTCTTTGAATACGTCACCGACTCCAACATCGAGCATTGGGTTTCGACTGGCGAGCGAAAGTTTGTGGACGATGGAGTACAAGCAAGGAAAGAGCAGGATATCCCGAAGCTGGCTTTGATTTACCAGGAGCTTATTCGAAGTGCTTTCTACGGACGCGTGACACCAGCAGAGGCCGGTGCAGCTGTCAGGGATATCGTCGAAAAAGATGCCGCTGCCGGAGAAGAGGTCGACATGGAGGGGGATGGTCAAATAGAGGCGGATCTCGATCCCCGTTCTCTCTTTTTGGACACCCTATCCATCATGACGGACTCCGACACGTCGAATCCTTCTCTGAAGCCATTGGTCTTCTCTACCGGTATTAGCGCCGCTCTTATGCGCCAGCAGCTCGACACCCCCCTTCTACAGACTCTCGGTCTCGTTCGCGAAACGTTTACCCGCATGGGTATCCGTAAACAAACCAATCTTCTCTACCGACAGTCCAATTACAATCTTCTGCGCGAAGAATCGGAGGGGTATTCAAAACTCCTTACCGAACTTTTTACAACCAGCAATAATGAGCCTCCATCTAGCGAGGTAGTGGAGGATACCTTTGAGAGAGTTAAGGCTATGATCGGCGCGTTCGACATGGATGTGGGGCGTGTCCTTGATGTAACTCTGGATGTATTTGCGGCTGTACTTGTGAAGCAGTATCGCTTTTTTGTGAAGCTGCTCCGGGCCAGTTCTTGGTGGCCCAAGGAGAATGCCTTCGGTACCAGTGAAGCCAACCGCGACTCGGGGCTCCCGAACTGGGCTTTACCGGGCTCGTCAGGATGGGCAACCACGGAGGAGGAACGCGCAGAGGCAGTTCAGCTCAATGAACAGCGCGACCAGGCGTTCTGGGCGAGAGTGAGAGAGATTGGAATTCGCGCTTTCTTTGAAATCGGCCGCCGACCAGTCTCCGAAGAGGAGCTTCGAAAAATACTTCCAGAGTCTAACAGTCTTTCAGAGGAGGAAATCGATACGCGCAAATGGATCGAGGCGACGGGAACCTCGCCGCCTCAAGGAAGCCGGGTCGCGGCCCAGCTACTCGGATTCAAACTCCGCTTTTACTCGTCCAGGGCGCGCTCCAAGATGGACGTTCTTCCCGACAATCTCATTTATCTGGCAGCATTGTTGATCAAGGTTGGCTTCATCTCGCTGCGCGATTTGTACCCCCACCTCTGGAGGCCCGATGATTCGATGGACATCCTGAAAGAAGAAAAGCTAAAAGAGAAAGCGGAGCGAGAAAGAGCAGCCAGACCAGGCGGCGGTGTCAATGCTCTGATGATGGCCGGTGCGCTTTCGGACGACACGCTACCGACTCCGCGTCTGCGGGAATCCGAGACACCAGCTGGAACCCCCGGCAAGGACCAAGATGCCGACAAATCCGCTGGCAAAGGGGAAGAGAATGATCTTCCGGAGCCTTCCGATCAGAAGGTGCTGCTTCTGAAGAGCCTACTCACCATTGGAGCGCTGCCCGAGTCCCTTTTCATTCTCAGCAAATTTCCTTGGCTTATGGATGTTTACCCCGAACTACCCGAATATATCCACCGAATCCTTCACCAATGCTTGAGCAAGGTCTACACCGCTTCGTGCCCGTCGCCGCTCCCAGATGAGGCCCGGGAACCAAAGCAAATCCCTGGTCAAGATCAAGGCGGAGGCGCGAAGGGCCACATTCGATTGATCCAGGCCCCTCCGAGACGGGTGCTGCGATGGGCCCAACTGGATAAAGAAGATACGAACGACGGAACGGACTATCGATTCTATTGGGATGATTGGGCCGATAATATCCCTATCTGCCACTCGGTCGACGACGTCTTTGCGCTATGCTCATCCTTCCTCAACCTGTCCGGGCACAAGATTGGACATGACCCGACCTTACTGACGAAGCTTGCCCGTATTGGTAAATACAGTATGACCCAGGACGATTCTGCAGAAAACGCATCTCGCTGGCGAGATTTGTGCAAGCGCCTCTTGCTTCCCGCGATCAGCTTGACCAAGGCCAACCCCGGCGTGGTCAACGAGGTCTTCGATCTTGTCAGTTTCTTCCCTAGGGATGCGCGGTACAATATGTACGCGGAATGGTATTCGGGCCAAACATCTCGGCTGCCGGACATCAAGGCAGCCGTTGATCAAGCTAAAGCAGAAACCAAAGATGTTTTGAAGAGACTCAGCAAGACGAATATTCGGTCTATGGCTCGTGCCCTAGCCAAGATCGCATGTGCCAACCCCGCAATAGTCATCCACACTGCTATTAGCCAGATTGAATCTTATGAGAACCTGATCGTCGTCGTCGTGGAGTGCGCGCGTTACTTTACCAATCTCGGATATGATGTCTTGTCCTGGGCTCTAATTAGCTCTCTTGGCTCCAAAGGACGGAGTCGCATGCAAGAGAGTGGATTGTTAACAAGCAAATGGCTCAATGCTTTGGCTAATTTTGCGGGGAAAATATTTAGACGGTATTCCATGATGGATCCCACCCCTTTGTTACAGTACGTTGTGGAGCAGCTTCGGCACAACAACTCCACCGACTTGATTGTGTTGGAGCAATTGATCGTCTCTATGGCAGGCATCGTTTCGGACACCAACTTTAACGATGGACAGATTCAAGCCATGGCCGGTGGTGAAGTCCTTCAGAGCCTGACCATTCAGGTGTTGTTGGACACGCGCCACGATTCCGCAAATACGGCAAAGCGTCTGATTAAATCTCTCACCGTATCCAAACTTGCCGGCCAGTTGCTTATTGCCATCGCGCAGGAGCGCTGGACGTGCGTCTTCCGGGAGTCCGAAGGCGACTCGGAACTGAAGTTGTTGGGGAACATTTTCGATGAAATCCATCGTGTTTTGACTCAATATTTGGACCTGCTTCGAAGCAACTTGACGGTCGAGGAGTTTGATACCTTCGTACCCAACCTCGCCTCTCTCATTAGTGACTACGGCGTGCAGCCCGAAATCGCCTTCTGGATTCGCCGACAAAGCATCGCTCGCAAGATAGCGGACATCGAGAAGCTTACGCAGGAAGATGACATGGACACCTCCAAGGAGAGCAGTCAAGAGAAGTCTCCTGTCAAGGGCGAGACCGATAAGATGGATACTGCCGATGAAGGAGAAGCAGAGGCGGCGGAGCCCACACAATCTGGCGAGAATTCAATGGAAGTTGATAAGGAAGAGGTGGAAAAGACGGATGATGACGACACAGTCGTTCCGGTTGAACAGGCCCCGGTGGTCGCTGAACCTCCCCCACTGAACCCCGTCATGCAGGACCTTCAGGATCAAGTCAAATTGGCTTTGCCTTCTGAGGCCTGGGAAACCGTTGGCCTTGGGTTCTACACGACGTTCTGGCAACTGTCTCTGTACGACGTGCACATCCCGCAGAAAGCATACGAAGACGAGATCGAACGACAGAAAAAGAAAGCTTTCTTGATCACCAGCGACCGCACGGACATTAGCGTCAGCGGCACTCTAAAGAAGGAGGCCTTCAAGA